GTAAGATATTTATACATAAGCTATCATTTCCATACGGTTTTGAAGTAATCTGTGTTCTAGTAAAAAAAACTGTCATTTTGACTAAAAGAGAAATCGTTGCAGATTTTTTTCATTGTTTTCATGATTTGCGTTTCTCTAGAATTTCAAAATATTTTTTTTTCTTTTTTCTCTCTCCAAAGTTACAAGGTAGTTGCTGTTAACTGATTCCTTTTATTTGTAAACGAAATATATACATGTATTTTAGAATTTTAAAAGTGTGAATAATCACAATAAAAGCATACATTTATTTTACTGAAGTGTTAAACGACTGTTCAACAATCACGATTATACAATAAAAGCGTAAAATTGTTGCAAAATGACTTGCTAAAATATTATGTTAATAAGAATTTCACATGGTCGCCGTTTATTCAAAGTCTACATCTTTTATATTTATATTCCGTGTAGGTTCAAATATTTATATTTGATATTTCATTGCTGGGAATATCAAATAGTAAAATTACTGATATACAAACACAATAGCGTCAATTTCAATACGAGATATACTGTATTTTCTTTCTGTTATAAACATTTGCCCATCTAGCTCAAAAAATTAAAATTGAAGTTATTCCCAGTAGTGCCATACATGTTTTTGTTAACTTTAATATTTTGTTAAAATATGTGAATTATTTTTTTGACAATCGATCTTTAAATGCTTGGTTAGGAATAATTGAGTATAAAAATATATCACATGAAACAAGAAGTGTCGGTAGGACGGCGTACTCGGCTATTATAACTGCTTGTCTGGATCAAGTAGAATTTTCTAAGTTCCAAAAGGGGCATAATTCTGATAAAACATACGTTAGACTTATAGGCCTTGAACAGTGAACTCCTAGTTATCTCCCAAATAAGTGTGCTATTATTATTATTATTATCATTATTATTATTATTATTTAACATCATCAAAACAGAATAAGTTGATGTGTGAATGGGCCATGAGTTTATAAAGCAGACTTCAATAAACAAAGATGTTTCAAAATATGACATCATTATCGTACTTTGTAGCTATAATAATCTGAAATTTAATGATACAGCTAATAACCGTAACATACCGCACTAAAATTGTTGAAAGAAAATCGTAAATGTTAAATAATCACGTGAAATGATTATGAAAAAATGAGGTAGATTTTCTGTACTGCTATTTTTCACTTATTCTTCACATATCTTATGAATAAGAAATAAGAAATAAGCTTTATTTCAGTAACTGATAACATTTATCATCTCGTGTTAGTTTAACGCATATTTTTAACAGATTTATGATTTATTATTCTTCTTCATATGATACTTGTTAACGATACACCACGAGGTTCAATAGAAAGGGCATTAAATTGAATTGACAAGACTTTGTACTACATTTGAAAATGACGTTTCAATAATTATAAAGGAATGGTAATATTGACCTTCAGATGTTCAAACATTTGCAGTAAAGAGTATGTTTCAGGTTTTTTAATTATCAAATCAAATATTTATTTTAGATTTATGAGAATTAATGCTGTCTTGTTTTATAAAAGTAGTTAAAATTTAATCAAGGCTGGCAAGTATTAAGAAATGACAAATCAAAAAGACGGACAGCAAGTGATCGTATAGTGAACTTTAGATGGGACTATAAAGCCAGGTTAACTATATAATTTCTCCAAAGAAGAAGAACTCTATAAGACTTGTCTTTCATTATTCTCATCCTTTTCCATTGTGTAAAAATAATTTATTTGTGGTTTATTTGTATGTACATTATATATACTTTGATTGATTTTTTGTGTTTATTTTAACACTGAGACTTATTTTATGCATGAAATATAACTTATATTTAACAGAATTGTGTTAAGTACGAGAAAACTAACACTTTTTTACCTAACAATTAACATTTAAGTGAATATTTGATAATTTATCAAAATCTTAAGAAACAGAAATCAAAATGATTTATAATGGTGTCAAAATATACAATTTTGAATATAGTCAATGCTCTGAGGCTTTGCAGTGAACTCACCTAAAAGGCCAGTTCCCAAGATAAGTAATATAGAAACCCACAAAGTACTTATACATATTTGGTCGTCATTTAAATGATAGCTATAAGATTGATTGGTCAGAAAAGTTAGTAACAAGTTCTGCAGTAATTTAATTCTATTTAATCTAACAGACCTTAAAAAACAAAGACTCAAACCGAAAGAACCAATCAAATCAATTTCACAAAAGTAAGTTAGGGAAAGAAGTTAAGGTAACTATTTGACAAATTAATAAATTGTATTTACTAAAATTCAGCCCTATCAAAAAATAAAAACCTGGGAAAGGAAGCAATAGAAACAACACTAGTATATGAAGCTTGCGGGCTCGGTTTGATTGAATCTGTTCATGGAAGATAATGTAAAACAGTCTAACATCTCTAACGCAACCTCCCTGGACCGGCTTAAGGGGTATTAAAGTTGCAACGCCCTCATGCTGGAAGCAATGATCCCGGGGGACCAAAACAAAATATAACAACACTGAACGGTGTCAGTGTGGCTTGCAAAGGGAATGACCAATACATCTGTTTTAAAACTTGAGCATGCGAGGTGTGCGTTTAGCCGGTTGCTTCGGGAAACAAACGTTTGTTCTTTATCTACAATAGGCGTTAATATTATTGTATGTAAATACAATTAGTAGTTTATTCATGAAAAATCCATTTTGAAAGAAAAGAAAAAATGTTTTCAATACAATAATTTGTTAATCAGTAAGAGCAGAGTTGTAATGCTCTCTTTTCAGAATAAAATTTATCCATAAAATAAGCGTTTGTCCTTTTAAAGAAATATCTATATACATGTATATTCATATAACCAATAGTATTATAATTTGATCTTTCTTTTACAAACCACATTCTTCCTAATTGCTTTGTGTTTATACAGGATGTAATTTGAGAAAAAATAATCAATTTTGCTAATTGCAAACTAATTTATTATTTCTATTACCTACACTATTCATTTTAACGAATCATGTAGGGATGTTTAGATCAATGATACAAACACGAAAAATATACGGCAATTACAGCGTTTTGAATTATATGTATGTAATAAAAATATCAAAACAAGATATTCCTTACAGATAAACGTTCAATCACGATTTTTAAACACAATCTTGCTTTGGATCATGGGTTGTCAAAATAAAAACTACAATTTTGTCCTGATGTAAAAGAAATTTAATATATATTCAAATGTAATTTTGACACGTGCATGAGATTCTTTTAAAACATACAATTGAGTAATCAATCAAAATTGGTCGGACGATAAACCTATCTCGATTTTTTTTTAATATGATATGCATGCAAGTTATGTTACTCAATACATTTATGAAAATACTACGATTTGCATGCTGTAAACATATACAATTTTAGTAATATGACCTGATTAAACATTAATATTTTCGACAAACTATACAGTCTATGGTGCAATCGTCTGCTGACCGTCACTAAATTAGTGCAGACTACATACGGTACAGCTATGTACCAACATATATACACCATGAAATATATATATGTCTGTCTGACTGTCTGTCTGTCTGTATTTGAACACATACGCTCGTATGTTTATTATCTATCTATTCATTATTTGTATCTTTATTTTATAAGTAAGTTAACTCATTATTTTTGGCTTATTATACACGTGTAATGTTGCGGTTTCGTAACTTGCGGATGATAGTTAACAATGATGCTAAACATGAACATTGCATTTATCAGTTTTATGCTCTACCTGATTAACTTTTGTCAAAATTTTAAAACCATACCCTGTTAAATGGCGAATTGATATAGTTCTGAACAAAACCAGTTGTGCAATTTATAAAAACATTTTCGTACATTTGTATTGACAATCATGTACACAAAATTAAATATTTGGGAAAGGAAATTGCTTTTAAGGCACTTGGTCACTCAAAACAGGTACTTTTTCTTATCATTTTTTTTTTCGTATTAGTAAAACAAAATGGTAATATCTGCTGTAAAGACTTACTATGTGATTTTTCGTTTGCGTTTCTTTCCATTTAAACATAAAGTATATTACTCTTTGAAATACGAATGATATCAAATTGTTGAACCAGCGTCTGAATATATGAACAAATATAAACATTCACTTCTTCAAAAAGGACAAATACTAAAATGACGTATCGTCACGATTTGTATAAACTAAACATTATCACGTATTGTTACAAATAATTATCTCAAACCATTATAAATGTTTGTCGTGATCACAGAAATGAAATAATTGAAATAAGTTGCTAATGTACAAACGCACGATATCGCGGTTTCTTTTATTCGTGTATAGTTTGATTTAGACGACACGAACATGTTTTATTATATCAGAAATTTTAAGAGCAATAAAAACGATGAAATAAGTTTAAATTGTGAACAAAAAATGATTATCTGATTAAGAGATGTAATGGTAATTGCATCACACAAATTGCTCTTTTCACCAAAGTGACTGAAGCAAGCTCTCTTATAGATCAGTGGTCAATTACCCGCCCGCTTAGCTCAATAGGAAGAGCACCGGATTAGTATTCCAGGATTCCAGGGTTCGGAGTTCGATCTTCGGCCTAAGCGAAATTTCCCTCGGACATTGAATCTAATGGTCATTTGTCTCCCACAGTTGATTTAGATTTGATATGAGATTAGTAGCCGATCACTTACAGGAAAATTTGAATGAAATTTTATTGATTATTTATTCAGTCGACCGACTAGAAATATGTTAACATCCACCCAAAACCAAAAAAGAACAAACAAATTTCGGTATATTTTTTTCTTTTATCTTTGTTCGCCTTCCACATATTGTCAATTAAAAATAAAAATAAAAACATCCAATTTTGTGGGATGAAGATTTTTCTTTCATCAGTACAAATATCAGCAGTCAATTGAGTGCGGTTTACGGTCATGCGTTCTATTTTTTTTTTCAAATTATGTCAATGTAAATAAATTTCATATGCGTAAATAACTTTATTTTCAATTTCAGTACTTTGGGTTTGAAGGTTTACTGCAGTAAAACATTATTGAACTGAAAGATGGGCGCGTTTTAAGATTGAACAAGGATTTCATATTTGATAGTATATACTGTCATAAGGTAAATATATATATATTGTTTGTATATATATTATGATCAGTATTTGACAAAAACAGTTTTCATCATTGATATTTCATAAGAAGTCATATCCTCAACAGATTCATCATGCGTTCTCAAAAGTTAAAGTTTGATGTAAAAGTCGAGATATCACGATGATTTAAAGCTATCACAAACAACAACAACAACAACAACAACAACAACAACAACAACAACAATAATAATAATAATAATAATAATAATAATAATAATAATAATAATAATAAAATAATAATAATAATTATTATTATAATAATAATGATAAAGACAACAATAAAAAACAACTCTGATAAATTAATTTCGTTCTTTATTTTAGAAAATGCACTACCATAAGTTGCAAACTAATGCTCCTAGTGATGTTTTAATGTGTACTATTTTATAACCGATGTCCGCAGGTGAAGTTTATGACCATAACCATTCGTCCAAGTTGAAACGTAACACATTAAATGCTAAACTATTGAAATTAAATGCAGTGCGGTAATTACTTAAAGTTCATGATGTTTTGAAACAGCTTTACATCTATAACTATAAAGCAATTGATCACTGCAGTTGCAAGACAAACTTATAGCCTTTAGGGAAAATAAAGTCGTATGAAACCTAACAAATAATTGACGTAACATAGAACAAAGTGTTCTATTCACATAAAGCTCAAGCTATCGACAAATATCTGGATTGAAAACGATTATAATTGCTTTTACGTGACCAGCTAAACAATATTACGGATCCTCCTTACATTTGCTAAATATCTGCTTTTAGTGTAAACAATTAGATTTAATTGAACTGCCAATAATTCATCAATAATTCATCAACTGCGTCGGGTGAAAGGTTAAATAATCAGTGTCTTGAAACAGAGCACTCAATTCGTCAAAATCATCAGCAGACATTTCATTATCAAATACTTTTATACGACCCCCATCAATACCATTAAACCCATTACCATTATTATTTGCTTTTTCTCGGTTGACTTCCGAATTATAAAACAGTTGTATTTGCAAAAGCAAGCTATCATTTCTAAGTGAAATGCCAGTCAGTCTATATTCTCATTGATTTTAGTTAATTTGACGTCTGGAACATTGCAAATATTTTCGTGAGTTATCTTTCTAGGATTAAGGATTAAAAGCACAAGTAAGAGTACTTTTCTTTCTTATATTGTAAGGAAAACTTGTTGTAAAGTCATATGCAATTATGAACATTCTTTAAAGGCATATTATGCCTCAGAAAAAAAGCCATTTTACATTTTATATTTTTGATTCTTTAGAAATGTCAAACATGCGTTTTAATAAAGTTTTGATAACGGATTTTGAGCATATTAGATGTTTAACAACTGCTGAAGGAAGCTGCGCTGAACGTGTAGTAATGTGTTGTTATGGTAGCAAAATGTTAACAAAGTAATATATTTTGACTTCCATACAAAATACTCATTTACTGTGATTATACCAATTACCAACATAGCAAAAGAAGCAAAAGATAGTCCATCGATGTGACAAATGAGGATTTGTTCGAAACTGTAACAAGATAACAAAAATAGAAAGTTTTTGAGAAACAAAAATGATAACATTTCTTAGGCATAATGGGCCTTTAAGTTTAGAAATTAGATTTATAGTTTATGATTTGGGTGTGAAGTATACGTTTCTGAACTTGATCAATACTTTAAATCTAATAATACATAATGAAAGTATAAAATATGGACTACATCTCTATGTTGTATTACGCTTTTGTTCAGTCATCACGATTTATTTTACAAAAAAAAATAATGTCAATATTTGTTACAAGATGACACATTTAAATACCTTTATTCAACTTTAAGGGTCTTACATTCAAATTAACTATTTGACATTTTCTTTCATAAAAAAGATGAAATTTGGTAAATCATTGGCGTGACGTTTTACAATGTAGGTAATTGATACTTACACACGAATGAATGAATAGCTGGATATATTTTTTCTCTGTATAACCTTAATGTACAGCTTAAAGCGGCCTTCGGGTATTCTTAAATCTTCTATTTTTAGAAACGAAGGTCACTGGCGCGTTATGAATAGCTGTCCATACGCTGTCTTTAAGAAGGCTTAATGATGATATGATACACTTTTCCAAGATAATATTAATACTTAGTTTGAAACACCACAGAATTGTTTTTCCAACATTAAAATAAAAGCTGAAGGCCGCTTTAAGAACGGTAATATCGATGTACAGTAGGTGCCCCCAACGACTTTAATATGAATGGAAAATCGTGCACATTTTTGAATATATTCATCTTGTGATATATTGTGATTTAAATACTGATGTTATAAATCTTCAAGTTTTAAATTGACCAATTTATGCATGATTGGGAATTTATTGTAATAATATCAAAATAGAACATCTAGATTATTTCTATCACACTCTGACTGAGGTAACTGCGTTTTATATCTAGTATATCTTCTTTAGATTAGTAGTCATTACAAAATATACATTCTTAAAGGCACATTATGCCTCAGAAACAAATTTTTTCTTCTTTAGAAAGGACAAACATGAATTTTATAATTCTAATTGTAAATAATGGTTTTAGAGAAATGTTAGATGCTTGTTAAATGATTTATGTGAAATAATTTGTCATAGAAGTAACAAAATGTCAACAAAGTAGTATTTTGACTTCTATACAAAACAATTATCTACTTTGACTGTAAGAAAAAAAAAAGATGGAAAAATAGACGGTAATATGCCAATGAGTAACTTTCGGATACTGTTAAAGTACACAAAATTAAAAAGCTTTTGATAAATACAAATTAAAGCATTTCTGAGGCATAATGGTCCTTTATAATAAAAAAGAAATGTATATATTTTATTAAGTAAATTAAGTAAATCATCATATCATATCATGTAAAGTTATATCACATCATACATGTATATTTATATCACATTATATTATAAAAAATTATCCTCACATATCACAGTCATGTCAAAATCCTATGATTCCAGGTTACAAAATCGTATCATATTATGTCATAGGTGTAATGAGTTTATCCTAATTTTTTATTCAATTTGCTTAATATTATAATCGATGATCTATTTCCGTTTATTTAGAGATGGCTTTTTCGTCACATGAACATTATTCTTACTTGATCTTGTATTGCAAGTAAATTCATTTGAATGTCCTTACCATAGCATTTCAATTTGTGTTGTTTTTTAATCTTAGGTGACTGACATTTTCAAGATGACGGACAAAACGTCACGTGACACAATGAAGGAAACTGCCAGCAATGAGTCATTTGACTCCACAGGAAAGAAGAAAAGTTTCCGGCGTCTTATCAGTAGATTTGCTGAGAAAACATCAATGGTTGGAGTTGCTTATATTGACAATGCAAAGTTCTGGTGGGCAAAAATTATCTGGAGCATCATGCTACTGGCTGCCCTTGCTGCTATGACGTTGCATCTGTGGTATCTAATTGACCAATACACTCAGTGGCCAGTACAGACAAAGATTGCACTTGGTTTTGAAACATTACCATTTCCTGAGGTCACCATATGCAATACTAATATCATGCACAGAGGACGGTTTGATAAGTTCAGTGGCGCCAAAGAACTGAAAATCTTAGTAAAGGAATTGCAACCAGAAAATCTTGTCCCTGACCAATTTGATCCCAACTACGATCCGTATAAAAAACCTAGTGGGAATGGATCAACTGACCCCCCAAAGGTAAATTTAGATATCAATCTTTTTCAAACAAATATTTGATTGGACTGTTTCCTAAATCTAAATCTAACATTACATAAGAATGTTCACTATGTAATACATTATTCACATCCATTAAGACATGACCTCATGTTGTGTCGACGTACCTAATATACACTCGAAGTAAACACATTCAAATCAAAACCGAATAATCACACAAAGACGTTCTTTCTTTCAATTACAATATAGAAACGGCTGTCAATAATTGAAACATATTAGTACAATTAAAATTAAAATCAGGAAATAATCTACGACGAATTATAACATTAACGAAAAGCAGTATTATTCACCATCTAATGTAAGTTATTACTCACATCCTTCAAAGTAAAACTGACAAATGTTTGTATAAATGTAATAAATCATACATGATCGGTAAATGTCTTTTCATGCATTTGAATATTGCCTATCTGTTGTCAAAATATCAAATGTTTTATCATAGAATTATATGATCATTTATAAGTCATGCGCAAGTGCATGTGCATGATTTGTAAGCATATAACCAATCTATTTTTAAACATTGTATTTACAGAGACGCAAGCGTTTTGTTCCTCAATATGATAATTTTAATACTTCCCAATTCGATAGAGGAGATAAAGGGAACCCGCGTGCAATGAAAGAAAGCGATACAGATGACTTTGATGGGACAATAGATTCACGAACATTGTTAGAAGACCTCCTAACTGAACTATATATGGATATTGGGAAGTAAGTGCCTGAATTTACATTGTATGATTCGCGGCCAAGTGTGCAAATAAACCGACAAGTCATGTTTGACTTACTCATATTTTATCTGTTCTTCATTTGTCAGACTGTACATAGGTTGTTTAATTGAAAACAAATATGAAATCTTGCCATAATGTACTGAAGCATTTTATTACTTTAAAGTTTAAATCTTTTAAATTATCTCTTAGATTTGGGAAATGTCATGTTTTGAATTTAACCGGATGTGTATACTGGCACAGTTTTACACTGATAGCATATGCACGTCATTGTAAAGACCGATTGAATGATAAATGTTTACAATGTGATTTATATAATATATCCAAATACAAAAATGTAATGATTATTAATGGAACTCCAATGACGACCAAAAACCTAACAACATTTCAAAAAATTGTTCTTACATATATCAACTTGGACACTTAGAACAGAAGGATACAGAAAAGAAGATTAAGAAATGTACTCAGAAATAAATTGAAAATCGTAATTTTGTGCTTTTCTTAGTCCAATTTCAATGAAAAGCGTTGCAACGGTTTTCAATATTGTGTCATTTTTCACAACTTATATAATTATTCTTGGAAAACCATGAAGCTAATAATCTCAAATTGTGCACACAAGTTTTTGGCCTAGACTTAAATGAAATGAAACATTCATCATGAGAAATTATCTCCAGACTCGAAATATAAAAAAAACTTCAGTGTAGTCCCTTTAAACTACGAAATTATAGATATATTTGTCATATTTCACAAAGGACGCGAATTGCTTTGTATTTTAATTCATTTCCTACATGCACTGATAAATATCGTGTCACTTTTTATAACTTTAAAAAATGACAAAAATGGAGAAATGATAGAGTGACATGAATAGAATGTATATTTTGAAGATTAATCTTACCCTATGTAAGACAGTGTCATTTCAATTTTTGTACTAAAGAAAATACGAACTGCAGTTTTAGTTCGGTGTCTTATCACAATTGTTAAATTATGTCTACCAAATTTTTTAACTTACTTTAATTTTGAAGCTAAATGTGATCGCTAGCCGTGTGGATCAATACCCCCATCAAGGGCAAGCCGTTGTTTCCTTGAGCAAGAAACTTTACACTAATTGCCCTGTACTGGTTGGATCCAGAAAAGGATTCGAAAATATGTCTATAAGCTTATAGCTTCCTACACTATAGAACTAAAATAGAGTATTTATAAACCAAACTAACTGTGAAAGTAGTCAAAAATTGTCCCTCTTGTTCATCTCAGTGCTGCTATCGGTTTCTATTCTTTCGGGATCATTGATTCCAATTTTTTACTTCTTTGAAGATTGAATGCTGTTAAAGTCGATGGTTCAGGCCTGAGAGATGCTGCATCTTTCAGTTTTTGTAATGGACGTCATGCACTAACACACTCATTCAAACTGAGTCTGCAATTTTATTATCATTTATTTATGTTTCCATTGCTATCAGGGTATATAGATTGAAGAAAATTCTAATAAACATGTACACGATGTTTGATTTCGTGTTTTGCAGTTCAGAACACTGTATTGATATATTACATTTAATGTACTAGTAGTTTAAAGTAAAAAGAGCATAACTGTTTTTGAATCATAGAATATGTTCGTTCTAAATAGATGAGAATGATTCTAACATAAATTGTAATTGTTTCGTTATAGACGCGAAAGAGCCGAACTGGGTCATAACATATCAGATATGTTGGTTAGCTGCACGTTCAATGGAAGGCAATGCTCAGCAAAGTAAGTCCTTTTGAGGATTTTCTCAAGTTTGGCTATTCCATTACAGCAAATGTCAACGGAAACCATGTTTAAGAAACTCTAATAAAACATGTACAAAAACCATAATTATCTTTCATGAAAGAAACAACATTTTTATGTCTTTATTGCAAGAGGCTCATTTGTACCACAGAAAGAAATAACATTTTTATGTCTTTATTGCAATAGGTTCATTTGTATCACAGACAGTTTGCAGTTCTATACTTTTTGTTAAACATGCTAAATTATATCTAATCAATTTTCAATTTAATGATATAATAGAACAAAACAAACATAGTGACAATCGTTGGTACAGACAATTATGTTTTTTATTTCTTTTTTTGCTTGTAATATTACAGCATGTTTCGACTTCATCAAACTGCAGAATATGGTAATTGCTGGTCTATCCGATCTGATAAATTCAATGTGAAAAATTCTGGGCCATCTGGAGGTATGACAAAATACATTTTTTTTGTTTTCTGTGGATGTTTCTAAATTCAAGTTTACCATTACATGTTTAAATATTGAATACTGCTTATGGGCGTGAACAGTAGCTTTCCAGTACTGTCCATGACCAGGCTCAATCAAACCGAGCCTGCAACATTTTCAATGCTGCCGTTTTGGACTTTCTTTATGAATTCTTTTTCTCCCTATTTCAATAAAATCAAGTTACATGATTGATCCATCATTCGATCATAATGTTTTAGTTATAAAGAATGACAAAATAGTTTTGGCGTAAAAACTATTTAAAATAAAATGTATGCATATTTTAAATAACGCATCAAATATCATGACCAATATATATTTTTCTTTTTCAAAACGTCTTTATGTCTTGTAATATTTTTAATTGTGTATATTTGTCTCTGCAAATTCTCAACGAAGCGGGTGCTAGGGGGCGTGAACGTCACTTGCACTTTCCAGTACCGTCCAATCAAACCAAGCCTGCAACATTTTCACCTTTTTAGGTGTTCTTTAGGGATTCCGTTTTCTTTATCCTAAATATCTTTGTCGAACAGTAAGCTGAATAAATGTTTCCACAATTACATTACAATCTGTTAAACGATCAATTTGAACAATTATCAAATTAACATTGGATTGATTTTGTCCTTTTCCCAGGTCTTTCTCTGGTATTATATTTGGAAATGTCAGAGTACTTAAAGGGTGTCACAACAGGGTATGGTGTGCGAATGCAAATACACGAACAAGAGACTTATCCCTTTCCATACCAAGAAGGTCATTTCGTCCCCGCTTCCATGGAAACGGATGTTGGATTACGAATGGTATACATCTTTCTTCATGTCCTATTTAAAAGCATTTGCCACTTTCCATGAATTACATAATCAGATTGAATCGATATATTATCTCTCGACGTCGTTAAATTTAAACGATCGTTAACTTTGCCAAAAGAATTTTGATAATCTGCAAATTCAAAGTATTGTTTGCCTTAATGTATTTCATTTCAGACTTTATTTACATTTAGAAAACAATTTACGTGATTATGTGGTAAAACATTTTAAATTTTCCTAAATAATAAACTCTGTATTTCCTGTTCAATAGATATTTACTATAAATAATTGTTTTGTAGGACCGTTCATTTTGTTCACTGGTCACACATTTTGTAGTTTTAAGTAATGTAGTTTCTACAATATCTGAATTACACGGTTAGTTTGTTGCAATGCAATGCGTTATCAATAAACCAATCAATCAATCAATCAATCAATCGATTAATCAATCAATCAGTTAATCAGTCAATCATATTGTAAATGATTCAGGTAGCGATACATAGGCAAGATGGAAAGTATGGAGATTGTGATAGAGGAAACTCGTTTAATACCAACTATGAAGTAAAATACTCTAGAAGGGTACGTGCATTGTCTTTTCTTTAAAGGCTATAAAGTCATGTCTTATGAAATATTTTAGATTTATAAAATTTATCAATATCAGTACAATTATATTGGTGCAATAATCTTATGGTCGATTCTCGGAAGAGTTATTACATAGAATGTCTCTATCATTTAACATACATGAATATTGCACGTAAACAGAATAAAATGTTCAGGAACCAATTATTATTTTGCTATTTCAAGTAGGGTTTTGTCCGTATAGCAATGATTTCGTGTATGTGCCATTTGCTCCTAACGAAATTTACTACCATATTTATTCCATACAAATATTATGGAAGTTTTTTCATTTTTATTTCAAACAATACTTTTGGCAGCAGATATATAGCTTTATACAAAATAAATAAAATGGAGTAAGTATATTGTTTTCATTTTGGTTATTTAAACATTGTTGATAAATAGACAATAATAAAACAATGAAAAACTGAAGTCTACAAAAGGTTTTAACGTTGTTCAGTTATTGCTGTTTTTGTGTGCTTTCAATGGGTACATTTGTAGTTTAAACTGGTGTCAAGAAAGTCTTAGTCTTTTGATAACAATCTTCCTCACATTTTTCCTTCTTATTCTTGTTATTTTAAGTTAACCCTCAACTAATATCATTAAAGTACTAAAACTAAAACAATAATACAGTTATAATATTGTGAAAAAATAAATCATTCAGGGCATGCATTTTTTTTATGCAAATCAATGCCAGCTCACCTGACTGATTGGTTAGGTAGTAAGCCAATCAAAATGTTTATTGTGTATTTCAGGCATGTCAGATTTTTTGTGAGATTTCAAAGGTAATTGAGATTTGCAATTGCTTCGGTAATGGAGCAGAAGAATTCCCTGGAATCAAAAACAGTACCATGAGACCGTGCCGATCAAAAAGTGGTATGCTCTTAATAACGGTCATAAACATTGTATAGTTTCTTTGTAGCAATATAGACATTCAATTAAATTAGTGTAGAAAAAAACTAACGAAAGAAATCATTTCATGATTATTCTATGCTCCAGAGCTTTTCTGATATTTTGGCATGGAGCATTACCTGATCAAGTAAAAAGAAACTGGGAACGTAGATGCATTTTGTTAAATTACAATACTGAATTTATTTTCTATATGATATTTGTTTTCAGAGGTGTTGTGCATGGTTGATATACAAAGACAGTTTGAAAATCAAGTTTTATCCTGTACATGCGACAATCCTTGCGAGTACGTCAATTCAAAATACATTCTTATTTCATTAACATACTCAAACGTTGAGATCTCTCTAATCCGGTGCCAAAGAGCATGGGTAATAGATATTGCCAATAAATACAATCCTTTGATGACGTCTCGTAATTGATTATTTGTTGTATTTACTTTAATAAAGTATGTCATTCACAACTCGGGATATTGTCTTGTTGTGCTACATTTTCCTTTTAGGGATATATTTGACATAGTTAATACATCTACATTTTATATGAACGCTATCAATAAGTTGTCTCATTTCGACATCTAGTGTTTATCTTTTCTATGATTAAATAAACATTAGAAATTCACGTTGGTATCGTTACATTTCAGCGAAGTTCATTATTTGAAAGCTACAAGCCAAAGACAATGGCCGGCTGACGAGTATGCGGTAAGACCCCATGCTGTGTTGCATTGTTTCTTTTTTTAACACACTTTCATCTTCTAAGAAAAATACGTCAGCTTTTAATAGATGGTGTGATTTTGTCATATTAATACTTAAATTAAGAGTATGATTTCTAAAGCCGATGAAAATTCAAACTGAACATGCGTTGACGTATTTAATTATTGTATAAATTGCGAGCTCTTACACTATACGGAGAAAAGATAACATTGAATTATAAATATACACATAAAATTCAATGTTTGATATATAAAAGACACAATGTATAATTTATATCAACGATTCCCTTGCGTTTATAATATTGCGCAAAAAGTACATTTACACAAGTTGTTTTGCACGTTACTAATTGAATGACGTGCCATTTATTACATATTGCAGATGGTTTTGTTAGAAGGAATATGTGAGAGGGACAAAGATGTCTGTGTAACGATGAGAAAGGACATCAATGACCAAAATAAAATAAAGTAAGCTTGATATTTTTCTGAACTCTACAACGTATCTATATTGCAAATTGCCGATGGTTCTATCTTGTTCCTAAAATAATGCTTTGAGTGGCAGCAGGTATATTAATTAAAAAGTCAGAAAGTCGCAATGTGATAACAACAGTGTTAGCGTGGCTTAAACCTCTCCCGAGGGGAGATACTGTTAATCAACTTAAGTGTTGTAATGTACAACAAATACAGTACACACATCTTATACAATTTTACCTGAATTGTGTTGATTACAAAGACTTAAAAGTCGTTTTTATGCAAATTGAAATAAATTTCTGAAACATTTCATATCTGACTGTGTCTAAACATTTATTTTGTTTAAGACGGTGCTAGGGGGCATGGACGGTAACTGGCACTTTCCAGTACCGTTCATGAAAAGGCTCAATCAAGTCGAACCTGCAATATTTTCAATTTTGTCGGTTTTGGGCGTTCTTTAGGGATTCCGTTTTTTGTATTTTATCTTTAAATTGGATTCTTACTTTTACTCATATAAGTGTATATTCTAAATAACCTTTACTCATTTAAGAATGCTTTAAGAAAATAAAACTATGAAAGATGTTGCACGGTTCATCTAAAATCACAGTATTTTATGAAACTTTTATCGTAAAATATAGATAATGGTCTGAGATTATAATGCATTTACCTTAAAATAAAAGTCAAACACTTGTACAATGAACAAAATTAATTTAACGTTAATGTCATTGAATTAAAGGCCTAACCGGAAAGTGACGTAAGTTTTGTTTAATTATGGTTCGTATAACAAAGTAAGTGCATTTGTAGTTAACTCAGTGTAGTAATATCACAAATTTGACAGACATGCAAAATAATGTTTACGGGACCATTAAAAGGAAGCGTCTTGGTGTTAGGAATTTTAAGAGAATGAAATTTAAATCTTGTAGAGTATACAGGTATTTGTGTTGTATCACAATTTTGTGAAGTCTGCTTGATTATTACCAACAACAAAATTTTCAATAGCAGTGATTTAAAAAAGATAACAGTTCATATATTTTTTCTCATAAAAGTAAAAGTTAGATGAAGAAAAACATTTTTGGTAGTATTTAAATACAATTTTATAATTAAACCGATGGAATTGATATGATTAGTAAAGCATTTACGGATGTTGAATATTTGAATAGTTTCATTATAATTATATAAATTTATACAGAATTTACAAAAATATGAATTGATACAAGCATATAACTCTCGAACAGTATTGATTCATGCATGCTCCACGTTAACACAATTTCGACTTTAGCTTAAATGTGCTGTAGAACACTTGTAGACAAAATGGTGGAATGACTGAATGTTGTTGTTGTTAAATGTTAGAAGTATTTAACATGCTCCTTGTAAGGAGCCATATTATGACACGTCACAATATTTTTATTTAGTGACATGATAAAACGAAAAGATTCAAACTTCCATAGTAATTTCATGTAGCATCCAGAAAAAGGTAATTGGTGCGCTTTATATAATTTTCTTGGATATTTATTTAATAAAAGAGTGCATGAATTAAAAGTAAAAAAGGCAGACATGTCCGCACACAAAAATATAATATCACACATTTAGATGCTTGTACCAAATATCCAAAATGAAAGAAATGATTTTGTACATTAATAAGTAGCTGCAGTAGAACATGTTTAACTTTTTATAAACAAAATGTATTAATTTAAGCAATTCATAGGAACACAAATGAAACATCATCATGGTTAGATAGCCATGTCGTTTTGAAATTCGAAGTGTATTAATAAGTACCAGTTCATTTGCGCAATATAGAAAATTGTATCATTTTTAGAATTGCATTTTGAAAAAGCTCTTTTTGGGGGACATTTTTCGTTTTATTCACATTTTCACATTTTGCTATATGCACATTATAGGGACACTGTTTATATTTGTATTATTATGCCCACATCCACAATGTTTGTGATATTGTCATTTGAATATCTAAATCGTGTTTTTCCTTCTCTAATAAATGATGCTATTTATCTTATTTTTCCTCAAAAAAAGTTATAAATGATGCAAATGTTTCACGAAAATTTATTTTCCTTGCTTTTGAATGATAACCCCATTGTGTGTTGCTTTTTATTTGTCCTACATTAAAATGTGAACTAACATCAATTATTTTGTGTTCGAAGAACCTAGTCGTCACAAGTTGAGACCATTTGAGATAATATGGAATCTAATAAGATCATCAAACACCGTATTATGTTTGCTGTAATACAACATTTTATTTATACGTTTATCCAGGAAGAGCACGTGGTTAAATAGAGTTTTAAAATAATAATGTATTTGCATATTGCTTCAAAGTTATGATTCAGAATAAGCTGCAATCTTGAAATGTTTATATTTTTTGTTTTGGTACTTTAAACTGTTTAACAGCTATTATACTTGTAATTTGGACGTATTGTTTTAATTACAATAACTGGTATATTGTTCATTTCAGTAACAATTTCTTGAAGCTGAATATTTACTACGAGGATCTCAATTACGAAAATATAACGCAGGTCCCAGAAATAGAGGTATAAAATTGAATCATGATATAAATACTGTTTATCTTGGTCCGTAATCTAATATCAGTAAAGACTACAGTAGTCATTTTCAATGGTATTGCATTTTTTTAAATTTGAAGTGAAGTAGTCGCGTTTTAAATACGTAACCTATATCTCCAAAATCATGTTATGATGTGTATTTCTTTTGCAATTGTCCTTTCGCAAAACAAGAGAAACTTGGTTGATTCTATACAGTTATTGTTACAGTGTTCAAAAACGTCTTATGATATGTATAACTGTTAATTTATAATCTTTTATCCGTTTTAGGTTCAGCAGTTTTTATCAGATGTGGGCGGAGCAATTGGCTTATGGATAGGTTTGTCAATACTGAGCCTTTGTGAGCTTGTCCAACTATTCGTCGAGTGCTGTGATTACGGTATTCATAAAACTGTTAGAGAAAGACGTCAAAACAAAAAGAGACTTAGAAAGGAACGCAAAAGACATGGTGAAACTAATGGGCACAATGCTGCTGCAAAAGATGAAAGTCTTTGGCCAAGGACAAACTATGGATATGACGATGAAAGTTCTCGAAATAAATTTCATTATTCCAATAAAGATCGTGATCCACATCCGCGCCAAGGTCATTCTGGAAATGACGCTGTTTATAATAGACCTTATACGGAGGACTTCAATGGTCACACCTATTATTCTGGGAGAATTTGAAAAAAAGAAGAATGTACTAGTATTCGCTTAATTTGATTTCTTGAAGAACCTTGGTAACTTTATCACATGTTAACCTATTAGTTAAATGAAAGTTTGTTTTTAATGAAATACATGTTATTGTTATATTTTAATTCGAGTATTTGTTTAAGTTTCTGAAAATAAAAAAAATGCATTTGTTTTGTTTCTAAACCATTTACTTAGCTTATTAATGTTATCCGCTTCTTAAATGAAATATCACCAATTTAAACTAAATTCGTAAAATAAAAGTACTCTCAGTCCCTTCAATATTCGTTCAGAAGGAATTTCACACTTTGGAATTTTGTGTTTAGAAAAAAGATTATTTTCGAATAAATAATTAATACGATAACTTGTACCAATGAAGCATTTATGATTAATATTGATCCAAATATACATCAGTATTATCAGTTAGTAATAAAACAGTTTCCTTTTTTATTAAAAAGGAACTTAAATAAGCAAGAAGAAGATAAAGCAAATAATTCATCAGATTAATAATGATCTATTCATCCATTCTTGTAAAGTAAATGATATTTATGGCTAAATTGTACAGGCCTAGTATATAAAAACATGAAAAAATACGAAAAAATACGAATTTAAGGAGAAAAACTTTATTCTTTGTTTAACTACAGTATTTTACGCTGCAAATATCAAACAACCCATGAAACTTGTTAGCCCGCCACCATAAAGAGCTCCGTCGTCATGTACCACGTGTTTAACCCAAACCTGATCTCCAACATCTAGAAGCAGAGCAATGGTGACAGAGCCCTGCTCCGGTGGACCGCCGATATCATCAACGTAGCCCCTGCTACGTACACTCCATTCTTCATGATCCCTACATGTAATTCGCCCTTGTCATTCCAGTAGCTGGAAATGGATGTTGAAACGATGTAAAGACCAGCTGTTGGTGCAACAAAGACACTTGAAACGTTGTTGTAGCCACCACCAATGTTTAGTTTCACGTTCGGAAAAGGAATAGTAGATCCAACATGAATGTGTTCCAAACCGGAGTCTTGATCAAGGGTCGCATGAAAGGCAACTGTCTCTAAGTCTTGCGCTAGAAACCGTTTCTTCTTTTCTTCCATCAGCGTTTCGACGTTTGTCTGCATGAATTGGTCTGTAAAGCAAACACTGTTTCATGTTTATAAAGAAAATATAGTTTAAATAGATATTTAACTTTTATTTAATGCTTGCATATCTATTTAAATAGGATCGATTGAATAAGTTTCATACAGTTATCATGTGATGCTGAAATAGCTTTTAAACATGCTTGAACGACAGTCGATGACTATATGTTAATACGCTATTTATGTAATAGCTAATTTGTTTATTTATACTCCTGACAATTTCTATGTGTTTCATGCTCTAACTAAAAATGTTCGCAAACAGTTTCATTTTTTTTTTCAATACAGTTTTTATTAGTTCAATACGATGCTGTAATTTTTTGTAAAAAATAATAAATTCGTTCAAACTACATTTTTTTCTTGTGTCAGACTAGACACCGTATGCAATATATGACGGTTAGCCTAAGAAATGTTTTTTGATGTGTGTTTAAAACACTTACTGTTTAACTTTGTGATAAGAGCGTTCTGTTCTTTGATGTGTTTCTCCTGGTCATTCAAGCGGCGTTCTAGGTTTTCATTTTTCAGTTTCTCGTCATTAATGATTTCTTCAAATCTAGTGTGTGCAGTGCGTTCCTGGAGCACTTCTAGCTGGAGACGACGTATTTGTACCTCTTGTTCTTTAACCACAAGATTTCGTTTATTTTCTGAAGAAAAAAGAAAGAAAAGAAAAGAAATGATATGCTCACAGAAAACAGCATGTGTTAGTCATAGTACATGTAATAGTAACAGATCTTGAAAACAGTGATCCTCATTCCTCAAAAGGAAATGAAAACAAAAGATTGAAGGTGAAAAATGACAGACTAGGTTTTATTGTGTATGTTCATGGGATATAATGAAAGTTGCAATAACTCTCACACCCCACGCCCTCGGTACCGACCAAAGCGGTAAAACAATCTGGAACACTAAAAATATGAGATGCTGTGACTGTGTTCTCAAGGACCAGAGAAATGTAACAGATTCATAATTATATAACGTCTTTCTTGGCATCATTTAATATCCTTTATGACAAGACAGAGAATTTATATTATATGTTGGTTAAAAAGGCAACCTAAATGTTTCAATCGAAATGCAATGAATGGTAATAAAATAATCAAGTTATGAAGTTGCGTTAAGAACATATTTGTTCATCAATTATTGACTCTCACAAAATTAATGAATGAATTACGTTCTTCAAAAATAAAATCTCAATAAGAAACGTCTTTTCACTGTTTTTTTTAAATGGTTTGGTTTAAGAAAGTAAACCTCCGTAGAAATCCTTTCCTAAGATATTTGATACAAAGTAAGAACTGCCATTTATAAAATGATAAGATAGATTATGGTGAACTGTAAGTTAGTAGCTAACTTCAGCATACAATGATTGTTTTCCAGAAATAAAAAAAGTCACTTACCAGCATTTTCTAATTTCTCCACTCTCACTAATAACTGAGATAGTTTGTCAAAATCATTCGCAGTACAGCCATCTAAAGAGACGAAAATTAACACAACTATTAATGTCAACATTATGGCACCAGTGTGATCATCATTTTAGGCTAGATAAGTTCTCTTATCTTATTGTTCAATGTCATTCAAGCATTCGTTCATAGTCGAGATCAACGAGTAAACACTCCATTTAGGCAATTGTTATCTTAAAATCATAGACGGGTTTCCAACCTTTGCTTTAGAATTCATTTGTACACATAAAATCAAACGTGGCAACAAAACACGTTACATCTTAAGCCTCAGTGGAACTACATGCATGCATGCATATAAGCCGTTAAGTGCATAGGAAAGTTATATCTGTACAGCTGAATCTCATTTTAAGCTTCTAAAATCATTAGTACCAGTCTAAAAAGATGTTGTGCGCAATTAAATTACGACTATATTTAAATGAAAAATTAACATCCATATGAACAAATTTGTAAAAGGAAAAATCAGAAAATATCATTTACGTTACATTTAACATTACGATAAGTGGTTCATTCCGTTTTTAATCCGTTAAACTGTATATCAATTAATCATTGTTTTCTAAAAGCAATCCGACCAAATCAGAATCAGCTGCAAACAGACCTCTCGCGTGCTTTCTGTCAAAGAAGAACACTTAATAATTATAATATTATGTAATTAAACGCCTCTTTGATTTCATGGTGACACACAATTTATCGGAACAATGGGCCTTATACCAAGTGAATATATGTACCTATGTTATTTATTTATGAACATGACACATATAAAAAATTATCACAATAATTTAATTTACCTTATTTTATTAATCTTTGTTAATGTTTGAAGTAAAAGAAGAAAAAACACCCCTTACAGAGTTAAGATAAAAAAAAAATATTTATACGACAAAAAAATAATCAATTGCTGCGGGAATACCAATTAGAAAAGATATAGATCTAAATCAATTACAGACAGCCTAACAAGAAAGACAAATGATGTAACTATTTTCCGAAATAATTTCCGCTACGATAAGACATCAATAGAATCTTATTTATCTTTTTATGCGTTTAACTGTTAATTAATGATCGTTTATCTTTTTCAGGTTCAGCAGTTTCTTTCTGACGTGGGCGGAGCAATTGGCTTATGGATAGGTCTGTCAATACTGAGCCTTTGTGAGCTTGTCCAACTATTCGTTGAGTGCTGTGATTACGGTATTCATAAAACTGTTAGAGAAAGACGTCAAAACAAAAAGAGACTTAGAAAGGAACGCAAAGGACATGGTGAAACTAATGGGCACAATGCTGCTGCAAAAGATGAAAGTCTTTGGCCAAGGACAAACTATGGATATGACGATGAAAGTTCTCGAAATAAATTTCATTATTCCAATAAAGATCGTGATCCACATCCGCGCCAAGGTCATTCTGTAAATGACGCTGTTTATAATAGACCTGGTACGGAGGACTTCAATGGTCACACCTATTATTCTGGGAGAATTTGAAAAAAAGAAAATTGTGTTCGCTTAATTGGATTTCTTGAATAACCTTGGCAACTTTATCACATGTTAATCTATTAGTAAAATGAAAGTTTGTTTTCAATGAAATAACTGTTATCTTTTTATTCGAGTATTTGTTTAAGTTTGTGAAAATAAAAAAATGCATTTGTTTTGTTTCCAAACCATTTACTTAGCTTATTAATGTTATCCGCTTCTTAAATGAAATATCACCAATTTAAACTAAATAATATTATGTAAAATAAAAGTACTCACAGTCCCTTCATTATTCGTTCAGAGGGTATTTTACACTCTGGAATTGTTTATTTTATTAAAAAGATTATTTTCGAATAAATGATTAATACGATAATTTGTACCAATGAAGCATTTATGATAAATATTGATCCAAATATACCTCAATATTATCGGTTAGTAATAAAACAGTTTCCTTTTTATTAAAAAATAACTTAAATAAGCAAGAAGAAGATAAAAGCAAATAATTATACAGATTAATAATGATCTATTCATCTATTCTTGTAAAGTAAATGATATTTACAGCTAACTTGTAGAAAACATGAAAGAATACGAATAAGACAAACAGGTTAAAGAGAGAAACTTTATTCTTTGTTAAACTACAGTATTTTACGCTGCAAATATCAAACAACCCATGAAACTTGTTAGCCCGCCACCATAAAGTGCTCCGTCGTCATGTACCACGTGCTTAACCCAAACCTGATCTCCAACATCTAGAAGCAGAGCAATGGTAACAGAGCCCTGCTCCGGTGGACCGCCGATGTCATCAACGTAGGCCCCTGCTACGTACACTCCATTCTTCATGATCCCAACATGTAGTTCCCCCTTGTCATTCCAGTAGCTGGAAATGGATGTTGAAACGATGTAAAGACCAGCTGTTGGTGCAACAAATACATTAGAAACGTTGTTGTAGCCTCCACCAATGTTTAGTTTCACATTCGGAAAAGGAATAGTAGATCCAACATGGATGTGTTCCAAACCGGAGTCTTGATCAAGGGTCGCATGAAAGGCAACTGTTTCTAAGTCTTGGGCTAGAAACCGCTTCTTCTTTTCTTCCATCAGCGTTTCGACGTTTGTCTGCATGAACTGGTCTGTAAAGCAAACACTTTTCAAGTTTATAATGAAAATATAGTCTTAAGAAATATTTAACTTGAACGTTTGCTTGCATATCAAAATTTTATTTAAAATAGGATTGAATAAATTTCACACTTTATCATGCGATGCTCAAATAGCTTCTAAACATGCTTGAACGACAGTCGATGACTATATGTTAATACGCTATTTATGTAATAGCTAATTTGTTTATTTACACTCCTGAAACATTACATTCTAAATGTTTCATGCGCGAACAAAAAATGATCGCAAACAGTTTCATTTTTTTTCAATACCATTTTTATTAGTTCAATACGATGCTGTAATTTTTGTAAAAAATAATGAATTCGTTCAAACTACATTTAGTTCTTGTGTCAGACTAGACACCATATACATGACGGTTAGCCTAAGAAATGTTTTTGACTGTGTGTTTAAAACACTTACTGTTTAACTTTGTGATAAGAGCATTCTGTTCTTTGATGTGTTTCTCCTGGTCATTCAAGCGGCGTTCTAGGTTTTCATTTTTCAGTTTCTCGTCATTTATGATTTCTTCAAATCTAGTGTGTGCAGTGCGTTCCTGGAGCACTTCTAGCTGGAGACGACGTATTTGTACCTCCTGTTCTTTAACCACAAGATTTCGTTTATTTTCTGAAAAAAAGAAAGAAAGGATATGGTATGCTCAAAGAAAAACAGAATCTGTCAGTCATAGTACATGTGATAGTAACAGATCTTGAAAACAGTGATCCTCATCCCTCAAAAGGAAATTTAAACAAAAGATTGAAGGTAAAAATGGCAAACTATGTTTTATTTTGTATGTTTATAGGATAAAATGAAAGTTGCAATAACTCTCACGCCCCACGCCCTCGGTATCGACCAAAGCGGTAAAACAATCTGCGACACTAAAAATATGAGATGCAATGTTCTCAAGAACCAGAGAAATGCAACCGATTCATAAATATAATGTCTTTCTTGGTATCATTTAACATCATTTATGGCAAGACAGCGAATTTATATTATATGTTGGTTAAAAAGGCACCCTAAATATTTCAATCGAATGGCGATGATTGGTAATATTTAAAATATCAAGTTATGTAGTTGCGTTAAGAACATATTTGTTCATCAATTATTGACTCTCACAAAATTAATGAATGAATTACGTTCTTCAAAAATAAAATCTCAATAAGAAACGTCTTTTCACTGTTTAAATGGTCTGTTTAAGAACGTAAAACTTCCGTAGAAATCCTTTCCTTAGATATTTGATACAAAGTAAGAACTGCCATTTATAAAATGATAAGATAGATTATGGTGAACTATAAGTTAGTAGCTAACTTCAGCATACAATGATTGTTTTCCAGAAATAAAAAAGTCACTTACCAGCATTTTCCAATTTCTCTACTCTAACTAATAACTGAGATAGTTTGTCAAAATCATTCGCAGTACAGCCACCTAAAGAGACGACAATTAACACAACTATTAATGTTAACATTATGGCACCAGTGTGATCATCATTTTAGGCTAGATAAGTTCTCTTATCTTATTGTTCAATGTCATTTAAGCATTCGTTCATAATCGAGATCAACGAGTAAACACTCCATTTAGGCATTTGTTATCTTAAAAATCATAGATAGTTTTCAGACATTTGCTTTAGAATGCATTTGTACACAGAAAACCTAAAACGTGGCAACAAAATACGGTACATCTTAAGTCTCAGTGGAACTACATGCATGCATGCATATAAGCCGTTAAGTGCATAGGAAAGTTATGTCTGTACAGCTGAATCTCATTTTAAGCTTCTAAAATCATTAGTACCAGTCTAAAAAGTTGTTGTGCGCAATTGAATTACAGACTATATTTAAATGAAAAATTAACATCGATATGAAAAAAAATTGTGAAATGAACAATCAGAAAATATCATTTAAGTTACATTTAAATGTCCTGTAACACAATTTTTTCATGGTTTCATTTCATAAATATGATGCTCAAATTAAGATTTGTCAATATTGTAAGTTCCAATAAGCATTATTTATAAAGATATTACCGAATTTAACATTTCATGTAAATAAAGGGAGGTAATTAGAAATTTATTTTCTATAAATTCTAAGTCAATTTTTCCGATAAGAAATGAATGCATATAATTTATTGATTAAATATAATGTGCACAAATATCACTACACATTTTACATATTCTTCGATGTTTGGAAATTGTTTTGTTTGCATAATTATATACATATATAATTTTTTGCAAGTGTGGGGCCTCAGTGGCTGAGTGGTTAAGGTCGCTGGTTTGAGATCACAGATCCTTCGCCGCTGTAGGTTCGATCCTCACTCGGGTAGAAATCTTTCATGTGAGGAAGCCATCAGGATGGCTTACGGAAGTTCGGTGGTTCTACCCAGGTGCCCGCTCGTGCCTGAAATAATGCCCGGATGTCTTCCTCCACCATTAAAAGCTGGAGAAAAAAATTGACGAATAAATCTCGGCGGGACGCTCTAGGATGGCCCGACTTGAGTGTACGGTCACCCATATGGGCTTTCCGGCGGCGACCTTAAATAAACGATCACAATCAGCTGCAAACAGACCTTTCGTGTGCTTTCTGTTAAAGAAGCAAACTTAATATTTATTGCTCCACGCCTGTTGATCCTTAAAGTAAAAGTAAGCACCCTGTATTATATATATATTATATAGTTATGATATAGAAAATATTTATACGACAAATAATAACCAATTGCTGCAGGAATACCAATTAGAAAAGATATAGACTTAAAACAATTACAGATAGCCTAACAAGAAAGACAAATGATGTATTTCTTTTCCGAAATAATTTCCGCTACGATAAGACATTAATAGAATCTTATTTATCTTTTTTATGCGATTTCAAAATAGTCATCATAACGTTAGGAAAAGGTATTGTTTGTATTCATGGTTGTTTCATTAAAATATGTGCATGAGTTGTACCTATGTCCTTGTAGTAAATGGAAAACGTGTCATCACTTATTATATGATTATGTATTTCTGTGGAAAAAAATAGTTTCGTCAAACTGAAACCACCACCATTGCTTTTTTGTTGTGAGTGATGTCAAATTTTGATTAAAATGTGAAATAATTATGTCCGAAGAATTTAACACTTTCATTGCCATATCGAAGAAACTTTTTCATGGAAAATAATTACTTTTATTCAATTACAAAAAGTATGGTTAAAACAATATCAATAAATTGCAAAAAAATATATATCTCCTACATGTTTATGAAAATAACGTATATGTAAGGTATAAATTTAGGTTTATATATTCTTAACTGACCCATTTCAAGTAAGCAGAATTGTAACTGCATCGAAGAACTGTCACTCGAAATAGTATAAATAAATAAATAAATAAATAAATAAATAAATACATAAAAAAAGAAAGAAAAAAAGATAGAAAGAAAGAAAGAAAAGAAAGAAAGAAAGGAATAAATAAATAAATAAATAAATAAATAAATATAAATAAATAAATAAATAAAAAAAAATATAAATGAATAAATAAATAAATAAAGAAAGAAAGAAAGAAAGAAAGAAAGAAAGAAAGAAAGAAAGAAAGAAAGAAAGAAAGAAAGAAAGAAAGAAATAAATGGTGTGTGTGTGTATTCACTATAAGACGTTAATATCATCACAGACTTAAATAAGATAAGATAGATAGATAAAATAATCTTTATTTATCGGCGGTTACAATAAACATAATAACACTAGCCATAAAAGCTATTTTCCGATGTTACAGAGTATCCTTTAACATGCAAACAAATAACCTGTATAAAAAATAGATTAAGAGGCTCGAATTAAAGCTGTAAATAAATTAAGATAAATAAGCACATATGGTTAAAATAATTGACTACAAGCAATTATCACAATATGATTCAACAGACTAGAAAGCATTTTATGTACCTAAACATAATAAGCAAAAATAAAAAACAAAAAAGAGGTCAGTAATCTATTTTTAATAAAGACTGTCCAAAAGACCAACATACTATTTGAGCATATATACGGACTGCAATTAAAATCCGTGATATCATGCTCCTTAAGTTGAAGATTTAGATTGCATTTTAAAACTTTTTTCAAACAATTTCTGAGAAATAGTTAATATCCAGCTGCTATCAAATTATAAAGCTTGACAAAAAAATAAAATAAACTGCACCGCTTTAAGTTTCCGTTTTACTATTTAGTACGGCACTAAGCAATCTTTAGCCAAACCATGATCAATCGTTTGGTGCACTCAGATGTACACGTAGTCGTCACTTCCTGAAAAAGCGTTTGAAAAATTATCAACATGGCAAGTGCCGGTAATTGGTCAGTTGTTGGTAAAACAAAGAAAGCGAAAGGGCAGAATCAAAATCTGACGAAGTCTCAGCGAAAGCAATTCATTGATAATATGCCAAGGATCGCTCCTCTGGGTAAAATGATTTTTTTTATATTGCGCAACATGAAGAAAAAGTGGGTGGGGTACATCCACAGCTGATTTGGGCTATTTTGATAAAGCGTATTCCCAGTAAAAATGAAAGCAAATGTATATACCTGTCTTTCTTCAGGATATGCAATTTTAATAAGAGAAAGTTAAAGTCTCAGTTCGTTTAATTTTGAGAAACGCAATGTTTGCGAAATGTAGCCACACTTAGGGACAAAATTATAAACAGGTCTAGGATTCCATAATTTTACGGATTTTCTTATCTGTAAATTTACAGACATTAAGTAAGAAAATAGTAGAAGTATTCAAGTTGCATTAAAATTTTAAACCGCAGGTTAAAATGAATAAGGTTAGGTATTATATGATTAAATGTAAGTTGTAACAGTATGCTAAGATTCAGAACAGTTTGATGACTTTCAATTTTCACTTTTAACAAAAATTTCAAAATCATCATACAAAGATGAAACTCACCCCATTACCTTTGTAAATATAAACAATCAATAAAACAACTTGTCTTAAGCTGCGGATTTTATTGTAAAACTAAAAACAGCAAATTTCACATTGAATATCTGTAAATTTATGGATTGAAAAATCTTTAAATTTCTAGACTGTCTATAAATTTACGGACAGTCCATAAATATCATGAAATCCTAGACCTGATAAACATGCTGATGAAAGTGCCTGATCGGGCTTAGACATAAAATATCATATTTCTAGAATAGAAAAATTATTAATATGTTTCTTTCTCAATTGTTTTGTTTATTAAGCATTGATATATCATACAAATCAAAATCAAAATATTTTGGTTATCTTTTTTTTTCCTAGAATTTTTTTCCCTTTCCCAAAATTACAAATTGTATTCATGTGCCAGCTAGTATCGATAAGATCATCAAAATCACTTTTTTGTTTATTTCTCTTTGTTTGCATGTCAAATTGAATCTTCATTAATATTAAATATCAAAACAGGTATGACATAAATTATTCAAACTTGCTTTTATACATCGATTTCTGTAATTAGTGTTGATTTTGGTTTGCTTAGATAGGGGAAGAAATCATGAAAAATATATTTTTGTCTCTAACATCATCAATATCTATCATTTTTTAGTGATTTTTTGCATGTAAGTTCAATTCAACCCATATTTCTTAAAGCTACATTAAATAAATTTGATAAAAACAGAAATGGCGACATTTTATTAATAAATTGGGTTTCATATTGACTCCAGATTTTATTTTGGTGTCAAGACAACTAAAATAAGTTTTATAAGCATAAAAAATGGGCAACCTCATTGTGGCGAAATCGGAAGTACAATAATAATTATTTCTGTTTGCATGAGAAACTCCGCCCTCGGTTCATCCGTTCATCAATATGAAATCAACAAACATGACTATGTGCAGCAGTTCTAATCTAACGGTATATTTCCGCATTGTAACGGATGTTTTCATACAAATTTAATCCTTTTTATGAGATGATTACTTTGTTCTGAACCACGGGCCTAGTGCACCATGAAGCTAAAACGGTTAAAGTGTGTTTGCACAAGAAAATCTCATATTTGCTGTGTTCCGGATAGCAACTATAACAATGTGACGTAGCACATACACGAGCTGATTATTGTCTTCATTTGCATGTTAAATTTCGTATACGAACTTTAGTGTTACCCTGGGGTTTTCCGTTTAAAATCCTAATTTATGAACAATATTTGATGAGATTTACCACATAACTGTTAAAAAGGTTTATGAAACTGTATAATGCTTGTTTTTTAGACCGACTGCAAAATATTTTTACATATTTATTTAATGTAACTTTAATTTTTCAAAAATAATTCAAATAAATTGTTTAATTGTAATTTTATAAGTTGATTTCGGTAATGAAAAGTTGATTTCGGTAAAGTTACTGAAATCAAATTGATTTCCGTATCGTAACATACTGCCAGTACGCCTCTAGTTAGGAGGGAAACACTAAAAATCACTGCAAATAATCAAATATTTATTATAAATATAATAATGCTTATGTCCTCGCTTGAAAAAAGACTTCTAATCCTATCATATTAAAACTGTTTTTGTAAAAAAATAGCTTTTTAGTTACAAATGCTTAAATAAGACAAATTCTAACTTAAGAAAATTTAATATCTAGAAAGAAAAAAATTAAATACTTGTAAAATTGAGGGCACATCAGAGCATTCAGTCATACTTACATTCCATTTAGTAAACAATAATAATCTGACAAAAATATATAATATATTCTTTTACTTGTTAAATCCGTGAAGAATTATCAAATTCTTTAAAAAAGAGCGATGACAACTTCAGTCAAAAATGAGTGAATGTTGGTAGCATTTTGATGGTGTTTGAATAAATACAATTCTAACACTATCAGAGATTTCCCTTATTAAATATAAACAAAGAAGGCCAGAAGCGTGATATATTACACAGCAGATACACACTTGGCGGTGCCATCCTGTTTGAAAAATCTATTAAAAAATTTTTTTGTTGAACTTTGCCCTGAAAACTATCTAGAATGATAGAAAATGGTCTAAGAAAATAAATCAGAATACTATTCTACTAAGTTCAGTGATTAATGCTGTACAATACAGGGCCAAACAGCACTTATGCAAAAACGGTAAAAAAATAGTGCTATTTCAATGTTGAAAAACAAATATCACTTTTATTTCACTATAAAAAATAAATTTGTTATTCTCAAAATGTTTGTGTGAACGGTAGATTTAACAACAGTGTTTTCAACGGACTGGAACAGCCTTTAAAATAAAGAATGTTGCTATTAGAAACTCTGAGGCAAAAACAGATTTCAACAACAAAAAAGCAAGGAACCAAATAATGGCAAATTGACCATATTGTATTATATTTTCAGATCCTATGAAAGAAGATTCGACTATATATGATGCCTTTGTAATTCGTGAGCAGCAGCGATATGAAAGGAAACAGCAGGAAAAGTTTGCCGATAAAATTGAAGCTGGCAAAGAGTCTAATGGTAAAAGCTTATCAGATGGCGCAAATAAGAAAAAAAGTGTTCAGAAAAAGAAAGTAGACCAGTCACCCAAGAAAAGACCGTTTGAAGATGGAATTAAAGAGGTACGTGATTTTCTATCCATTTTGTATTGTAAGTTGAATTAATGAGACATGACTTGCTTCGATCAGGTTTCTTAATGGTTTTGTGCCGAAAAAATCTTTTTGCGCAGGGATTGTGCAACCATTTACTGTGTGATCCAGGTAAGAAAATAGGGCAAACATGTGCATGTGCTTACATGTTATAAAGCTTGGTTGTGTTCATTTATGTACTTCTTATCTCTTTTGTAATAATTTGTGGCTGAGCGTCACTGTAACATTTCTATTGCTTTAGCTCTTTTCTTTTTATGTGTCCTTGTATAGTGGTTTTTCACATCAAATGGAAGCCAAATATAGAATTCTATATTTAACTTTCAAGCTGACAAAATTGTTTGAAACTGACCAATCTTATCCCAGTACTTTATGTGAAGGTTTTTCCATCCGTGTTAATTTTAGGCATATACAGCAATCTATGAAAACACCATTTATAAATTTTGCATTATTTATCATATGAAGCTTATTATTTCACTGTTTTAATAGATTTAAATGTTAAATTTTCTCCTGGTTACTACACAAGAATGTCTTAATTAAAAAAGCAGTAGTTGTTGCAAAAAGGTAAAATATAAGTAGTGAACTTATGCAATAAATTAATTTCATTGTTTACTCCTAGTCTACTAAATAATCAGAAATATTTAATCTGCATTGTTCAAGAGACATTGAAAATATATTGATATAACATAAGTCTCGCTGTTTCCCACCATGACAAAGTTTTCCCTGACTAAGTTAATAAGCACCTGTGTCATATGAGACAGTCACCTAAATCACCCAGATGAACTTCATCTTTCATAGATCTTGTGATGATAAAAGGAGATTAAAATCATTATAGTCTTATAAAAGTAGTATACTAAGTGTGATTTCATATATAAATTTTGGAGGAAAAGAAGGTGTGTAGATGTTTACAATCTACATACTGATACACCCCTCCTATATCAACCTGTAAATAGAACAGTCTTCCTTCCTGTGAGAGTTACGAGGAAGTCTACTTATTTACATACATTTATCATGATTCATTTTATCACATACCCGTGCCGCTTTTGCGAATCTGTGATAATGGTATTGCATGGTCGTGCATATATTTTTACGTGGCGTCATTTGCGTTATACGAACATAGTGTTAAGATGCGCTAAATGTTAGCGTTGCACTGTAGGAGCGTCAATAAAAAATGACATTTTCACTTTAAATGGCTTTTGTTTTTGGTATGGTATAAATTATCCTGATGGTTAAACAAAATTATTTACATAGTAACTATTTCGTGAAAGCTTCTATAGGATTTTAAAAGCATCAAATTCAAGTATTGAAATATGGCAAATGGTTGTTAGGTTGGAGACAAAATTGAATATAAGTGTTTTCACAGTAAAAGTTATGTTTTTAACTCTTAGGGAACAAAAGATTATCATTGATTCATTTGGGGTGAGAAACCTGATAAGGGGTCTCAGATACTTTAGCATTGATACATTTTAGCAACAGTTACTGTAAAAAAATCAAACAGAATAACTAGATTTCAGTAGAGGAAAATGTTTTTTTGTGTGCAATAACCACATTTAAACAGATTAAGTCACTACTTGTCTTAACCATAATCCTGCTTGCAGTTACTGCTTCTACTCATTGTAATATTATGCAACCAGTGCACGTCCTAGCAATCTGATTATAGTCTACATTGCTTTTCTGTCAGTATATTATTTCCCCTACAAATGATAATAAGTTTTGTCCAAAATAAAAAATGGACAAGTCCATTTAAGATATTATGCATTATAAGGATTTAACTGTAGGAAGTATTTCAAATGTCGAATAATAAGTGTTATGATATCACAGATTTTTCAAATCTTTATCTTTTATGATATTGTACTCATATATTTGTGATATTGTGCTCATATAGTTGATATTGTATTACAGGTTGCTGAAGCTGACCTGAAATCTGTACTGCTACAATCTAAAGGTCACTTTCCTGACAAGCCTGAACTGTGGTTGAAGGATCTTGTTACCTTTCTCAACATGAAGTTAGAGCACTGTCCAGACAATGACAAATTCCTTAAGAAAGAAAATTTGGGTAATTATCAGCATAGTTGTAATTAATTTATAGCTGATTTGTTTATGAGAATAAGTATATTTCCTTAAATCTGAAATAGTTGCTTTGAGGTGAAATGAAAAGAAACAGTTTCATTTTGCCTTTTGTAAACCATTACATTATAATATTATATGTATTTTTTGTCTTACATATCATGAGGTAATTAGCCCTTAAGAGTGCATGCTTTGATTCTGTTAACTGAATGACATAAAAATATATTATTATTTATGATTTATGTTGAGATAATTTAATCCTAATTATTTATGTTTATAAATGCTCATCATACATGTACATTTAACTTTCTTGAATATTCATTTTAAAATGTTCTTGAGTAAAACATGTAAAAAACATATTAAATTCAAATGGATATTGTTAAAAGTCATTATTTGTTATATAAGATCTATGGCCATATGATGAAGGTTGATTACTTAGAACTACTCATCCTTAATAAGTTAATTGTTTTCAGTTTATGAACAAAGCTGCACATTCTATTAATCGAAAGTTGTTTAGCTTGTATGTAATTAAGTGTTTGTCATTATATCAAAATGCCAAACTTGTGACTTAAATAAAACTTAACTTGGGAGTCTACCACTTTTGATTGTTGTACTATTAGGAGATTAAATGTTAGCATATGACCTTTATAGTTCTATTGTCACTTTAAAGTTTAATTCCAAAAAAAAACCAAATCTTTCATTTTACGAAGGTTTTCAAGCTATTTAACTCTTCATCTTCTTAACATAAGGTTGATGCTTTAAAAAATACTTGTGACTTGAAAAATATATATACATGGTCACCTGAGGTCATTCTCCATGAGTAATGAACTTTACAATGCTTTTATGACTTAAAAATCAACCAAATAAATAAATTAAATTCAAACTGTAAGTAAAACATATGAAGAGATAATACATGATGCTTTATTTTCCTCCAGATTATCCGGCATCCTCCCTGAAGAAAGGTTGTACGAAAGTTTTGACCTCCGTACTCTCTGACTGTAATGCCGCAACTCTTGAACACGTACTGTATTTCTGTATCATGACGATGCTAGAGGAGTGTCAGAACGGAAACCCGACACACGGTTATAAGATCTTCCTTCAGTTGCTTGTCAGAGGAAGCCCTGATATTGTCTTGTCAAAACTTGACCAGGTAAGTGCTAGGATAATCAGTTAAATATATAGGATTGAATTGTACATGATAGAGATTCAAATGATATCAAAGTAAACTCCATGAGCTGCAAATAATTTTACCGTCTGATCATAGTCTGTACTGTTTGCTGTTTAATCTTTCACCATATATTAAAATTTTCCTTGAAAATGATGAATAATCTTATTTAAATTGAAAGATGGGCAATTTATCATGGGCAATGGTTGATTTTCCCCAAATAATGATGAATGGATTAGTCCATATTGGAAAAAAGACTAGCACACATTAAAAGATATTTACCATGAAAAGGGATATAGTTTATGTGCAGAGACTACTAAGTAGGTTAATCACTGAGTTGATGTTATAGAATTTTACACTGGTTACTGGCCGTAATGAGGCTGTGTCGACAGTTTTTTAGCTCGACTTTTTTTTTTTTTTGAAAAAAAAAGGAGAGGTATTGTTATAGTCAGGTCGGCGTTGCCGTCTCCGTTGCCGTCCGAAAACTTGTACCTGGATCATAACTTTTTTATTTCTTGCTGTATTGTCTTCATACTTGGCCACAACAACCCTTGGGACAAGACCTTTCAGTAGACCACACTAACCTTGACCTTCATCCATAAATGACCTTGACCTTCAAGGTTTAAAGTCCAATTTTTGCTTGTTCATGCTGTTATTGGCTGTTACTTTGTTATTTTTGAATGGATTGTCTTCAAACTTGAACATAATAATTCTCAAGGATATCCCTTAAAAATAACCAGTCAGACCTTGACATTCACTCATCAATGACCTTGACTTTGAAGGTCAAATTATTGAAATTTTCATTTTTTTGGCTATTATTGGCTGTAACTTTGTTATTTTTGAATGGATTGTCTTCAAACTTGAACAAAATAATCTTCAAAGATAACTGTTAAAAATATACCGAAAGACCTTGACCTTCACTCATTAATGACATTGCCTTTGAAGGTCAAATTATTGAAATTTTCATTGTTTTGGCAGTAACTGACTGTAACTTTGCTATTTTTGAAGGGATAAACTTCATATTATAACAGAACATTCTTAAGGACCAGACCTTGTTGTTTATCAAACCCAAATTTGCTTAGGCTCTTTAATGACCTTGACCTTGAAGGTTATATTACTGAATTTTCTCAGATTGTGCATTTATTGGTGTGTGTGTATGTATAGTATATGTATTATATATATATATAAATGTGTGTGTGTATATATATACATATATGCAGGTATATATATACATGTATGCATGTATATATATATATATATATATATATATACATATATAGATATATATATATATATCAAATATATATCAGATATATATATATATACATATATATACATGTATATAATTGCGTCATTTTTTTCTATTTTTAGAAATTGCGTCATTGTTGCTATTTTTAGAAATTGCGTCATTTTTTTCTATTTTTAGAAATTGCGTCATTTTTGTTCTATTTTTAGAAATTGCGTCATTTTTTTTCTATTTTTAGAAATTGCATCATGTTTTTCTATTTTTAGAAATTGCGTCATTTTTTCTATTTTTAGAAATTGCGTCATTTTTTTTCTATTTTTAGAAATTGCATCATGTTTTTCTATTTTTAGAAATAGCGTCATTTTTTCTATTTTTAGAAATTGCGTCATTGTTTCTATTTTTAGAAATTGCGTCATTTTTTCTATTTTTAGAAATTGCGTCATTTTTTCTATTTTTAGAAATTGCGTCATGTTTTTCTATTTTTAGAAATTGCGTCATTTTTTTTCTATTTTTAGAAGTTGCGTCATTTTTTTCTATTTTTAGAAATTGCGTCATTTTTTCTATTTTTAGAAATTGCGTCATTGTTGCTATTTTTAGAATTTGCGTCATTTTTTTCTATTTTTAGAAATTGCGTCATTTTTGTTCTATTTTTAGAAATTGCGTCATTGTTTCTATTTTTAGAAATTGCGTCATTTTTTCTATTTTTAGAAATTGCGTCATTTTTTCTATTTTTAGAAATTGTGTCATTGTTGCTATTTTTAAAAATTGCGTCATTTTTTTCTATTTTTAGAAATTGCGTCATTTTTTTCTATTTTTAGAAATTGCGTCATTGTTGCTATTTTTAGTAATTGCATCATTTTTTTCTATTTTTAGAAATTGTGTCATTGTTTCTATTTTTAGAAATTGCGTCATTTTTTTTTCTATTTTTAGAAATTGCGTCATTGTTTCTATTTTTAGAAATTGGTTTTTTTTATCTATTTTTAGAAATTGTGTCATTTTTTCTATTTTTAGAAATTGCGTCATTTTTTCTATTTTCAGAAATTGCGTCATTGTTGCTATTTTTAGAAATTGCGTCATTGTTGCTATTTTTAGACATTGCGTACTGTTGCTATTTTTAGAAATATGCTTAATGTTTCTATTCATATATATACAAAATATATAAACAAAACTAATGTGACAAGACAGTCCAACTAAATTTATAAAAAGGAAACATCAAACCTTTCTATGTTTGCGTTTAGAAAAAGTAAAAAGTCGAGCGTTGCCCCCGCCTGGCGGTGGCTCTTGTTTTGCTAGCACCAGTGTAAACTGTTGATTATCTTGTTTCTGGAGTGTTAAGAAAAAGACAGTTACTTGTATATATGGATTGTGATAATAGTTTAATGAACTTAACATCAAAAATATTATGTGTCTTAGCTGTCAGATATAACTCAGTGTCTATTCTAGGACGCGCGATTGCGCGATTCACTCTAGTATTTAACAGATTGCGCAAAATTCAAAATCATGTGCTTGAAAATCGCGCATCTATAAAAAAGTTAATAAAACCGTAAAACTTCCATCCCGCATTATATTTGGTTGTTTTGTTTACATTTACACCGAAAACCGAAGGGAGGTAACTGTAAGCTAATTATAATAATTTAGTACCGTATGGTACTGGTTACGTGGGTTGACGGAAATTAACGGAATGTTCTGTATCGACCGGAACTAGTGTGCTAGGTCTGACAGTTGGGCGCCATTTTAGTGTAGTAAATAATCAAGAAAAATGAGGCAATTCCTAGCTTGGCTACGATCTAGACGTGAAAGATAGTTCGATTATTTGTATTGCCAATCCCTTTATAATCAATCGCGGCAGTTCTGTAATAATTTGTTTTCGTTTAAAAATTAAGGGGGGACAACTTCTGCTGCCTTAAATAAATATTATCGTTTTAATTATTTCATCGGTTGAACGCCTCAGTGTAAACTTAATGCAGACGGTTTAACATTGGCAGTTTATATTGGCACCCTTTGATTTTGAAAATCGCCCCCTTTTTTGAAATAGAGGGGGGAAAATCACCCCTATTTTTCAATTCCTAGAATAGACACTGATAACTTTGATTTACTAAATGCTGTTAACTAGTCTATCTATATTGAAATGTTTTTCCAGTACAAAGAGATAGTTAAAAGTGTACAGAATCGACCTGAGAAATGTCTTGCGTTAATGTGGGCATTAGGCCAGGTGGGATATCCGAGTCTTAGAGCTGGCATTAGAGGTATATACAATCTTCATTGTCTGTTATATATTTATATTTCACAGACTTTGGTCACAGATTTGTTGATTTTTGTCAATATGCATGTAAATTATTAATGTCAATTAGGTTCATTTATGCAGTGGATTTTATCATTTGCAATTGTAAGATGACTTTTACTAAATTGACTGTAGTTAGGTTATGTGACCTTGACTTGTCACATTGCTTCAACAATTACATTATAGTCACTCATATAGATAGTGATTTCAACATTTAATTATATATTAATTCTATTTTTATTGTGTGTCAAATTTAAAGATTCCACTTTAGCTTTACATTTGAGAAATCAGCTTTTTTATCTTCAACCTCCAGATTTTGAGGTCATAGGGTTCAGTCTCTTAAGAGTTTGACACAAGTTAGATGTTTATTTGCTGAAAAGAAATGTTTATAATAGTGTGTTCTGTTTATGTTAATCTGAAAATGCTATTTTAATTTACATAATATATATATATCCACACCAGTAAAATGTTGGAAATGATATTTCTTTTTTTGTGTGAGGTCTTGAAATGATGCTACTACGGCCTAAATTTAGCTGAAAATTTTTGTTGAATTGTGAAATAAATTGATTGTACTATAACCATTTTAAATCTCTATATTTTTACTATCAGTTTATATATTACATGCTATGATTTATGACAATATTTCAGTATGGTTAGAGATAATGCAGCCTTGTCTCAGTCCGAAAGCACTAGGAAGTTTTTGTATGCAGTATCTGGAGACAATTCTTGGGTATGTATACTACAAACATTAGTTTATTGAATCAATCCTACTATAAAAAAGTACTGTTTGTGCTTGAACAGTCTATACAGTCATTGTGCTAAAAATTGAATCTCCCTCCTCAAGGCCTTTGATGATTAATGATATGTGTCATATGTTACAGTTCACATCGAAATGTCTGTCTCAAGGGTACCTGCCCAATGGGCTGTAACGAGGCAGAGTTACCACCATTGGGCACATACCTGAGGGATGGATATTCTGATCTGAACTGCAAACACATGTCAAGTATTTTTTAATTTGCTTATTCTACCATGTTCTTTCATATTTAAAATAATTAACTCAATAAGATAACTTTTCATGGAAATTAATGTCATTTTATTTTTAGCTCACCTGTCACAAAGTGACAGGGTGAGCTTTTGTGATCGCTTTTCGTACAGCGTCCGTCCGTCCGTCGGTCGTCCGTCCGTAAACTTTTGCTTTAAATGACATCTCCTCATAAACCACTGAGCCAATTTCATCCAAACTTCACAGGAATGTTCCTTTGGTGGTCACCTTTAAAAGTTGTTCAAAGAATTTAATTCCATGCAGAACTCTGGTTGCCATGGCAACCGAAAGAAAAATCTTTAAATATCTTCTTTTAAACAACCCTAAGAGCTAGAGCTTAGATATTTGGCATGAAACATCTTCTAGTGAGTGTCTACCAAGTTTTTTCAAATAAAAGCCCTGGGGTCAAAATTGGCCCCGCCCCAGGGGGTCATTGATTTTCCATATATGCATATAGTAAAAACTTAAAAAATCTTCTTTTAAAGAACCCATAGAGCTAGAGCTAAGATATTTGGCATGAAACATCTTCTAGTGAGTGTCTACCAAGTTTGTTCAAATAAAAGCCCTGGGGTCTAAATTGGCCCCGCCCCGGGGGGTCATTGATTTTCCCTATATGCATATAATAAAAACTTAAAAAATTTCTTTTAAAGAACCGTAAGAGCTAGAGCTTAGATATTAAGCATGAAACATCTTCTAGTGAATGTCTACCAAGTTTGTTCAAATAAAAGCCCTGGGGTCAAAATTGGCCCCGCCCCAGGGGGTTATTGATTTTCCCTATATGCATATAGTAAAAACTTAAAAAATCTTCTTTTAAAGAACCCAAAGAGCTAGAGCTAAGATATTAAGCATGAAACATCTTCTAGTGAGTGTCTACCAAGTTTGTTCAAATTAAAGCCCTGGGGTCAAAATTGGCCCCCCCGGGGGGTCATTGATTTTCCCTATATGCATATAGTAAAAACTTAAAAAATCTTCTTTTAAAGAACCCAAAGAGCTAGAGCTTAGATATTTGGCATGAAACATCTTCTAGTGAATGTCTACCAAGTTTGTTCAAATAAAAGCCCTGGGGTCAAAATTGACCCCGCCCCAGGGGGTCATAGATTTTCTCTATATGCATATAGTAAAAACTTAAAAAATCTTCTTTTAAAGAACCCAAAGAGCTAGAGCTTAGATATTTAGCATGAAACATCTTCTAATGAGTGTCTACCAAGTTTGTTTAAATAAAAGCCCTTGGGTCAAAATTGGCCCCGCCCCAGGGGGTCATTGATTTTCCCTATATGCATATAGTAAAAACTTAAAAAATCTTCTTTTAAAGAACTCAATAAGCTAGAGCTAAGATATTTAGCATGAAACATGTTCTAATGGGTGTCTTCCAAGTATGTTCAAATAAAAGCCCTGGGGTCAAAACTGGCCCCGCCCGGGGGGTCATTGATTTTCCTTATATGTGTATAGCAAAAACTTAAAAATCTTCTTTGAAAAAACCCAAATAGCTAGAGTTTAGATATTAAGCATGAAACATCTTTAAGTAAATATCTACAAAGTTTCTTCAAATAAAAGCCTGGGGGTCAAAACTGGCCCTGGGGTGTCATTGTTTTTAACTATATGTGTATAGTAAAAACTTTAAAAATCTTCTTTTAAAAAACCCAATGAGCTAGAACTTAGATGTTTAGCATGAAACATCTTCTTATGGGTGTCTACCAAGTCTGTTCAAATAAACAAATAAAAGCCCTTGGGTAAAAATTGGCCCGGGGGTGGGGGGGCCTGTATACAGGTGAGCGACCTCAGGGCCATCATGGCCCTCTTGTTTAACTATTTTCTTACCAAAGCTTATGAATTTACAACTTTATTCAAAATGCCGAAATGACATCGTCCTAGGCAGGCAGTTTTATTCTCTAAGCCCCAAAATGACATCATTTTAATGCAGTTCATTCATAAAATGTGCTAAAATAACATCATTTTAAAGCATGCAACTTATCTGGCACCCAATTTTAGTTTGTGTTGGAAGCTATAAGCTTATTGAAACACTCTGGAATCTGTTCAGGAAACCAACCAGTACTAAGCAATGAGTGTAAGGTTTCTTGATCACATAAACAACACCTTGCCCCTGACAGGATTTCAGCCCATACGGCCAGCAATCCTTAGATTACTAGGCTGACCAGTTAACCATTCATCCATGCGGCCACTATCATGCTGATATCTGGATAATTGTTGTTATCATTAAGCCTATATATATATGACAGGTTACATGGTAAACAATTGGAACAGGCAGGTGGGGAGATCAAGCTACAGGAGTTTTTTAGGTTGTTTGATTCACTGTATATACAAGGCTTACCTAGTGACATACGCAAAAGATTGATTGCTCTCTACCCACAACTGAAGGTAAATATTACTAATTATAGTAATAAAACATATTCTTAAAGTGAATTATGCTCATCTTTCCATTCTCAAGTTGAGCTGAATTAACTATATATTGTAAAAGTGATGATTGACAAATAATTGGTAATAAAAAATGTCGAAACTGCGAAATATATAAAGGACTGCCCCACTCTTTTTATAAATTGAACATTTTCGATACATTCTGAAGATAATAGAATTTTTTGTCAGCGACATGGGTTATTGCTATTCATGTGAAGTAAGATACAAAATTTAAAACAACTATTGCCAAATATAAAGTTTTTTTTTTTACTTTTCCCTTTAACTTTAAACTTTGTTGAGTATTTCAAGCTTTATATATAAATTTTATATTTTTGATATTTCTTATAGGTAGTGACATAATTATCATACTTGTTGTTTAAACATTTATAATCCAGTAAATAAAGTGTTAAACTGTGCTCATAAATTGTTTATCACTCTCCTGAATATGAAAACTTATTATATTGTTTTGTTAATTTTAGAGTGTAGCCCATGGCAAAAACTTGGAGTCATCACTGAGAAACTTCTTCCCATCATACTTGACAAGAGCTAACCCTGATGCCAGTAAAGAACTCAAATCAGAGGTAGATAACTTACTAATTTTTATTCTGATATTTTGTAATGTTAGCAGATTGTCTTTGGATTTTTTTCTGCCCAGCTTTTTTTCTAAAACAGTCAAAGATATTCCTGACTAGCTGAAAGAATATATGAGCCGCGTCACGACAAAACTAATGTAATGCCTTTGCGGCCAGCATGGATTCAGACCAGCCTGCGCATCCACGCAGTCTGATGAGATCCATGCTGTTCGCTTACCAACCCTATTTCAAGTAGAGAAACTGATAGCGAACAGCATGGATCCTGATCAGACTGCGCAGGCTGGTCTGGATCCATGCTGGTCGCAAACGCATTTCGTTGGTTTTGTCGTGATGCGGCTCATATGTATTCCCTTCCTGATCAAAACATTAAGTATGTTGTTTATATTTCAGTTGATATCGTGTCTCGTGGATTGTCTCAGTAAGGATAAACACACATTTGCTCTATGGTGTCAGCTATACACTAAACATCTCAGACAGTCAAGGTCAGTTAACATTTACTCTATGTATTGTCATATATTCAAGAATTATAATATTTATAGGCAGCAGGCTACTTATCAAATATCAGCGTTGGTGAATAAAACTTGTTTTGTAACTTAAAAGAACTTTGTTCTATCAATTAACTTTCAGGTTTGATTTATTTCTTGAAAACTGAAGAGTTACGTGGTTTTTGTACGGTTGATTTTATCTTTATTTTAATTTCATTCAGATTGCATAGCAGGGATCATTCTGGTCAGGATTTTTAGTGAGAGATTTTCTCTCATTTGAGAAATTTTAATGAGAGAAATTAGATTTTCTTGAGAGATTTAATTTTCACGATGGGCGAGGTTAAAAATATGGAAATTTCAAACTTTTTAAAATCACTGTACATATAAACATTGTTTACCTAATGAGGATAGAAGAAGATGAAGCTCTGTTTATTACAGTGATTTTTGTTTTCACTTTTTTAACACATCCTATGCCTTTTCTTTTGTGAATTTTTAAACATAATAACATTCTAATTGTGAAAAATAAATATAACACGTACCTTTATTCTGAAATATAAAATAATTATACATGGATATCATATCTACTGCAACTATTATTTGCAGCCAATGTTCCTAATGGACAACACTATACTGTACAGAAATGATTGTTGAGATTTGAAGAATATTTCTTATAACCTTACATTTTGTTTTCTTCACACACCTCCCTCCATTAAAAAATATTCATTGAATATGTGACCTGAACACATAATGACAAATATCTCCATATCCACAAATATAAACAATACCTAAAGTAATTTTTATTAATAAAAATCATTTTAAGTGTACCTTTAAATAACACTCAGCTTCCTTTTAGTATTTTTTTATATCACAACATCGCGAAAATATGTGACAAATGAATATTTGTCTGTTTTCCGCTGTAACATTCACAATTCTAGCTGTTGCTGATTGCAATTGTATAAAATTAAATATTTTTGTTCAATAAAAGAATATTTATTATCGGCTATTTCATCAGAAATCCTAACACAAATTTTTTTAATTTGTTCTTTATGGCAAAATTTACCGTGGTTGATATGACATTTAGAAGACAAATTTTACCGGTATTTGTTCTTGACATGTCCATTTTTATGTTAGTCTGTGTCTAACAATTTTTATTGAAATCAATTAAAAATGTTTTGTGTAAATTCTCGACTTACAGATAGATAAAGGTTAGCCATCATACGGTATTTCTGTACGGTGAATTTGCGGTCTCCGATCGGCAATTATTTTAGCCTAAATAATTGGAAGTGTTGGACTACTTTTTGGAGTTTTTTTTACACCGATTTCATTAATAAACAATTTAAAATTAAATTCTTGATGGGAATCGTGAATTTTTCATCATATTTTTGTGTAATTATAGCATTCTTTAAATGGTGATTAGACATTTTCCGGCTCAAATTGCCGTGCGAGATTTTCTCTCATTTCACAAATTTCTCTGAGATTTTGGTGATTTTTTTGCGAGAAATCGCCCCCTAGAATGATCCCTGCATAGAAATATTCATAGTTAGTTTTTGAATCATCTTAATGTGTATGTTTTCTACTTGTGCTTGAATTAATTTAAATCTTCATGTAAAGGTAATGTCAAAATATTTATTCTTTGTGTGTTTTGGTAAAGTTTAAGTTTATTTCTATACAAAGTTTGGCTTAGTTCAAAGTTTGTTGAGGTGTTAATGAGCGTTTGGCAACTGTTCATGTGTTAAGTTTTTAGGGGTGTCTGTGGCGGAATGCTTAAGGTTGATGACTTCAAATTACTTGCCCCTCAATACTGTAGGTAAAAATCCCACCAAGAACTTTGGATTTAATGTGAGGAACCTACCCAGCTAGCTTATGGAAGGTAGGTGGTTCTATTTAGGTTCCCACTCATGCCTGAAATACTGCACGGAGGGTCAACTGAGGCCTTTCTCCTCCAGTTAAGCTGGAAAGTCGCCATATGACCTTTACAGAGTTGCTGCTATGTAAAACCTAACAGCAAAAGAAAGTAGCATTTTGTGAAAAACTTTGTCTGAATTTTCAAGTATGATATGCTTCATGTTTTTAGATTGTTGCTTGTTCACCTGAATGATAACTGGGAGAAAGTCAGGGGATGTATGGATCAGAAATTGTTACAACAAACCTTGATGACTTTTATGAGAACAAATGAAGAAAGTTCCCAGGGGAAGAACTCTGGCGAATGGGACAGCATGACTGCTATATGCGAGGTAAATTAAAAATACTTTATAATATGCATTTAATAATAATATTCCATTTATCTGAAAGGATGTATGTATAATGTTAACAATATATTTCCACAGTTTGTAGTCCTCATTGATTACATCTGTACAATCCCTGTACTGGTTTAATTAAAATATTGTTTTAAGAACTTAAGTATTGTAATTAATTTATTAAGACAAAACCCTTCCCATGCTAATTATCTTAAATGGACTGGTCCATCATTCAATTTTGAAAAGATCATTCATCATTTTTGGGGAAATAGTCAATATATGTACTGGTACTGACTGAATTGAAAACAAAACAGACCCTGATTAAATGGCACATAACTTAGCACTGATCTTTGTCTGAATTGGTAGCATGGGTAGAATCTGTTACCAACCAGCAGACTAAGTGATAAATTACAAAGGCCTTTTAGTATATAACATTCTATATCATTTGTGAGATATACTTCAAATTTATGTGACAAAAAAGAAACACCTCCAGTAAGGTTTTGATAAGTTATTAGATTTATATATGTTTCTTAAAGAAAAGCCTATATTGTATTTCAGGAATTGTTGAAGAAAATGAGCAAGCCAAGGTTTCCATGGAGATGGTTGATGTTTTTCTTGGTTTCTACGGTGATAGCAATAGTTGCATATGATGTGTACACCAGTAAAACTCTAAAAGGTACGAAAAAATGATTGTTAAGAATATCCATCACTCACTTTAACCCTTAAAATTCTCTATTTCTTAAATGGACTTGTTGATCATTCAGTCGGGATAAAACCATCCACCATTTTTAGGGATAAATTTTAAAGTTTAAAATAAGTACAGACTGAGTAGCGAACAGGACAGACCTTGATTGATCATAAAGGCATCTGTGTGCCAGTTTATCTTGGTCTGCACTGGTCACATGGGTAGAATCTTTGCTAACAACAGGCTAAGAGTTAACTAACATTGAGCTCTTCGGCCCAAAATAGTTATGACTGTTGTAAAATATAGCGCTTTATATTACCGAACATTCATGTAAAACAAGAAAAAATGTCTCCCAATTGAAATACTAGTGTATTTAAGAAAAATTTCCCATTGAGTTTACATGATATTACCAATAATGTGTTGAAGTTTGTTAAATCCAAACATTGAGCTTGTCCAATTGGCCAGCTTATGTATCTGGTTCCAGCCGATGATTTTCTGTGTCATTTGTTGGAGTGAGTCGAAGGAAATTGTTCTGAATGCCCTTCATTCCAAAATGGTTTGATAAATACATGTAAAAAGTTGCCAGTTTAAAAAATCTGTTAACTGCAGTTACATTATCAAATTAAAGTTGTTGCTGATACTTTGTTGTATATTGATATCAATTGCAAGGAAATATATGTAATCTAATGAGACATTGAAAACTTGTATTTTATTTTACAGATTCTAAAACAGTGAGGTTTCTGGAAGCATATGGGGTTCTAGGAGTGCTACAGAAAATATGGACAACTGTTGTATATTACACGGATATCATATTTGGGTATGGTCACCTAAAAATTTAACATTTTCAAAGTCAAAATCTTAAAGAAGAAAAACAATTCCTCCCCACGGCCAGTTTTGTTTATGGAAATTAGTTTTATACTGTTTCCTCTTTTGTTTCTGTTCTTTTCTGAATCTTTGTAAAAAAAAATACATTTTTCAGAAATTTTGATATTTATGAATACTGTATAGTTGAAATTTATTAAACTAAGTATTTAGCTAGAAACAATTACATCATTTGTTGTCAGTATATCTTGTGGTAAGAGAAAGAAGATTGTTAGTGGCCATGCCTTTGTCTAAATGTATTAGGACGACTTATTTTGGGGTTTGAGGTATGTACCCTAAAGAATTTGTTGGCATTGTATTGAGATGGGTTTAACTTCAGGGGATTATTAGAAATTGAAGGGAGACAAATATTTTTTTTTTCACTTTCTTGGAAAAAAGGTATAGGCCACAGCCTACACAACTTATGGGTAGCTATGTCTCTGATCATAAAAACAATTGTAGATAAAAAATTATTGATTTGAAGGACATCTTTAGTTGTACATGATGTATTCATTTAGTTCAGTTTTTGCCAGTATATATAGGGAGTATTTATAATAATGTATGTTGGAAATAATTCTTTTCATTGGATAATCATAATTTTAATATAGTTTCATATATCCTGTTACTGTCATTTTATGAAAAAATATCATTTAACCCTCTAAAATGGAACTTTGCTGTTTTATAAATTTGTTATAAATCTTCGTTACAGGTTGTATGACCTTATATAAATGATTGTTTGCTATATAACCCAAGTCTGGCTGCTCTGATTTCCAAACAACCATTTATATAGGACCATATAACATGTAAAAAATCTTTATAACTAGTAATATAACCTGTCAAATATCTTTATAACTTATAAAGTATCTTGTTTGAGACCAGTCATTAAAAAAAGTTATCCTTATTTTAAAATTTTATATATGAATTGCTTTTCATTTCAGCTGGTTACAGGTGAATGTTCCAGTATACTATGAGAAAGTATATACAACTGTTGCCCCAGTAGTTGCTAAGATTGTAGAGACAGTCATTCATTTCTGGAACAACACTAGACAACATAGAACAGCTGTTGCTGATAAGGTATTTGACATTTAAAATATGTTTCTCCATGTTAGGGCAGAATATTCATTATTGTCCCCCGCCTTTTCGAAGAAAAAAGGGGGATATAGAAATAGGCTCCGTCCGTCTGTCCGTCCGTCTGTCCGTCCGTCCGTCCGTCACACTTTCGTGTCCGGTCCATAACTTTGTCATAAATGAAAGGAATTTGAAATAACTTGGCACAAATGTTTATTATAATAAGACGATGTGTCATGCGCAACAACCAGACCCCTACCTCCAGGGTCAAGGTCACACTTGCTCATTCAAGGTCAACATTGCCTATTTGAGGGTATATGTCGTGTCCGGTCCATAACTTTCTTATCTATGAAGGGATTTTGTAAATACTTGCCATAATTGTTCACAATAATCAGATGATGTGTCATGCGCAAAAACCAGTCACCTACCTTCAAGGTCAAGGTCACACTTGGAGGTCAAATATTAACATAGTCTGTTACAGGGTATATTTCGTGTCCGGTCCATAACTTTGTCATTTATCAAAGGAATTTAAAATTACTTGGCACAAATGTTTGTTATAATAAGACGATGTGTCATGCGCAACAACCAGACCCGTACCTTCAGGGTCAAGGTCGTACTTGCTCATTCAAGGTCAACATTGTCTATTTGAGGGTATATGTCGTGTCCAGTCCATAACTTTCTTATCTATGAAGGACTTTTGTAAATACTTGCCATAATTGTTCACAATAATCAGATGATGTGTCATGCGCAAAAACCGGTCACCTACCTCCAAGGTCAAGGTCACACTTGGAGGTCAAATACTTACATAGTCTGTTACAGGGTATATTTTGTGTCAGGTCTATAACTTTTTCATAGATCAAAGGATTTTGAAAATACTTCGCACAAATAGTCACTATAATAAGAGGATGTGTCATGCGCAACACCTGCATCCCTACCTTCAAGGTCAAGGTCACACTTAGAGGTCAAAAATTAACATAGTCTGTATGATATATTTTGTGTCGAATCTAGAACTTCTTCATAGTTCAAGGGATTTTGGAATAACTTGGCACAAATAGTCACAATAATAAGCCGATATGTCAGGTACAACACCTGCACCCCTACCTCTTAAGGTCAAGGTCACACTTAGAGGTCAAAGGTAAACAGTGTCTGTTATTTGGTATATTTTTTGTCCCGTCCATATAATTACTTCTTCATAGATTAAGGGATTTTGAAAATACTTTGCACAAATAGTCACAATGATTAGATGATATGTCATGCGTAACATCTGTGTCCCTACCTCCAAGGTCAAGGTCACACTTAGAGGTCAAAGATTTACATAGTCTGTTATATGGTATATTTTGTGTCCAATCTATAACTTCTTCATAGTTCAAGGGATTTTGAAAATACTTGGCACAAATAGTCTCAATAATAAGACATTATGTCATGCACAACACCTGCTCTCCTACCTCCAAGGTCAAGGTCACACTTAGAGGTCAAAGCTTAACATGATAAATTTTTAAATTCCATGTTTCATTTTATTTCTTTAACAAATTTATTGTTACATTTGCAGATCTAGCATTGATCATAATTTTTGACTGAATGTCCTGAGATCCATACCTCAATCTTTTGAAATAGCACAATTTTATGCTTCATAGAAAACTCCCGAGGCGGGGGACGTTGGTAACTCTGTTACAAATTCTTGTATTTAAGCTAAAAAAAGATTGAAAAAGGAGCTAATTTGATTTGTTCAGGTACATTTGTTATTAGTTACACATCACAAGTTCATAAGGAATGTTGAATGTTGTTCACTTATCTATGTAACGTTGGTGATTGCTCATTGGTTTAAACATATTTTTTTAAGCTCGATTGCGAAACAAGTTCTTGCAACTTATATTAATCACTTCTGAGTCTGCTTCTTGGAATCAACCAGTACTGGTGTCATATGAAGAAACATGGTTGAGTGGCAGACACCTTAACCACCAGGCCATCACTTCCCATTGAACTGTTTAGTGTTAATCCCATTGATCTGTTAATGATAGGACACTGGTTCTTCTGTAACCAGTAAAGCTGAAAAGTCACCATACAAGTAATGCTGTCAACTTGACATAAAAAAACACAGCAAAAATATAAATTCAGTAAAAAAAATATAAATAGTTGTGACAGTGCAAAAAGGCTTTAAGTTATGCACAGTAAAGATCATACATACTTTATTATAACAATATACCAATATTACAACTGCTCACTTGATTAATATGACATTTGTATTTATTCAATGAAGTGGCTTAGTGCCAAACATGATAAAATCAGATAAAAGTTATAATCTTTGATTAGATATGATATATACCAATCATTGGTTATAATGTATAGTTGATATGTTTGCAACAAAATATAATGACATAGGCACATATTAAATTGGTGGTGGTTTATTAATAGACACGAAACGTAAGAACTGACAACTTGAAAATGGCATAAAAATTTATATTAAAAATGGTATAAAAATTTATATTTATTATCCTTTATACATTTACAGGTGTATTCTATGGCCCCAGAAATTTGGGACGAAGTGGGGAAGTATTTAGCCCTTTGCTGGGATTTCATACTTGAATACACATACTGGATTCAGGGACACATAGCAGTTTGTTATAAATACGTCTACCATTGGGTAGAAAAAAATATTATTCAGTAAGTATGCTTTATCAAGTTTTAAGTTTAACTTTTTCAACACTGGAAATGTGAGAATGACAGGTTTATGTCACCATTTAAGAGCAGTGATGTCTCGACTACATGGTAGCAAGCTTATAGGACTAGATTCTTGTTCTCTTACCTGTTTTATTTTAGTGTTTTCACTTTGCTGTACTTAACATTTACACTTTAAAGTTTAAAGCAGAACTATTCGTTTAATAGGGATAGGGTATATAGCGATTGGGCATATCAGAGTGATTTTGTACTGGATATGAAATATTGGAATTTATCAGGGATGCTCAGTCAATATACTAGGAAAGATGAAATGAAGAAAATTTTAAATATTTTTATTAACAAGGGCAGGAGTTAAGAAACAATCCTAATTTTGAAAGAAAAATGTTGAGTAGATTTACCAGTATTTGCAATGGGTTGGGAAAGTAACATCTTACATTTCATGTGTAAAATGTGCCACATGTCTCAATATGACATCATTTCAACACCTTTATGAATGCATTATGGTTATACACAGGCCTGTAATACATAAATTCAGATCCAGTTATAATCAGAAACGTTCGTCAGAATATTAGCATTTGAAGTTATTTATTCTTTAGAAATACACATGTCTGCAATTTAAACGTAAGTGAATAATTGTCATATTTGAACATCAATATTGTTTATCAGATACACAAGTTTTGTTATTGCCTTAAACAGTTGCCTATACCGAGGTATGAAATAAAGAAAATATTGTAATTTGTTTTGTTTTCTTTTTTTTTCAGGGGTGATTTTTCTGCTGCTAATATACAACATACATTATCCTGGTCAGCTAATAGATTTCAGAATTATACTTTATCAGCAATAGAATGGTGTCGTCAATTAATGACATAAAAAACTTTCTGTTCCCGCCTTTACCATACTGTGTATTTATTCAAAAGCTTTACCATACTGAAAATCAGTGTGACCATTTGCAAAAAATCATTGCCAGTTTTGTTTTCATATTTGAATGAACTTTTCTTGTTTGTTTCTTTTCTTAGATAATGTGTAAATATATTATAAACATTATAAAGGAATCATGTACTGGCATGCGAGCAGTTCCCGTACAGAAGCAGTACCCGTATTTTTAGCTCACCTGTCACAAAGTGACAGGGTGAGCTTTTGTGATCGCTTTTCGTCCGGCGTCCGTCCGTCCGTCGTCCGTCCGTCGTCCGTCCGTCCGTCCGTCCGTAAACTTTTACTTTAAATGACATCTCCTCATAAACCACTAAGCCAATTTCATCCAAACTTCACAGGAATGTTCCTTTGGTGGTCACCTTTAAAAATTGTTCAAAGAATTTAATTCCATGCAAAACTCTGGTTGCCATGGCAACCGAAAGAAAAAACTTTAAATATCTTCTTTTAAAAAACCATAAGAGCTAGAGCTTAGATATTTGGCATGAAACATCTTCTAGTGAGTGTCTACCAAGTTTGTTCAAATAAAAGCCCTGGGGTCAAAATTGGCCCCGCCCCGGGGGCTCATTGATTTTCCCTATATGCATATAGTAAAAACTTAAAAAATCTTCTTTTAAAGAACCCAAAGAGCTAGAGCTAAGATATTTAGCATGAAACATGTTCTAATGGGTGTCTACCAAGTTAGTTCAAATAAAAGCCCTGGGGTGAAAATTGGCCCCGCCCCGGGGGTCATTGATTTTCCCTATATGCATATAGTAAAAACTTAAAAAATCTTCTTTTAAAGAACTCAAAGAGCTAGAGCTTAGATATTTGGCATGAAACATCTTCTAGTGAGTGTCTACCAAGTTTGTTCAAATAAAAGCCCTAGGGTCAAAATTGGCCCCGCCCCGGGGGGTCATTGATATTCCCTATTTGCATATAGTAAAAACTTAAAAAATCTTCTTTTAAAGAACCCAAAGAGCTAGAGCTAAGATATTTAGTATGAAACATGTTCTAATGGGTGTCTACCAAGTTTGTTCAAATAAAAGCCCTGGGGTGAAAATTGGCCCCGCCCCGGGGGTCATTGATTTTCCCTATATGCATATTGTAAAAACTTAAAAATCTTCTTTTAAAGAACTCACAGAGCTAGAGCTTAGATATTTGGCATGAAACATCTTCTAGTGTGTGTCTACCAAGTTTGTTCAAATAAAAGCCCTGGGGTCAAAATTGGCCCCGCCCCGGGGGGTCATTGATTTTCCCTATATGCATATAGTAAAAACTTAAAAAATCTTCTTTTAAAGAACCCAAAGAGCTAGAGCTAAGATATTTAGCATGAAACATGTTCTAATGGGTGTCTACCAAGTTTGTTCAAATAAAAGCCCTGGGGTGAAAATTGGCCCCGCCCCGGGGGGGTCATTGATTTTCCCTATATGCATATAGTAAAAACTTAAAAAATCTTCTTTTAAAGAACTCAAAGAGCTATGGCTAAGATATTGAGCATCAAACATGTTCTAATAGGTGTCTACCAAGTTTGTTCAAATACAAGCCCAGGGGTCAAAATTGGCCCCGCCCCGGGGGTCATTGATTTTCTTTATATGTGTTTAGCAAAAACTTTAAATCTTCTTTGAAGAAACCCAAATAGCTAGAGTTTAGATATTAAGCATGAAACATCTTCTAGTAAGTGTCTACAAAGTTTGTTCAAATAAAAGCCCTGGGGTCAAAACTGGCCCGGCCCCAGGGGTGTCATTGTTTTTAACTATATGTGTATAGTAAAAACTTAAAAAAAATCTTCTTTTAAAAAGCCCAATGAGCTAGAGCTTAAATGTTTAGCATGAAACATCTTCTTATGGGTGTCTACCAAGTTTGTGCAAATAAAAGCCCTTGGGTTAAATTGGCTCTGCAACGTTGGGTGGGGGGGGGGCCTATATACAGGTGAGCGACCTCAGGGCCATCATGGCCCTCTTGTTCATTTAAACGCTAGATTTTTACTTGCAATCTTCAAAAATTCATTTCAAATCAAGCATATACATAAACGAGACAAAATGTAATTGTCAGTTCAGCAATACGTATATAAAGTCTCATTTTAAATCACTTTCACCTGTGCGTCGTCAAAACGTGACCTTGTTTTCTCTGGGGGATTCCGTCCTTGCGCGCATGCGCTAAAATACTTACACGTGAGGCTTGTTAAAGGGTTTTCCACTAATACCACCTGTTTACAAATAAGTAGGCAATGAGATGAAAAATTGTTTAATTATCAGAATGTTGACCAATATTACTATAAATAATAGTTTTATGGCTTTGATGCGTAAAATATCATGCATACAAGCATGTTACTGCATATGAATGCGTTGGGGTAACGGTACCGGGTAATAGATACCGGCTTTTAGTCTACGCTCTATTTCCTGAATTACATCTATTTATCTCTTAGATAATGGTCTGTTCAACAATTGTAAATGAAAAATAGGTCCGATATAATAAAATTGTATAATTATAATGGGTTAGACTTTATGTACGGGAACTACTTCTCTTCATACAAAATAATGGATAATTTCGGTACCCCATATGAGGCCTCATAAGTAAGGGTTTTTCTATGTTTAGAACATGATGGAATTTCCATGATTTGTGTGACGAGCCGAATATTGATGTGTAACATTCAAATATTGGTGAGTGAGCGTAATAAAAAATAATGATTAAGTAACTATGATTTTTGTACGGGAACTGCTCGCATGCCAGTACAGATAATTTGAAATTTGGTGCCAAAATAATACTTTGTTAATTTTTTCAATAGACTTGTTCCAGAGTTCAGAGTATTTTGTGTTTTTCCCAGGGGATTAATTTTGAAAAAACCCACATTTACCAAGTTCTTGATAACATCTTTTTATATATAATTATCAACTTCATTAGTTACAATATTTACTCGTATTTTGAGTTAACCTGCAGAAACTTAAAAATGATTTCATTTTTGACAACTGTATAGTGCTAAGCTTTAAATAGATGCTCGACTGTCCATTCTTGAAATTTAGCAGGTTTATGGTTAACAAGGACTCATTATATCATTGTTACAAATGCTTTTACAGTGCAGAAATTTATAACAGTGTTTGGTGTTTAAATTTAATCTTGTAAGGTCCGTATTTAACATTTTAAATGCTTATAGGACATAGATTTTCAATTTTTGTTTTGTATTGTAAAGGTATATTCATGCATCAGAAATTAATATTATTTTTTAGAAAGGGCAAACAGGAGTTTAAAAATGTTTTAAATAATAGTTTTAGAGCATTTTAGATGCTTTTCACCTGAAGAATACAGCTATGAATGTGAAATTATTTGTCAAAAAAATAGTAAAACATAAAAAAGTATTAGTTTTGACTTCCATACAAAATATTTAATCACTATATTATTACTATTTACAAAAAAGCAACAGAAGCAAAAGTCGGTTCAGATAATTGGCCAATGAGTAACTTTTTTCGAAAACAGTTTTTGAAAAATGAAAATAAAAGCATTTCTGGGGCATAATGTGCCTTTAAATCAACTATCAAAATTACTTAACAGCCAAAACAAGGTTGTTTAGACTGAAATAAAATCAGCAAAACTGTACACATATTTATTTGTAGTTAAGTTATGTAGTAGCAAAACTTTGGTTGGCAGGGATATATATTTGCCTGAGGTTATGGGAAGAATCTTGCTTTATATAAATGTATCTAAAATGCTTATTTTTTTTTTTTAATATTTTATGCTATAATGTTTGATAAATAATTTCTCTATAACTAAGATATATCTAAAGATGATTTATTTGAATAAATAATAAAATGTTTCACAAAATAGCAGTATTATTTTACAACCAGAACTGTTGAGTATTTAAAATATTATTATTAATTAATTATTAGATATTTATTTAGTTTTCAAAGTAGTGCTGCTTCTTGTTTCTTAAGTTTCCTCTCTTTTAATTAAAATTTTTCTTTCGGGTGTTGTTTGGAAATGTAAATAATTTAAGTTCACAATGCCTTGATAACTAAACTGTTGTAATAATTTTGTAGTCTGAAGTCAGCTTGAGTTATGATGGGTCATTATCATATACCTATTAAGTGTTGGATAACATATGAGCCGAGTCAAGACAAAACCAACATAATGGGTTTTCGACCAGCATGGATCCAGACCAGCCTGCGCATCTGCTCAGTCTTATTAGGATCCATGCTGTTCGCTGTCAGTTTCTTTACCTGTAATAGGGTTTGTAAGCAAACAGCATGGATCCTGATCAGACTGCGCGGATGCGCAGGCTGGTCTGGATCCATGCTGATCGCAAACGCACTATGTTGGTTTTGTCGTGACTTCTGTAATGTAAAGATATTTCTTTATTATTCATGTAAAAATATTTCTCTATTATTATTAAATAAAAGGTTTATGTAAAGTTTGTGCCCTTCGCATTATTTTGTATACCTAGTAAAAAACTTTTGTATGTGTTTTAATGGCGTTTTGTTTGCGTAATAATGTAAGGCACAATGGTATCTCATTGTATTGTGAAGTGTTAGTATATTTTGTGAATTGTTTCGGTGTCTATTGCAAGTTTTTGTGTCTTAATGACCTCTATTGTCTTGTTTTTTTTTCTCACTATTCCTGATGAAAGACAGAAATGTAAGTCTCAAAAGAGACTCAGAAAGAATATGTAAATAAAACTTGGAAAAAATGTTGAAGTCATGCTGGATCTTTAAATATTAAAAATGTAAGGTATAAAATATATAATCTGGATGGACCTTTAAACATGATCTGCTTTCTATAGATTAATCTCATTTCTCTGTTGTTTTTAAACTTTTGTTTTTTTGTTGTTTAGTTGTTGTATAGTCACACAGGTCGGGAGATAATAGTTTAAAAATCAAAATTTTTTGCAGAGTAAAAATTTGCATGATGAAACTTCTATTATGCTTTGGACAAAATTTATGAAAACACATACTTTTCATAATCATTGTATTTTTGATGGTGAGATGTTAGTTGAATTAAAAAGAAACAGCAACAAAAAACGTTATGTTGTATATAAAGTCGAAATGATTGAGCTTTTTGAGACAATTGACCTTTTTATATAGATGACATACGAATTGCAGCAGTTATACAGAAAAAAATTATTGACCACATTTAGAGTACTGGAAAGATTTGACAAAACATAATTTTATAATGAATTATTAAAAAGTGTTATGAAACGAATAAAAATGAGTTTAGAAAACTTACATGTATTTTTATGATAAGTTTGTTAGACAATGCTAACTGCTATTAGATAATAATATATTAATTTTGTGACGCAATGACCATGCTTACAGCTTTGGTCAATGTGTAGTTTTGCTTTAAAAGCCTTTTTTGTCAATTTATTGTTAATAAGTGTTAAAAATACAATTTATGGTTTTTCTGGTCTCTTTTTAAAATTAAAATTGATAATATAAGCAATGCAATTGTAAAATTTAAAGTTCAGATATTTATAACAAGTTTAATAAAATCAAAGAAAAAAATCTATGCAGTTGTTTGTTGGGTTTTATTTATGTGAGAAGTATTCTTCTGTTTACGTGCCAAAATGCAATGTAAAATGTAGACAAGGGGAACGGTGGCCAAGTGGTTGAGGTGTCTGCCTCTCAACCCAGAGATCATGGGTTCGACACCTACTCGGGTCACGACCATGTTTCTTCATATGACACCAGTACTGGTTGGTTCCAGGAAGCGGACTCGAAAGTGATTAATATAAGTTGCAAGAACTTGTTTCGCATTCGAGCTTAAATAAATATGTTTAAACCAAAATGTAGACAAAACCAACCGAGATGTACTGTTTTAACTGTTCGGCAAATCCATAACACAAGTTCAGCTGGTAATGAATCACACGATATTATACATGATAATTCAACTGTTGCACCCATAGTATTGTATAATTTGTTATTGTAAATTTCTGATCAGCATTTGACTTAGTTGTTGAAGTTTGATATATGAAAAACTAATAATCATAAAATTTGGCCCACACCTTCATTAGTTACTCTAATCGACTATTCCAGCGTTAATGTCCAATGGGATGGGGGATTTCATATCACAATTTCAAGATTGGTAACATAATTTGACTGCGAGGGTGTGACATAGATAAAGTAATCACCGTGTCGAGATAGCACCGGAAGGGAACCTTCAATAGAAGTGTTTAACAAGAAATAAATATAAACTTTTAAGACAAAGAATTTATCGTTTTCAATAAATTACCACTAGTTATCGCATATAGTTGTGCCCTGTGCAAATGTGGTATCCACCCCCCACCCCCAAACCTCCCAATACATCTTCATACACATCCTCTGGGTCTTAAGATAGTTTCCTCACCACATTGTTCGTAAACTTCCTTAAGACCGTACCCTTGTGGGGAAATTGTAATTTCTATATGAGCGGCATGTCACCATACCCGAGGCACACCGCAACATGTCAGCGTGATAGGTAACAAATATATATTTTATAACTTTGTGGTTAGTAAGTAACATTTTAATGTTTTGAGTTCCGTTTGTGATCATAACACGTTACATACAGTTATTATTTTCTTATATATTTAATATATTTTTAGAGTGCTTAATTTAAGAATTTCCATTAACAATCTTTCTGGTCATCTAGGCAACGCTAATAGTGATGCCGACAATATAGGGCTAATTTCATTGAAATATCATACTGTAGGAACAGTGACGTGTTGCCCCTGTTCGGCTAGATTATGCCAAGACCGAACATGTAACTGTATGAAAACTTAAGCCTCAAGTTAATGGGCTACTTCCAGCATTCTTGGTGAAACTAGAGGGTGGCCGAAAGCACTAATGAAGCGTGTCCTTAGCCACAAAGGCAGTTCTACTGTAGAAGTGACAGGGACATCTTTTTTCTTTTTTAACCTAGAGGTTATTATTACGCACGCCTCACGTATTACACTTTTAGTTAACCTACCATTTTAGCTTCTTTTACGGAAACTGTTTGAAGAAACAATGGTAAACATTTTATAATGTTCAATGATTTATTTTTGCAATAGTACTCAAGACGATAAAAACATTGTTTATGATCATACGAAGTCAAATCCCACATGGTGGAAACGTCCCTGAATTTACCTGAATCTACCTGCAAATACAAATGAAATCACAAATTTAATGTAAATAAGTAACAACGTTTAATGGTGTTGTTCTTTACTTTACATGATGAAATTTCCAGAAAACTATTAATATTCATGTAATTCTACAATTTTAATGCCCAAATATATTAAATATTTAATATCCTTAACATTTTTACACAGCAAAATTCTTCATTTTATCCACTTATGGCATTTTACTTGATTTTCGTAAAAATAATACCAGTAACCCATTGTTCTGGATTTTACACAGTTATACAATCTATTTTAGCTATGCATTACTAATGCTACCTTTTATAGTCATTTGAATGCAAATCGGGAAACAATTCCAACGAACTTAAACACACAAAATAACGGACTTGGGACGGTTGTATACAAAGTTGTGCATGCCAGTTAAAGATTAGTCAGCCTATTTATCACAAAACGGAAGAATTTTTGCATCATATTTTTAAAGACCTAATTTATACATGTTTTAAGTTTACAAGAAAAAAATGTCGCATTTACCCACAACAGTAATGAACAAATTAACATTTGTCAATTTTGTTTATAACTATTTATTTAATAACTCCGTCGTTTCAAATTGAAAGCCCTCAAAGGGCATTGCTCCTCCAATATAAATCAAAAGGCTTTCTGCTAGCTCAAAGAAGATTTATTGTTTTACTAAGTTGCCCACTCATGTTTGAAGTACATGTATAGTTCAGAAATGGGTTTTTGATGGGAATTCTTTCTTAAACAGAAGTAATGTTGAAACACCGTCAGATTATCCTATTAAACTATAAGCTATAATCTCTGCTGACTACAGTTTACAAAACTTTATTTTTGAATTTTGAAAAAGAATAATTCCAAAATGCATGTATAAAAGAAATATGTTGGGTTATTTCCTTTTGCATGCATGAAATCATTGCTAAATGGTTAAAACTATATAACATAGTAGCCTAGAATTTTGTTGCAGAACATTTTATTCTGTAAAGGTACAATTTTCATATGTGTGTGAAATAACAGAAGAATTCTATGTTACAACAGTAGCGAGAATCCATCACAAGCGCACGGAAAAAATAAAATTTTCCATTTATAAATCTTATATTTTTTATCAGATAGAGCTTTAAACCCTTCAAGAATTATGTCTTAACTTCTATATTACGTACCTTTCTCTTAACACGAATCTTACTTCTTCCAATCATAATAACTATCATCGTAGCCGTCGCCATGGTTGTCATCGTAGCCGTCGCCATGGTCATCGTCATAACTATTCCCATGACTGTTGCCATAACCGCTGCCGCCGTGTTTGCCTTTGCCGCCTCCATGTTTTCCACCATAGTAGCCGCCACTATATCCTCCACCACCACCGAGACCACCGCCACTGAGACCCCCGAAAAGAACTTGGATGATCAAAATGAACACAAACACTGTAAAAAAAAGATTTATATAGGTAAATATCTCAGAAATATGTCATACATTTTTACTGTCTATATTAATGCTAAGTCTGTACACAGAAACACGTGTCTTATGTACACAGAAACACGTGTCGTACACATTTATAAAGATACATTGCATACATTTTTAATCAAATTGCAAATATGAAAGTTTCTACTCAAGTGTTTTATAGATTAAATCATTTTCCGGTCAAGGTAGTTTTTATACATCATATTTATCTAGCGACTTGTTAGTTTCATAAAAGACAATGTAAACTAGTTATTTTACATGCCCTTTTTGCGAATAGAATTATTTTGAACATTTGTGATATCAGATCTAGTTATAGTCCATCAATCAAAACGCGACAGATCAGATAGAAATAGCAATACATTTGACTGCTTTTTTACATTGATAATTAATGATGACAAAAAGTAAAGAAACGGAATCTTACAGAATATAATCATCCCAAAGATTCCTCCGCCACCGAATCCACCGCCACTGCCCCCGCTGCTACCTGTCCACGGAGAGAGAAAAAACCCATCAGGTTAAACATTAATTGTTTGAAATGAAAGACTTTAATAGAAAATGGCATACTAGTATAAAACTTCAGAGCTTCAGTCATCACAAAGTCTTTTGATAACTTGAGTACATTCACTTTAGAATATACAGATTTTGGCAATGGCTTTAAAATAATAGAAACACATTTAAACACTGTCCATAAACACCCAAAACACTGCAGTTATAAGAAGCCATAAATTCTCGTTTTTTTCTGAGTCAATTAACGTATGGAAACAAAATGTTAACTTACTTAAGATATTTTGATTTACTTAGCATTAAAACTAGACATGTTGGCTTACTTAGCATTAAATCTTAGTAATAATATCCTGAATATTCTTAAAAACGCAATGAAAATTTCAAAGTAAACGAAGGTCAAGTTAATAATATTTTTTAAAGATGATAACAATAATAATCGCATTATCAATAATAAAGTGAAATAGTACCGTAATTTTGCATGCCATAGCCTCCGTATGTATATGGCATTTTGTACATGTTGCCTTGTACCAGCATTGCCACGCTGAACACGGTGACGAGTCCTACCAGGAACAACCTCATCTTGAATCTTCAACCGTCTAAAAATAAACAAAGATTCTTTTAATTAAACAAATATATCAAACATAAAAAAACGAAGATAAAATACTTAAATAAAATACGTTTTTCCTTCTAGTTATGTATCTATGTAAAACGAAATAAATGTATTTACTCTAACTATGCGGGAAGTGGTTTAAAAAAGATAGTTGAGTCTTATATATGGAGGGGACTTAACCGGATATTCTAATAAAATTTCATATTTTCTTAGCACTTCCTGATTTTATCGGTAATTTATGTAAAACTATACGCCAGCTAATAAGTCATTTTTGTTACGGTATCTCTAACATGGACGAAAATATGAAATAAATACTAAAAAACATTCCTTTTAGAAACATATATTTGCCCCATGGGATTTTATTTCTCGTATGAAAAAACCTAAATATCCATCAATTTTGGGAAACCACAGCCGCAAAGATCTCTACAGGAATCTGAAATATAGAGTGAAATTACATATACAAGTGTATACTTTTTATGATTTTTAATGACATTTTTTACTTTATCGTTCACCTGGTGAATTTCTTAGCTTCGATTTTTTTTCGAGACACTCCGTGATCCTAGTGAATTTCTTAAATGAAATTGCCCAGCTTCGATTTTTTTCGGGTCACTCCGGCCGTGATCTATTTTGGAAATATGAATATATGAGCTTTAAAGTTGTTAAATCCAGGCAAGATTAAATGGATGTACAGACTAAGCTGCCTGTACATACATGTATATTGCTGGCAAATGCTCGTCACTTTCTCTTTCAGCAGGGAAAGGGTTAAAAATCTTGAACTGCCAAACATATTGATAACAAAAGTTATAAAATGTATAATTTTTCGATGATAAATTTTTATGTTTTAAAGGATCTCCACTCAGTTAAAAAGCTAAAATATTTTAATTCGTACACAGATCAGGATAAATGAAAAATCTTCAAAGGATAATAGAGATATACTCAGAATTAAACTTAATTTATATCGAATTTATGTGCGATTCTCAGCCCGATGTGAGTGAAAGGTATTGTAACGCTTTTGTAGGTCATTTTACACAATAAAACGGATTATTCCAGAAAAAAACGGGGAAAGGTAATGATCTAAAACTTTGCACAGAAGCAATTTGACCCAGACCTACATCAAATGGTACACAAATCTCGGAAAAATATTTTCAGTATAATTATGTCAAAAAAATCTCTGTTGAGATTAATTATGTTGAAGGGACTCTACTGAGGTTTTTTTGACATGATGGAACTAAATATATTTTTTCCAGATAATTGTACAATTTGATTTTGGTTAAGACCACTAATCTTTGTGCAAAATTTCAGATCATTCACGCATTTCGTTTTTCCAGAATGATTATTCAAATTGTTAAAAAAAGGATTCAAAATGAAAAGCGTTTAAACACTTTTCACTCAAATCGGGCTAAGAAAAGCATAAAAATACGATTTTCAATTTATTTCAAGGTAATTTTTTTAACTATCTTAATAACTTAGTATAAGTATCCAGTACTTAGCAATGGTTGTAACGTTTCTTACTTACAGAAACGAAACAACTGGTTGTCCCTTGTTTGTTCACTTATTTTAAAGCAATAAATGAACCATTATCTATATAAGTTTAGACAGAATGTAATGATAAAATATTCTTCCGTATATCATTTTGTGCATTTAACGCTACATTATTTGAATCGGTTAGACATAGCAAGTTGTATAATACTTCATGATGTGTAAATTGTTATACTCAGAACAGAAAGTTTTATTTTGCTTATGGGTTAAAACAGAACTGATAAAAACGCGGAATGCCTAATGTTCATTAATGTACAATTCAAACAGGTATACACTGTACTCTTATATTCCAACTTGCTTCCGGAACGTCGGTGCCTTCGTGCCTGAAATAATGCACGAAGGTCGAGGTTTTCCTCCACCAGTAAAGCTGGAAAGTCTCCATATGACATTTACCTTAATTGGTGCAATCCCCCAAAAGGAAACGTCAGATAACAAATTAAAGGTACATACGCATCTGTGTACTAACAGACTAATATATTTATCCTTATACTATTTGTTTTTAGACAGTATAAGATTGAAATACTCTGGTGTTACACTGGAACCTCTCTCAAAGAAACAATCATACTTTGTATCATTCTTTTAAATATATTTTCAAGCTGAAGGCGCATTAATCCTTAGAAATATTTTTCTATACTGTAGAAATGGGAAAAATGTGTTTAAATTTTTTTTGTAAATGATTTTGACCATGTAAGATGCTAAAGAATTTTAAAAAATAGTGCTTAATGCAACATTGTCATAAAAGATAATTCAAAGATAATGTAAGCAAAGTGATATTTTGACTTCCATACAAAATAATTAATCACTTAAACTGTACTGTATCACAAAAATGTATATAAATGAAATAATAAAAATAATAATTAATAAAAACGAAAAAGAAGCAAAAGATGGCTTAGTTATGTGACCAGTAAATAACGTTTTGGAAATTGTAACAGGACACCAATAAGAAAAGCTTTTATTAGATGAAATAACTTGCATTTTTGAGAATTTATGCGCCTGAAAAGAAAAAACTGAAAGAAAAATAGACAGAACTGATAAAAACGCACGGAATTCAAGCAGGTATACACTGTATTCTTATATTCCATCCTGCACACGGAACGTCGGTGCTTACATTATCATTATGACTATAATTAATTAAGTAATTAAGTAGGGGCTATAGCAATTTCTTTTGCATGATTTGATTGTGGCTAATTTTTTGGTTCTGGCTCATAATTATCATATATTTTCATGATTTTCAAAATTAAAACATTTTTCAAGATCATAACTTTATTCTCTTTTATTATATAATAACAACAATAACAACATTTATTTAGCAATTAAACATAAGAACGCTTTTAGCCATAATATATCACTGCCATAAAGTGAAAATGGCACGAAATGTCATGACATCCAATATTTTGGCATAGAGAAGTTTACACAATGGATAAAACGTTTTTAAGTAAGAAATTTAAATTGTAATGCAAATATAATTAACTATTCCTTCATTTACATGTATTTGAAAAGAATATATATTTTGATAAATTAAACAGTTGACGTTCATTACCTGTGGACATCAGTCTCTCGAATTTATCAAAAGTTGGCCACCTACATAAATACGGTTTTAAATATTTTTCCTATTAATTTCTCGATATATTGGGCAGACAACAAGAAAATGATACACATCTTCAATCCAATCAATTTATATAGTTGTTATCTTAAGATGATTAGCTAATGATATAGGCTGGTTGAAACTAATAAAAGATTATGTTTATGTTTTAGGAAATAGTTATTAATTGTGAGTGCATTGTTGTAGAATATAACACACTGTTCGAGTTAAATTGCATATTAGGAATAAAATCACAAAGGCCGATAGGTCTGAGTGATTAATTACAAAGCATATGAACGAAAAACCGTGTGGTATTAAACGAAAAAGTCATAATGTAATATTTGATTGCTCTATCCGCTTGTTTGAATTTTTGGCAAAGAACGTTTGCTCAGTCAACACTCATTCTGATATGTCGTCATATTTAAGTTTTCGGGACGAATGAATAGGCTTTGGAACTAATTTCATCAATTCCCTCTTTGTTGTTATACTTTTTTGTCAATTGTACACTTTTAATTCCCGCCGACCACATTTGGATGTTTGTTAGCATTATATATTCTAAGAATATATTAATATATTATTTACTTTTGTAAATTTGTTGGAAAGACATACTTGTATCACAATTCTTTAGTCTGGTCCATGTTAATGATTTTTGGGGGTTTATTTTTGTGTTGTTTTTTGTTTGTTTGTTTTGTTGTTTATTTTTAATTTTCCACCAGTGATAAAATGAAAATGTTTGACAATATTTCGAATCCTATTTGAATTTTCAATAGGACACGTGAAACAAAACGACATAATCCGACAGTGATGCTGAAATGTGTATTTATTAAGTAAAAGAAAAAACAATAACAATTCAAAAAAGACGTTGGTCATGTCTTTTGAAATTGTGGCAATCTCGTTTGTCGGTATCCGTTTGAAGTCGTTTATCCGTGCATTCAGCTCTGTGATTTCGTCCGCTGAAAAAGAAGATAGGAGCTACAGAATAAAAATTTGTAAATGATTCCAACACTGTGGAAATTTTAAAAAATCGGATGTACAAAGTTAATTAAAACAAAGAGAGAAAAAATTCTGGACACTTCACAAACTGAATTTAAATATTATTAATGATAGGAATTTAATGGATAACTGAATAATTGCTTTTTATGAGAATCTTTAAAACGTGAATACAGCAAGTTTAGGAGCGCTAAGTTAATTCAAAACATTGAAAACAAGAAATATCTTTGAAACGATATTACATTGTGATAAATTTGGTTTAACAGTTGCTTGGCCATTTTTTAGTATTCTATTAAATTAATGCAGAAATAATACCATTGCTCAACAAGACCGCGATTACTTATTTAGTTTGCTCAATTGTTATTGAAGCATTCTTTTTTAAACAGGAAGATTGACTGCGTAAGGACCAACGTAGGGAACATATTGCTTTCGTGTTAGATACTTGCAAAACTAACAACAGTGTAACTTTTGAATTCCGGAACTTCTGAAATTCGGAAACTTTTGAAATCCGAACAATTATTAGAGTTCCAAAATTTCTCCAGTTTTCTGTAGTAGAAATAGTTTATAGGACCTTGATAACACATGAAAATAATAAAACGTTTTTCTGTATAACTAAAACAGTTGTATTTGAAGCGATTAGTTTAGTAGATATTTCTATCATATCAAAGGAATTTAGCTATTTCAATCAGGCATAATTTGATTTTTTTTTTTGATATTTTAAACCAATCTCAGTTTGACAATGGTATACTAACCTCAGTGTGTATCTCTATCAATAATCATTATCGTGACTATGACTACTGTGGCTGCTGTGACTGCCGTGACCTCCACCTTTGTAATAGCCACTGCCACTATATCCCCCGTAACCTATGTTACCACCACCGATAGAACCGAAGCCTCCACCCGAACCAAACAATACTCGGATGAATATAATGAATATAAATACTGAAATATAGGATAAACATTAAAACAACATGTGTGAGTTTCTGTATGTTATCACCATAGTTACTGTGCTGATACCTGGGTTAACTCCTCGTTCTGATTTTCAACGGTGGATTGTCCTCTGAATCATTGAACAATGTCAACACGAAATGATGATTATTAAAATTGAAAGCCATTAGTGTTTTTTTTCAATTACGTATGAATTGATGTAAATGGTGGTACAAAATAATTATATTATATACTATTGATTTTACAAACGAAAAATATTTCAGTGATATATATCTTTTTAGTTATATAGAGCAAATTTCCAACCTAGAACACAGTGGGAAATTATAATACTAACCCGTTTTATTTTAAGATTTTTTTTGTTGAGGCTTTATGCATTCATTATTTTTTGTAGATCATTTATTATTAAAAAAGATATACGAAGGTTTGAATATGCAAGACTTTTAATCCTATTACTTTTTGAACAACCATCGTATTAATGAAAACATTCCTTAGCAAGAGCTTTTTTATTTATTGTGTATTCTTGCCGCGCATTTTGTCCAAAAAGCTATTTGGTCCGCCACCCTAATAGTGATGAATCATTAGGAATAGGCTGTATACAATATGTATTTATTTGTAAAGAGCATTATGTTTAAATTACATTTTATTGATTGAATATCGTAAAGTCTAGTAATATACTCACAGAATATTAGCATCCCAAATATTCCACTAAACCCGTAACCTCCTGATCCGGAGCTGAATCCATTGCCTACACCGCCTGAAATAAATATATAAAAACATAACTGATACATATGACGAAGTTACGTTAAAAAAATTGGAACGTGGAAAGAACTTCTTTAGGTCTATTTATAACTTGTTTTAAAGATAAAATCAACCAATTAAATGTTCGCTTACATACTTTATCGACATGGTTTCATATCAGTAAACCTGTTCGGACTCAATAAATATTTCGATGTGGTACATTCATTTTATCATTTTATCATTTTTATGGTGTGCCATCCAAATGCATATCAATTATTGTGAATTACAATATTTTCTTTTTGAATTTTACAAGTAGATTTATAAAAGAAAGAAGAAAAACAACTTATAAGCAGGATCGTTTGCACATATAATTATCATATTTCTTATGGGTACAACGACATTTTCAGCTGATAAAAAAAAAAAAAAAAAAAAAAAAAGCAAATAACTACAACCCAATCGCTCCAACATGAATACACGGGTTAAATGCCATTCGGAACACTTCGCCGATTATCCATAATCCCTATCCGGACATTTTTATTTTCTAATAAGACTCACCGCCAGAATAGCCATAACTCATCGGCATCATCTTGTAATTGCCGGAAACCATCATGGCCCCACTAAGTATACAAACCAGCCCTATGAGCAGCAACTTCATTCTGAACGGTGTTCTGAAAAACAGTTCGATAATAACATAATGATTAAAAATACAATATATATGCGTAAGGTATCTTAAGAACAATGAAATCCAAACAAAGTCGGAGGAAACTGGCAAACTTCAATGAGTTTGAATGAAATGTGAATTTTCCAATCTCCAGAAACTGTTTCATTGTCTACAATATATTTTGATAGATGATAGTTTTCAACATAGTGGTTTGCGATAACAGATCTGAAATGATTAGAGCGTAACACATCTTTAATTGCTTAGCATCGTACTAAAATGCTTTTTAAATCATTTCGATCTTTTAATCTCCATTTCATATATTCTACTATAACTCATTCATAACAAATCCAGTAAATTATAGATTCATTGTTTACGAAATCTTCGGAAAAAAATTAAATCCGCTATTAAAAAAGAGTAAGTCAAATTAATCATTTTATCCGCTTCAGATGCACAATTCAACAAAACGATCAGATTGTTTTCTAATGAAATTCTTAGACGCCTCTTTATAAGAAACACGAAACAATAGGTCTACTGTAGTGGTGGCAGTTTTACTCACACGATTCAACTACTACTGCTAAACGATGAAGATGTTGTATATTTATATATTGTCAAGAGGAAATTGCAACAAATATTTTGCTTATTTTTTATTGATTTGTTAAAAAAAAATAGCGACGTTCGTCTGATAAAATCACTTGAATGTTCAAAGTATGCAATTTTGCTTAAGGAAATGAACATGAAGCTAAATTTAGATTTTGTGTCCAATTACGGACAAAAGCGAATATCCACATATTTTTGCTTTACAATATAAAATGTAACCAACTATCTATGAACTTGAAAATACAGTTTTCTAGAGTTTTGCATATTTTTTATTCTTTATGAACTGAGCAAGGCGGTTTTTGCTATCGAATAAATTAGATTCCACCATTTATTTTTATCTCATTTAGAGCATGTATTCTTTTTCCATAAGTTCTGAACACTTCTTCTCTTTTAGGGCATACGTTTTCATTTACTTGGGGACCGTTTTTTATGAATGGGCACGAAAATGTCACATTAAAGGTCCCATGATAACCGCCTAATGAACACATCTGCGGATGTTTATAAATTTAAAATTTCATCATATTGGTGTTTAAATTACGCTGGGGATGCTAGGTGGCGTGGACGGTACCTTGCATTTTCCAGTACCGTTCGCGGCTTGGAAGATTTTCCCCTTATTTCTACGATGGTGGGTCTATATGTAATGCAATATGAAGTATATTTTCTAATTTAGCTCGTGATTCTTGTGCTTGTGTAAACTATACTAGGCTTCGTAATATCTGCTTTCAACTGATACCAGATTCAGGTGTGTAGGTCAATCGATTAAGAATTTTATTTTCATTTAAAAATACCTTATACGAGTAAGTTCCCGTAAAAATTTGCTGGAAAACGCTTTGTTAAAAGTGGTGAATTAAGGGCTTACATAAAAACTACATGAAGAGCAAAGATAGGCTATAAAATGTTTATAATATTATTTGTTATACTTATGACATGAATTGTATTAAGGCGGATGCATAAATTAAAAAATGAGTCAATTAAAGAAGCCTTTAAGTCTAATAGGAAACTCTCCATAGTTAATGACAAAAATATTCATAAAGTCAAGCTCAGCATTGACAACATGTGCCAGACATTCACTTACCATGATAGCCCATATCACAGGGATATCTGTAGGGCCAATTCATACGATTCTCAAGAATCACTTGAAAGAAAGACGGATAACTGCCAGATGGATACCCAATTTGCTAACATTTGACCAGAAGAAGGAGCGAGTTAAAAGAGCTTGAAAATTACTAGTAGCTGTCTTAAACATCTACTCAGTGACGTTTTCTTCTTTCCTCGACAGACAAAACAACTTTCAGGTCATCGCTACAAGAGTAGAAATGGTCGGCCATGTTTTAGAAATTGAAAGGTATACCTATGGAGGATTATGTTGAAGCATTTAAAATTGGATTGAACGTCTGAAACTTTGTATTTCTGTAGGGGATTATTTTGAAGGGTTTAAATAAAAAGATGTTGAGTATTTTCTCTTTTGTTATACCCTCGTATATCCAATTTTATAAATATTCGTCCTTTCTAATTCCAAAATAGTTTGCTTTGAATAGGTACGATAACATCAGAGTGTGCGTTTAATTTAAAATAAATATTTTATATCTTTCTTGGCAAATGATCAACACTATCTGCATTTGGAAGAACTACACTTTGCGAATATTCTCTTGTTTTGCTTTTGGTACTTAGATGGTTCTACATTGAAATTATGATTCCATTCCTGTCTGAATTGCAACTTGAAATTATTGTTTTTATTTGTCTTTAAAAGTTTCTTTTTATCTCTCTACCGTAACGTTTATAAGATAAATCTGTTCAATACTTATTTTCTATAACCAGTTTCTAGACTTTGTTTTTTAATGGTCCGTGCCAATCTTCTGTCTTGTTCAATCATTAAGTTGTTACATATTTTATTTCAGACCTTTTGCTAAACATAATTTACATACAAACTTTATCATGCACACAACACACTAATGAGAAAAGGATCATATCCAACAGCAAAAAGTGCTTATAAATGTCTCTCCCTGGCATATTTTGGACATTTGTTTCTATTTGAAAATCACTTGAAAGATTATGTAGGGGCATTTTGTTTATTTGTCATTCAATTGTTATATGTATAAATATCATCATTCCTTATCAAAGTTTACAATTTCCAGTAGTTGATTTGCTCCCCTTTGGTTCTGAGACTTCAATCAAACCAAATATTTAACATTTTCAAAATAGCCGTATACGATAACAATTTTTACTTTTTTAATGCCATAGGAACATCGCACTGTACTCCAAAATGCCTACTTACGACATGCATTTTCTTTAATCATAGAAATATTAATAAAATCGCAACCAATATTAATAAAATTTCATCAACAAACGTTACAATGCTTTGGTTTGAATGCCTTTTTATACATCATTTACGCATCAAATTTGCTCTATACAAACATAACCCAAAGACGCACTAAACGCAAAACGTGCGAATCAAAAAGAAATCATTTGTGTTTAAAATGTAAACAGTTCTTTAGATATGTGATTAACAGAATATTATATTCGTGTAGGTTCAATGCTGAATTTATTACTCGTTGAATAAAAATTATGCTTGTCAGGGAGGATCGCACAATATAATTTTATTCAAGTGTTTCAATAAATTGAGTTCTGAACCTACCTACACTCATTCAACAACCTTTATTTATATAGCACGACAGACGCAAATAAAATCCAAATGATGGTGGGAAATTTAGAGAGTATCGGACATCAACATATCGAATACAAGACACAATCGAACTAAAATAGATTCTGTATAAACCAACTTACCGAATGCAAGGGCGACAAGAAAAGTAAATCAATTAACAATTTTGTATTCTGATTGAGCTAAATGTGTACACAACATTATCTCCCGTTTCACAACATTATTATTACAAAATTAATTATATCAACCCTATCCCCTAAATGTTATCATACTAGTTGCTGACGGGATATTTGGGAATATATATCAAAGTAATTCAAATATGAAGTCATTATAGCGTTGTAAGTTTTAACATTTTTATGAAGTACTTACATTTGAATTGAGAAATCTGCCATATAGAATAAAACGCTATAGTAGATTTTATGCACATATTTGATAACCGGCCTACGATGTACAAATGCATTGTTATTTGTGTGCTCTCGGTTAAATAATGTAAACGGCATCGTATAAAAAGATTTTAAGCCAATCATAATTCGAGAAATGTGTTTTGCATTATTATGAAACCTATAACATTCGATTCAGTTTTTCTATAATGTCAATAACTTGATAAAGAAAAAATCATTAAAGACTTGTCAGACTTGTCAGAATACAGAACATTCCAGCAGAGATTTGGAACCAGAAAAGAAACAAACTACATGACAAAGACAAAAAGTAGATTGAGAGTTAGAGTGACCAAATAATGGACACAAAGGAAAGAGAAATCGGAAAACAGGAAAAAAGGGAAACAGCCAAAAAGAATGGTAAATGTGTTTCTTTACCCTCAATAATAATAAGTTAAATAATGGTAATAATAACATATATAACATTAATAAATATAACATTTCTCTTGCTGTCTGAGAAGTTTGTTCAACAACTTAAAATATATTAAAGGATGCAAAGGAAAAAATGACAACACGTTGTAAAGATGCAACAGATTTAATAAATAGAAAGAACAACATTAAAACAACTACTCGTCATCTCTTTGTTGTGGCAGTCTCGATAGTCGAATTTTCTTCGTATATCCTAAACCATGGTATTTACTGCTTTACGCATAGTTCTGAAATAATACAAACATAATATTTTTTATATTAATCAATTATGTCTTAAACAAATAAATAACACTATGCAATGAAAGCAATTGTATATACTTTTTTATTATGTTCATAATGAAAATGTTATCACTAAATTAGATTAAACTTAATTCTGTTTTATTTATTACCCTCCGTGTGAAAATAAAAAAGTTCTTTCAATAAGTTATAAGAATAATAGATCTTCAAAATTGTGCATTTGCTTTCCACTAAGACGTTGACCTACTTTTCGTAAGATCGCATGAAAAGAATAAGCAGTTAAAGAAACGTTATTGAACACAAAATATGTGAAGATTTTTCATCGGACGAAATAATAGGACTATCGTGTTACCATTTAATAAGCGCCGCCGCCGCCGCCTTTATATCTCCCTCCACCACCACCGCCTATGCCGCCGCCCCCAATACCCCCAAGTCCTCCTGAACCAAACAGGATTTGTATAAAGAAGATGAATATGAATACTGGAATGGAAAAATGATTGATGAATTGAACAAAGTTTTAGTATATATTATTGTTTATATCATATATGTCCAATAAAACTTAAAATAAATATCCCCCATGGCTAAATATAAAATATTGATATTAATTAGAGAGGGAATGGCATAGCTTATTAATTAATAATAAATGAATTAAAATAAAGTATTATCAGTAACTTTAAAGTAAATAATTTTTATAGATGCAGGTATTTCCTGAACTGAAGTCTGACTAACACGATGCTTTTGGCTTTGAACTTGGTTACTTATTATCTTTCGCACAGCATAGAATTTACCTTATCTCTCATTATGTTTGATTTCAGCAAACTGTGTATTACCGGGTATTCAAATATTATATTTAATTGGGTTAAATTAAAAACTTACAAAAGATTATCATTTCAAAAAGACCGCCAAAAGATCCTGATCCTGATCCGCCCGAGCCTCCGAATCCACCGATACCGCCAAAACTGCTGCCACCACCACCCATACCTAAAAAGAAGAGTAGGGTAAATAATATGTTTTCATAATTCATTGAATCCCAATGGTCCTCTTACTCTTCTGTTTCATATCAGTTTACATACATGTAGGTTGTGAATAATTGTAAAGAATATTAAAAGAGATATACTCTTATTAAGATATAGTCATATGCTTTTATTTGCAAGTCGATAGAGAGAACAAAAAACAAAGCAATGATAAATGATTGAATTAATATGATGAACCAATTAAAACTCATTAGTCGTCAGAATTAATTGAAACAATTTCCTCAGCAAAACGTTAGGAAAGGACAAACGTAATCAAAATATCCTAAATTATTGATTAAAACTGTCCTCCTGAAATCGGTATTTCAAGATTATATTATGGTTGCTATTGCAACACAAGATTTTCTTACTTGCATGAGAAAACAAAATACACATACCGTAACCATAGGACATTGGCATCTTGTAATAATTGCCGGAGACCATCATGGCCACACTCAATACCACAACCGCTCCGATCAACACCAACTTCATTCTTGATGGTGACTTCTGAAACAAATTGTTTATTCAGTGTTTTATTCATTCGCTCATTTTCCGAGATTTATTATTCAATGCAAGGATGCAAAGGTGTATGATTTTTATTATATACTTCAGATATAGCATTAATACCATTTTGTTTACTTTGAAATTCTTTGAATTCTTCAAAAGTATTATATCTGTCACAATTTTATAATGAATTAATATTTATTTTATACGATTTCCACAAAAGTGTCCATTACAAAAAATGAGGTAAAAATCAATTAAATGTTTTTTTACTTACAAAATATTAAACACTGATATTTAGAAAATATAACTTTGTATTTATAAAGAAAGTTAAGGAAGAGGTGTTAAAAAAACTTCATTTTGCATCATGTGATTTATGTAATTTCTTTGATCGACTCATCTATGTGCCTAGAGTGTAGCATGTTCAAGGAAGTTTCAAAACCACAAATTGAAATAGATTTAAAGGTGTGCAGAAATGATGCACTTGTAAAACGAGTATGTATAAAAAATCAATCATGTATGGTTTAAAGAGTTTGCACAAAAGACCACAGGAAATATGCTTCGTTATTTGAATTTGCAGTTTAATATACATTTGTTATAGGACAAGCATTTAAGATAGAGTATTGGGTGCTTGTATTTGTTACCAATTACAATTTATCTTCATCTATATACATCTGTTAATTACCTGAAAGAAAAAAAAATAGATTTTATATATGATATAATGTGGTGCATATTATCAAAACATGTTTTCAAGACAATAAAGTGCATAGCTGAATGACAGCTGTTTGAAATATTCCTATTATAATTTCCTCCCGCGATCGATCCAAGTTTACTTAAAGTGCTTATTTTTTCTATGGTATTTTATTTCAGAATGGATTTATCTAGAACAGTACCGTCAAATGTACATCGATCTGAAAAAAGGGGTAATCCCTCGGAAGCAGTGAAAAAAGATATTATATGAAAATTGTAGACTCGGTTTGTTTGAGACAGTTTAGAAGAGATAATTTACAGTGTAACATCTCTTAACTTTGTCATGCTATGTGTAATGCTATTGTCTTTTATTTTAATTAATGCTTTTAGAATAGAACATTTTCTTTGAGGATGCATCGCCATCCTGTCGGTTAATAGTGAAAAAGGGCCACTTCCATAAAGTCCCGTGTCAAAACAGTCAAGATACCAAATTTTAAAGTGGTAAACTTTTACAGGGTATCAGAAAGACCCAAACTAGTGATTAGAAAAAATATTTGCATATATATAAACGTCATGATGTTAAAGTAATTTTCAAACTTAAGATTAAAAGTCACTTTTCAAGTTTTCACATGTTCATATTTTTACACAAACATTATAATTGTCCGACACGATTCAGACTTACTGCTATTTCCTTACAGAGAGGTTTTCCTTTAAGATCGTTAACAAAATATAATTTTTTATACAGTTAGCTTAAATGACAGTTGTTTTTTGCTGTTAAATCTACATTTTACCATGAAAATTCAAGTGCATAATTTAGCCAACAATTTACCACATATTTAAAAACATTTGAAAAAGGAGTGATTCCTTGGAAGCAGTGAAACAACAATATCATAGGAACAATGCAGAATCGATTTGAATGAGTCCGTTCAATAAACCAACAAAATGTTGTGCCTAATAAAAAATGAACTCTAGATTAGAGTCTACTTTTCAAACTGATAATCTCCTTACCACTTGTATCTTTAAATGCAAAATTCTATTCTCAACATAACACGGGGGTGTTCAGCGTTGTTTGTGTCGTGTGGAGGCTGTAAAAAGTCGCCCCTTACATTCAATCAGATATGTTATATTTCCGATCCTTAAAGATCGTTCAGCACGACATTATTGTTGTGTTTCTGGTATTTTTTGTTTTAACTAGTATTTTCTAGTTGGGTGTTCCAATATTTCTACTTGAATAATGTTGAATCACCCTTAGGTTATGTTGCCTGCTTTTGACGTCTTATCTGTGATATACAGGCTTCATAAGGTCTGATCCCCTTTCAAAATTCTATTTTGTTTAGTTCCGCCCATTGCTTCTCGTTTAGGTACTACATGCTTTCTATTATTTAGGGACCTTACACCGCTTTTCATGGAATGGCACGGAAGTGTCACATTGAAGGTTCCATGATAACCGCCGTATGAACACATCTGCAGACGTTTCTAAATTCATAATTTTACCATCTCATGTTTTAAAGTTGAATTCTGCTTAAGCCGGTGATAGGGGGCGTGGGCGGTATTTTACACTTAACAGTACCGTCCATGATCAGACTCAATCAAACCGAGCCAGCAACATTTTCAATTCTGCCGTTTTTGGGCTTTCTTTACGGATTCATATTTTCTCTATTTCAACATACATTAAACCAACAGGTAGTAATGGTGTTTCATTGTAATTATTATTATTGTTCTATATGTGAACAATGACAGTAGTAAACCATACTGCAATGTTCAAAAGCAGAACTTTACATTTAAACATGAAAAAATGATGATATTTCGAATTTAGAAACACCGGCAGATGTGTTCATGCGGTGTTTATCATGGAACCTTCAAAGTGACACTTAATTTCGTGTGATTCCGTGACAAAGAGGCGTATGTTCCGCAAGTAAAAGAAAGCGTGTGCTATAAACGAGAAAACAATACTACATCATGTTATGCGTGTAATGTTTATGTTTTGTTGATATGGGCCGGAGACCAAAATCAAATAAATCTATTGTCATTGTCATTATTGCATTTAACTGATCAGATTTTCATTTTTTTTTGTCTTTTTCATTTTTTTTTCAGTTAAAAATATGTTTGGTTATTGTCTAGACAAAATTATTTCTAACATTTACATATACATGCAGTTTGAATTTCACCAGCTTAATTGACTGTTATTTTATGTTGTGTATCATGTAAATTTTAATAATTTTTTTTAGATAAGTAAACTGGGATTTACATGGAATAGATATTTTATTAAGTTCTTGTGCATGATCTTAATTAAGGTATTGGATGCCAAATGCAGAATATCCTTTCTGAAGAGTATTCATTTTCAGTTTGGACACAGAGTTTCGATAAAGCGTGGGCTCATCCCCCAAAAGTGGTAATCTTTTTCAATTTTTTTTCTTATTTTTTGTTTGTTTGGCCAGATTTTGATTTTTTCCTATTTTTTTATTTAAAATCTGAAATTAAGAAAAAGTTAAAGTTTTATATATAATTTTTATTGTGAATTGTGTGAAATTGGATAGGGTAACACATAAAATTATTGTAATTTGAAATCAGCATGGTAAATTTTCTATATATTTTTCACAAATGTTTAGATTTGTATCAAGATAATTATTATAAACCAATATTTTGATGCTCCTATTTTATTTGACAAAATCTAACATGTTTTTTTACCCCTCTCCGTATTTGATGTAAAATAAAAAGTACCTGTCTCAATAAACAGTAATTGGTTTTATTTGTAATTATTAAAAACTATGGTTCTTTATTAGTACTTTTCAACTAAGAAAATATGAAACTAGCAAAACTTTTATTCCGATAATTAAAACATATTCTTTGCTGTTGTTGTTGTATAAAACTGATACAAAAGTTATACATCAATTGTCAATAATTTTCAAACAAGATGGTAAACTTTTGTAATTTTTGTATGTATGTCTAGAATATAGTACAGTTTACTAGTTTAAAGTTTTAACTGTCTTTTGAAAAAGTGTTAATTATACGTCCAATACATTAAATAATATATTTTGTAAAAAGTAATATATTATTGCATTAACTTAATGTGTTTGCGCATTCATTTCATGTGTTTATTTAATCAACAAAAAATGGCGATTGACATTTCAAAATGTTTTATTACACAATGATTTTGAAATCTTTATTTTCAAATAGATACGAAGCTTTGATCATAAGGAAACGTCTAGTGATGGACATTAAAGTGGATAAAAAACTTTTTTCAGAAAACGCAAGTTTCGAAATAGCTGCAAGCTACTATGGTTACTAGGAAACATACTGTACATTCAAATGTACGTGTAAGGAAGCTGTGGTTATGAACGTCTTACCACAGAAGTTTATAAATAAATATTCAAATTTTTGTTAATTAAGTGTGAAATTTGATAAATAATTATCTGACTGATCACGTCTTAAATATTCTTAAAACTTATTTTATACAAATACATTTGTTAAACAAGTGTTACTTAATCTAGACGATATCAATATTTGTCAATTAAATGTTCACTGTGTATTTTTTACCAAAAATTATGTAACACTTAGTTTGCTCACTTTTTGTTTAAAGATAACAATTTCCTTTCTTCTGTACAGTCACGCTTGGGACCAGGTGACTTTACTGTTAACCGGTTAACATACTTGTACAATACATTATGTAAGGCTTTAGATGAGGGACTAGAAGTAAGAGCGTTGATATAAGTAAAGCGTTTGGTGGAGTTTGGCCGTAGTCGGTTGTAAACTGGTTTTCCGATGATCTTACTAACATACACAAGGTGGTTATTCTACCTGGAGTAAAGTAAGAATGGTCGATAGTAAAGTTGGAGTCCCCCAAGGTTTTATCCTTGGTTCACTTCTATTCCTAGTTTTCATCAATGACATCGTAGAACACCTAGTCGCCAAAATAAACCTATTTGCTGACGATACTAGTTTACCTATAATTGTTGACCACCCTGATTCTGCTGCTGAAACACTGCAATCTCACAAAGACAATATATCAGGTTGGGCCAAAAATGGCTCGTTACTTTCAATTCATCTAAGTCTGAATATATGGCTAGCTCTCGTGAAAGATATAAACCTTTGAATGCCCCACTTTTTATGCATAATCAACATATAGCAAAAGTCACTAGTCACAAACATCATTTCGTGGGTTGTCACATTAACTACATTAACGACCAGGCCTGGAAGAGTATACACATTATGAAGACACTGAAGTTTTAGATTGACAGTTAATCTTTTGAAGTCATTTATTAATCTTTCATCCGACCGATTTTGGAAAACGCCGATGTTGACACAATATGAGAAACTTGAACATAAGAAGGGTCAAAATGAAGCGTGCTGCAAAATCAATTATATAAAAAACCATAGTGAAGTTCCTTTGGAATATTTAGAATATCGTAGAAATAATTATATGCTTATATTACTTTAAATTAAGTTGTGTTTTTGACCAATCTACGCAATGCTATCCGAACACGAACACTTCTTTATCAGCTCTGATTCAATAGAACGCACCCGTCCTAGAGAAGTCAAAGTACAAGATCACTGCGATACCATTTGAGACGAAACATTTCTAAATGTCCCATTTTTGTCTACGAAGGCGAAAGAAAGTGGAAGGTCTATCACGCTCGACTTCATACTGAATGTAGTTCGCTCAATCAGCATCAATTATGAAAAATATTTCTCCAGTTCCTCTTTGTCACTGTGGTATAGTGGAAAGTAAATTACCAGTCAACGCTATGTTGACAGAAGGGCCTGTATTCTTAACACTTTATCTACCATTTGTTCAGTAACTCTCCAAACTTAGAGACCTAAACATTAGGGATGATGCAAACAAAAGCTTGTTTGAAGCCGTTCATACCTACATCAGAGAAAGCAGGAGCTTCTTTTGAGCATATTCACATCAACTGTTTGAATCTTTTTCAAATCGTCGAACTATCAAAATGATCTACATATAAGTTATGTCTTCATTTCTATACATTCTTTCTCATAACATTACTTTCTGTCTTAATTTATTATTTTTTCTCTTGAATTCTATTTAACATATTCGATTACAACTTATTGTAAGGAAAACCTTATTTTTAATTATTTAAAAATAAGGATGTAAAATCAAATATATTTCAAGCAAGCCACTTTTACTGTCATACCGTATTTGATGCATTTCAAATCTATAAGGATAAAGTTTTTATAAGCTCGGCTTTCGGACCGAGTCATTTTTCAACAATCATGCCTGTATGTATACGTTACTTATTGGTATAACATGTATGTACAGTATAATTTGAAGTTGTTTGAAATATACTCTGTTTAAACAAACGCTAATACAAAAATAATGATAATAAAACTGAATGTATTACAAAATAAATATTTTATGGCCACTTACAAGCTCAATAGTTGGTTTCATAAGGTCTTACATAGATCGAATTATTGACAAAACCTTACACTTTATATGATTTGGCCTTCAAACATGTTTGGACCTCTCCTTTTACGGTCATTTCTTTATTCATAGTTTCACTATTTGTACATGCTCTGCACTTTTGGCATAATTGAATAGTACTCACGGCAAAATGTACTCTTGAAAATATTAAATAAATTGTACATGTCATTAAACTGGGTCACTTGAAATTGCATTGTTTATAAACGGGTTTGATGTTTTTATTTTTGCAATAATAACAAACATTTTCTTAATGCAGGAATGTATTTACAAAAATAATATAAAAGAATAACATCAAATAACAAGCAATTATAACAATATATTCATTATTCGTTGTTATGGCAATCGTGGAAGTCGGTTGTTTCTTTGGGGTCCGTTTAGAAGAGGAAATCACGTGGGGCAATGATTCTAAAAACAAGAAAAATATAGTTTGTAAAGCGCAATTTAAAATATTACAACACATTTAAAAAACTGAAAGCCGTACAACAATTCTAACCAAATAATGTACATGTTAAACAGCTTAGTTTTTTTATTTTATTTCGGTTTTATAACTTTATTTACAAGTGAATAGTTATATAACAATCGTTTCTGAATTAGATAACATGTTTATCAAGTTTATTTCGCCATATTCTTATACTCTATTCATCATATGTCGGTCAAAAGCTATACATAGCTTATGTTTTGTGAAATGTTATATATATATATATAGGTATAAATATACTACTTCATTTATATCCATTGTAGCAACCATTACAGTTGTAGTGAATTACTATTTTGTATGGAAGTAAAACTATCACTTTGTTTACACATTTTGATGCCTTTGTCACAAGTCACAAGTAATTTCACATTTCACCTTCAGGTGATAAGCATTTTACTAATTCAAAACCTATCATTACAACATAATTAAACACGAATTTCATCTTTCAGAAGAAAGATATATTTATTATTTATTCATTTCGGAGGCGTAATATGCCTTTAAAAATACCATATCAGAAGCAAAGTAAGTAGTTCAAGATGATTTCAAAGCAAACTTAGTATGATTAAGAAGAAACTTGATATTTCTTTTTTAGAATGTTCTTGATTGAGAACTAATTTTAAACACTTAATTCCTTTGTATGCATTTAAGTAATATTTTAACGATTCAAATAAAATCTTCAAACAATGGAAATACTGTACCTTAAAAGATTAATAATCGTTATCGTGGCTGTCAGTGCTGTAGCTGTTTCCGCCGCCTTTATGACCACCACCATGACCACCATGTCCTCCACCTTTTCGATACCCGCCGTAGCCTCCCCCTCCGCCTCCGCCTCGACCCCCTATTCCTCCTATTCCCCCACCTCCACCGGCTCCGAACAATAATTGAATCAACAGTATAAACACGAACACTAAAATACAACAAAAATATAATGATATAGCATTAAGAATATGTTAACGTTTATTAGTGCGTATTTACAAAATTTATAAATTGGTCAGTACTAATCTATTTTAACCGGCTTAGTGTTTTAGATTATTTTTATGAACAGCCGATTTAAAAGACTGATTAACAGTTTGCCGATTTACCAAAGTAAATGTGATACGATTTATTTGAAAAACTGTAATCCTATTGGACAAACAATAATTTCAAACACTAAAAATGACATGATGAATGTAAGTATTGCGTAATGATTCAAAGATAAGTAATAGAAAAGTAATCATAACAATTGTACTAAAGATTTTAATTATCATATTTATTTGAAATAAAACATTTATGATATGTTATAATAAATCAGTTTACTAGCAGAAAATATTTGCATTTTTTATAAATAAAAAAGAACTTACAAAATATGATCATTTCAAATAGTCCTCCAAATCCACTTGCTGAAAATCAAATTTAGTCATTTTTAAGAAATATCTAGAAAAATGTGTAATTTTAAGAAATATCTGTAAAGTATACAAAACGGTATAAACACGTGTCAATAAAAATGCTGAAGAATTTATGTTGTAAAACACTTAAATCCAATAAAATATTATGACAAGCCATTAATTAAATGAGCCGCGTCACGACAAAACCAACATAATGGGCATCCGCGCAGTCTGATCAGGATCCATTCTGTTCGCTATCAGTTTCTCTACTTGTCATAGGGTTTGTAAGCGAACAGCATGGATCCTGATCAGACTGCGCGGATGCGCAGGCTGGTCTTGATCCATGCTGGTCGCAAACGCATTACGTTGGTTTTGTCGTGACCCGGCTCAAAAGAAACTTACAGCCTCCTTGTCTACCACCGCCGACTTGTCCCCCACCATAACCATATGACGGCATTTGCATCTTCATGTTTGGCATTTTGTACATGTTAGCGGATGCCATCATGGCCACACTGAAGAGTGTCACTGCCCCAAGTATATATATCCTCATTATTGCTGATATGGTCTGAAAGAAAGGTACAAACACTTCTTGAAAACAATTATAATATTTAGGAAAAGCATATTCAACGAAGAAAATACAGATTACTTAACATCAACATTAAATTGCCACTTTGTTATAATTATTAATCATATCATTAAAACTGTATTTAATAACTTAAAAGCAATCGATAATGTGTTGTCGGCAAGAATTCTGAAACTTACGTTATTTTACACTCCTAAAGAATAGAATAATTCAATTCCCTTTTATAATAAAATCTTCTCCCGGAAGAGGCATGCTTAATTTACAAAAAAAATAATACATGGTAGCTAAGTTCACATAAAACTGTAAAACTGTCTAAAGTTTTCTGAATATAGACACATTATTACACCTTGAGCACTTTGCAACAATCCCTTCAGTACCCACATCGCTGAACAGTCTGGTTCTGAAATACCACATGGTCTGGTTCTGAAATACCACATGACCATACATTAAATGTAACCTCGAGAAATCCATGCTTATCAAGCAATAAATTTCAGAACACGACGCCGTTATTCATTTCTACATGCTGTTATATGCTTAGGTTTGCAGATATAGATGTTATAAGATTCAATTTAAAGAAGTAACTTACTTTTTTACGTTGCATAGTTCATTGGTGGTTGCAAGTAGTTCAGTTGTCACATCGACATATGGAAAGTTCGTATTGATTTTTATTCATTCATATATTTATATTTTTTTATAAATTATTGAAGCATAGTTTTCACTTTAATTATACGAATAACAAAGCAACTGCAACTCCGGACGTGTATTCGATTTAAACATTCTGATATGATTATACAATGACGCCATTTATTGCAGACAAATGACATGAATTTAAGAATACGCTTTCTGATATAGATTACCATTTGTTAATAAATTGTAAATGAGCTATCAAGCCAAGAGGGATATACTGGTTCTGATATTTATAGTATTTGTATCTTATACAGAAAAATACGTTACTGTAACTTCAAGCTCCAGATCTAGATTCTCTAGAAATTTTGCACTGGATGCATACAGTTGTGTACCTGGTGGTGTCGTCTTTAATAAGGACAAGATATTTTAACAGGATTTTATGGTCAACAAGAAACATGTATTAGTGTTTTTATATGCCAGTGAATAGACACAATAAACTGTAATGGTTTACTGATAATCAAAATAAATTTATTAAAATTGGACACCCTGAAGAACTTTCAATTCCAATTTCAATTTTGTGATTTTTTTTGGATTTTATTCTTTATAATTATAATTATTATTATTATTAATTATTATTATTATTATTATTATTATTATTATTAGTGAAACAGAGCAAATTGTTCTTAAAATATGCAGCTCATTGTTACATTTATTATCTCGTAGAATTATTCATATCTATACCTGTACGTAAAATGTTTTACAGTGCATATATTTTACCACATCCTGACTATCGTTGCATAATTTACGGTAACTGTACGTCTTTTCTATAAGAGAAACTCATTTAGTTCCAAAAGAGAGCTGCAAGACTAATTCTAGACAAAGATTATGACACTCCATCTCTGCTGGATGAACTTTTCACAGAGGCTAGTTTTTCAAAAAGCTAGTATGACGTTTTAGATATAATAAATAATCAGGCGCCTTCCTATTTATTGAAAATTTCATTTTTTCATCAGATGTTGCGTTCATCATCTGATGTTCAACTTTACACCCCTAGACCAAATACTGAACAATTTCATAAGTCTACAATTTATTTATATTGAGATAATTATTGTTACTCAATATTGCAAACCTTTCACTATAAGAATTTTGAAAAACACGTTTGTAATATACAATTGGTAAAATGTGTGAGGAAAATCTGAAGAAAAAAAACACTAAGAAGTTACTTAACCTTACGAACTGGGATTTGTGATTTCACGAATTGAACCGCGCAGTGTATAAAATGAAGAAAAATAGTTTGCATTTCTGTATTTATTGAGTAAAATTGAAACGAGTATTTGCATTAGAAAATTTAGTATAGAGAGCTCGTTTAGCAAGGAAAACGTAATAAAATTATTTTCTTTTTTTCTTTTATTTTACATTAATTTAGTTCCTAGAAACAGACACGTACATACATCTCATAATTAAGCCTCTTTATTTCCTACATAGGAGTTACAAAGTCCTAGGGAGGAGTTAAAAACTTTAGGCTTTTTGGTTTCATACGTAGGAGTTTAAAAGTCATACGTAGTAGCTATAAAGTTTTATTCCCCTATGTTACAGTTTAGGAGTCCTACCTAGTAGTTTTAAAATCCTAATAAGGCTTTCTTTTTTATAGAACAAAGAATTGGCACCAGATTTTTGGCAATTTTGAGACGTCCAGCCGTTGCCACGGTAACAAGAAATTTAAAATTGAGCATGCTGTTACAGAGGCTTTGGTCCGGGCAACATTTGTGCCAAGTTTCATTAGTATTGAAGTATTTTTCATTGTTTCATAGCAGTTTGAACTTGTACAGGAGACTTTTCAATAAAAACGGCCGTTTTTCACAATATGCTCATGAATTTAAGGCTAAACATGTTGTAGCATTATAGTTATCTCAACATGATAATACTTAATTGTATCTTTTCATAGCCAATCATCTATAAGCCATATACTTTTTTCAGTGTCTTGCAGCTGTAGTTCGTTGTAAGTCTATATAGAAAAATCAAGCATTGGTGCAACCAATATGGTTAAAGATGAAATAGTAAAGGTCTGTGTCTGCATAAGTTTCAACTCGTTCACGGAATAGTGTTTATCATAGCTTGATGGACAAATGAGCAGAGAGGTAGTAGTCTAGTTATGAAAACTGCCTGTGCATGCTTGAGTATTAACCTGTGTTGATTGAGCCATTGCTGCCTCATTTTTGTGTCGCCTCTACGGAGTAGTGGCGACATATAGGGATCACTTCTCCGTCGTCTATCTGTCCGTCTGTCCGTCTGTCTGTATGTCTGTCCGTCTGTCTGTCCGTCCGTCACAAAACTTGTCCGGACTACTCCTCATAAACTACTGGTGCAATTTCATCCAAACTTTACAGGAATAATCAGTGCCAATGCTAGTTGGGCATATTGTCAGCATTTTTTGGTTCAATGATTTTTGTCAGAGTTATGGCCCTTTGATAATTTTAAATTTTAAAGTTTGTCCGGACTACTTCTCTTATACCACTAATGCAATTTCAATGAAACTTTACAGGATTGATCTGTAGCTCAAGTCCTTGCGCAAAGTGCACGGGTTTTCCGGTTGAATGATTTTTGGCCGAGTTATGGCCCTTTGATAAAAAGGTTTCATTTTCTGTATGTTGCCAGATACACAAAAGCTTGTCCGGACTACTCCTCATAAACTACTGGTGCAATTTCATCCAAACTTTACAGGAATGATCAGTACCAAGTGTAGTTGTGCATATTGTCAGCATTTTCCAGTTCAATGATTTTTGTCAGAGTTATGGCCCTTCAATAAATTTTATTATTAAAGTTTGTCGGACTACTTCTCTTATACAACTAATGCAATTTCAATGAAACTTTACAGGATTGATCTGTAGCTCAAGTCCTTGCGCATATTGCACGGGTTTTCCGGTTGAATGATTTTTGGCCAAGTTATGGCCCTTTGATAAAAAGGTGTTTTTTTCTGTGTGTTGCCAGATACACAAAAGCTTGTCCAGACTACTCCTCATAAACTAATGGTGCAATTTTATCCAAACTTTACAGGGATGATCAGTACCAAGTCTAGTTGAGCACTGTCCGTCTGTCTGTCCGTCTGTCACAAAATTTGTCCCAACATGAAATTGGCCATCATGAGGCGACACATGTGATTACTGATCGCTCTTGTCAATCATTTAAAAGCACTGTGTCCAGATCTTTTTAGCTGTTAGTTTTGTATTGTAGCATCATATAAGTAATATAATTCAGTGAACATTTTATATGTACTTCTAGATTTATTGTAGATTATGTAGACAATGGTGTAAGTTTAGTGTATTGAACATCTTTGTAGCCTAAGTTTACTTAATGAAATGAAAACTTGGATTGTTCAATATTTTGAAGCAGTTTCAGCTAGAAGTAACACTTTTATTGGTAGTAAAATTTTATAGTTTCAGCATCGAAGACAATCAGCTTGGAAGAGAAATGTGTATGATGTTAGTGTCAACCAGTTACCAATAGAAGCAAACACAGTAGTAAGTCCCTTTTCCTTCCAATTATTTTTAGCGGGACTATTCGATAAGAATAAGTAGAGCTATTGTAGTCACCCAAGCGTCGGCGTCGGCGTAACCACTTATGTTAAAGTTTTGGAATACCTCAAATATTTTCAAAGTTCATTGACATATGGCTTTGAAACTTTGCACACTTCTTCAGCACCATGACCCCAACCAGTAGAAAGGAGGAGGTAATTGTATTAATTATTTTGACAGAAGTATGCCATTTTTCATCTTAGAATTTCGACTTTCAAGCCTAAACATAGAAAGCTACAAAAAAAAAACAATTACAGAACAGTACATACTTTGAGGGGTTCAGTGCAGCCTAGTTTTACATATAAATTTAATGTTACCTGTATGCTTACTTCAATTTTACTTTTTTTGCCTAGCGTTCAGGCCGCCATTTTATGAACCAATTGTACGATTTTGGTCACGTGATAATCCGCAGTGTTATTTACATACTAGTAGTTTATTATTAACTATTTATTTGGTATGTTACTAAATATTTTAGGAAAAGAGTCAACAGCCTAACAGATGAAGATTGTGTCCCAACAGAAGAAACAACACTATCACCAGCCTTAACAGGTGTGCTTGAATTTTTTTTGAATTATTATACACACGAAACGAAGTTTTGGGGGTAGGGTTATGTTTGCATTTTAATTGTACGGAGCATAACTTGAAGACTAATGGTTGGATTTCAATACAACTTCATACAATGATCAAGCACATAAAGAGGAAGTGCAGTGTACATGAACCGTAACTCCATCTTGAATAATTACAGAGTTATTGCCCTTTCTTACTTTTCCTTGTCCGAAGCATAAATTGAAAACTACTAATTTGAATTAAAAACAATTCCATACAATGGTCAAGCACAATAAGTGGAAGTGCAGTGCACAATAACCATAACTCTTTCCAGAGTAGTTATCTTGTTATTGCCCTTTGTTACTTTTCCATTGCTTTTTCTTGTCCAGAGCATAACTTAAAAACAACTAGTTGGAATTCAATACAACTTCATACAATGGTCAATTACATTGGGAGAAAATGCAGTACACAGTAACTATAACTCAATCTTGACTAATCACAGAGTTTTTCCATTTGATACTTTTTCTTCTTCAGTGCATAACTTGAAAACTAATGGTTTGAATTCAATGCAACTTCATACAATGTCAGGCACAATAAGAGGAAGTGCAGTGCACGAGAACCATAACTCTATCCAGAGTATTAATAAAGTGGTTGCCCTTTGTTACTTTTCCTTGTTGGAAAACATAACATGAAATCTACTGGTTGGAATTCAATACAATTCATACAATTGTCAATTATATTGAGAGTAAGCGGAGTGTACAGAAACCACAACTATTTCTTGACTCATTTAAGATAGTCTGCTCTTTGTAACTTTTTATTGTCCAGTGCATAATTTGAAAATTAATGGTTGGAATTCAATGAAACTTCATACAATGGTCAAGCGCCGTAAGCTGAAGTGCTGTGCACAACAACCATAACTCTATTTGGACTAATTATATAGTTATTGCCCTTTGTTACTTTTTTGTCCAGTGCATAGCTTGAAAACTAGTAGTTGGAACTCTATTCAACTTCATACAATGAGAAGAAGTACAGTGTACAATAACCATGACTACAAATTCAGTATTTTCAGAATTATTGCCCTTTGTTCCTTTCCCTTGTGCGGTGCATAACTTAAATACTTATATTTGGAATACATTGCAACTTCAAACAATGGTCAAACATACTGAGAAGAAGTGCAGTGTTCAAGATGTGTAACTCTTTCTGGACTTATTACATAGAAATGCAATAAAGCTTCATCAATGGTCAACCACATTGAAAGGAAATTCAATGTATTAGAATCACAACTAGATCAAATTGCCCACAACCATAACTCAAGTTCAATTATTTTACAAGGTTTTCTGTTTCTAGTAACTTCCTTATTTCCGAAGCAGTCTAACGGGGGTATTTATCACATTAAGTTATAGTTATAGTTTATTTTAAATTAAGTTTGAGAAGTACTGATTGATGAAAAAATATCCCTGATGCGCCAAGAAAATGTCCATTTCTCCGGCATTTAATCTTTCAAAATATTAAATGTAAAACAAACTTTCAAAATTCCATTTTAAATAGATCCGCCCATTGTTTTCTCGTTTTTATACAGTACGTGGGGACCATATTCCGCTTTTCATGGAATGGTACTTATGTGTCCACATTGAAGGTTCCATGAAACCGCCATATCAACACATCTGCAGATGTTTCAAAATTCAAAATTGTACCATTTCTTGTTAAATTTTAAATTCTGTTCAAGCCGAAGCTAGGGGCGTGGACAGTACTTTGCACTTGACAGTACCGTCCATTAACAGGCTCAATCAAACCGAGCCTGCAACATTTTCGAATTTGTCGAGTTGGGCTTTCTTTAGGGATTCTTATTTTCTCTATTTCATTATGATACTAAATAAAAAATTAAAAAAATAAAATAAATTCTTTTTTGTTAAATAATTGTAATTTATAAACTTTTTTTTTCATTCGAAAAAACGCTATAACTATGATGTAGAGCCTAAGCGTCAGCAAAATACTGGTACATTAAAGAGAGATATTCCTTGTGTTGTTATAATTTGGCTATTGGAGACGAATACCATTTATTTTGCATATGTTATTTCTACGATGTAATAAAAACTCACATTGCTATTATAGACATTCTTCAATATACAAATTTATCCAGCTGTTCACCCCCCCCCCCCAAAAAAAATAAAAAGAATTTGTAGCCTATACGTTTATGAATCTCTCACTTAGGTAGGTATACGCTTTCTACATTGGTGATTATGTTCATTCTCCAAACATTTTTGTTTCCATACCAAAGAAGTACTACTTTTAAATAGTCTTATTTGTATATGTATTACAATTTAATCTATATAATTATTGTACAATTGCCATGAAACAATTAAAAATGTGAAAAGAAAGGAAACAGTTGATGAAAGACAAATACATAAAACAATAAAGGATGAGGATGCTTATGTTTATTTATGTTTGAGACGAAACTTAGCGATTTTCTTTGATAGAAAACAAACTCTGTTTCTAATGCTGAAGGTATATATATATATATATCACATGCAACTGTAAGTTAACAAACAGATTGTGACATCGTGTTTGCAATCTCCCAGTTGCAGCACAGTCTGTGGTAGATCGTCATCATACGGAAGTCGGTATATCAGAACCATATCTAAAATCAGAATAGAAAGCTTTAAAAAAGTGATTGGTTGAAGATGTTAAACTAGTAACATTCATTGAATGGATAAAAATATTTAAAAATAAGATATTCAAATAGTCTACATGATTCGTATTACACGACAAAAATTGAAGATATTACAGGCTTGGTGTAACTGCATTTTTTCAAGTACAACAAAGGTAAATGATGATTGCCCTACATGATCCTTAGCAGCGACTCTAGCAGAATTTAAACTCAATATTTAAATATGTAAATTGTGTATAATTTAAAATGCACAAAAGGAAATGTTTGAGTTAATCACAAATACATGTATATTATTTCTTTCCATTATTTACATGTGACTTCAATCAAAGATTATCAACACTTCTAACTTTCTTATCTCTCATTCATTATAATATCTGATATAGTTATTGTTAAAAAATTAAATGTTTACTTTATTATACATGTAATTATCTTAAAGGTAACTGATGGTGATGAATATTAATATCACTTTTGATATTTCTATTAAACATCATAGAATAATATTCGAGGATATTGAATGACTGTAGGTTTACTACAAAATTTATTCAACGAGTTCAATACATTTATGTATTTCAATAACTTTAGTATTAAACCCAAACCAACACTCATTCAATATTCACCCTTTATTACACTCTGTGCCATGGTTAATGTGATAAAAGTAAGTTTTACCTCGGAGGTTAATAAGAATTATCATGGCTGTCATGATCGCCATAGCCACTGCTGCTGCCATAGCCACTGCCACCATGTTTACTATATCCGCCATATCCGCCTCCGCCTCGACCTCCAAGACCACCTCCAGCACCAAACAATACTTGGATAAGGAGGATGAACACAAACACTGAAACAAATTGAATAGAAAATAATAATTATAACATTTAATAATTTAATCGTTTTTGAAACTGATCTAAACTTTGAAAAGGGGTGATCCTCCTTCGAGGGAAACGAAGACAGAACTAAAAAGATGATAATTACAGGCAAGGTTTCAGTCTAAAACTGCTTATAAAAAAAACGAAGACTTTTTTCAGTTTTGCATTACATTTTGCTAAGCTATATTTTGTGGAGTTCGTTAATATTAGTGCAGAATACACTAAATGTGGAGCTACATAAGTAAAGTTAAGTAAATAAATGAAAATATTGACAAAAAACATTGTTACTCACAGTAGATTATGATTTCAAATATACCACCGCCAAATCCAGAGGCTGCAATAGAAGGACAAGATCGAGATAATTTAACTTAATGTATAGTATCTAAAAAGATAAAAATCAGATGTGATAACAAAATGTTTATTATGTATAGATTATTTACATCTTTTATGTGCTATTCATGTAGAGAATTTGAAAGTTTATTGATTAAAATTATCCCCTTAATTCAAACATTATCGATCTTTGTAATTTTTTATTTAAGAATAAATACATTAATTGTATATTCAAAATTTTCAATTGGTATTCCTCAGTTCCAGTAGAAATAAACATTAGTATATTGTAACACAAAATACTGAATAGTGATTAACAAAAATATATACACATGTGTTTCTGTCATAAATTGTTCCTTTCACTGAATGATGCATGATTAAGATTAAAGACAATGGCTAGATTTCTTAGTTTTTCTAAAATAAAATTACATAAAATTAAAACCTTAAAGAAAATTAAAATTGTTGCAGGTTCTGTTCATGGACTTAGACTACCGTCTATGCCCCTTTCTCTGGCATGAAGAACTTAGTTGTGGAATTGACGTGAAACTTAGAATTTAGAATGTCCATTAAAAATAATGTGTTCATTTCGCAGCTAACACGGAGAATTTGATGCTTCACCATGCCATTCAATGACAAGCGGCGTAAGCATTGACCCCCAAGTAAAAGAATGTGTGTAACCTAAGCAAGAAAATAAAGGCCGAAACTTAATAAAACATAATTTTCAGAAGGGATCAGAAGTAAAAAAACTTACAGTTATTGTTGTTTGTCATATGTCCACCATATCCATATGCCATTGGCATCTTCATGTTATGCATATACATGTTGCCTGAGACCAACATGGCCGCACTGAAGAGTGTGACTGCTCCAAGTAAAAACAATTTCATCCTTGCTGGTGATTCTTTCTGAAACAAGTGTAACGATAGTAGTAATCAGCCATGGTTTGGTTTGATAAAATTGTTTTGTTAAAATTATAGACTAAATGTTTAAAAATAAACAAGTAAAATAACAACAAAGCATACTTACTTCCCATTCACACTGACTTAATTTGCAAAAAATAGTTCTTTAAATAGTTTTAGATAGCGGAAATAAGGTCTCTCAATTGGAGAGAAATGTTAAAAATAGAAAATTCAATCCCATATTTCCACTTTCTTTACAGATCAAACAAAACCACTTTTACCCCAAGCAAAATGTGGCGGCCACGTCTTTAGTCGTAAAACCTGTGAAAGATGTAATGTTGCCACAAAACTGTTGAAACTCGACCTATATCACATAGTTTTAAAAAATTGATAAAGTACAAACGATTCCTATAAAAAAACATTCATTTATTATGTCGTTCACTTTTTTCAAATCAGTTGATGCTCCTAAATGCTGCTAAACGCTTTAATGATAAGAAAATGTTTTAGAACATAAAAGTTGGATGACATTGTTATGTAACACAAGAAAAATATAAGTACAGATGATTTAAATTTAGTATGTCAAAGTGGTGCATCAAGTCCAATTAACGCAACCTTTCTACATGTCTTGGCTAGTCCAGCGAGCCAGTGATGCGCATCTTAAAAGAATCAATTGTGTAATATCTTCAGGAAGTTCAGCGAACCAAAGAAGAGCAACAAATCAATGTGGTGTTGCAAGTCGTCTTGGAGAAGCTACAAGTTCATGCTGTGCAGCCAGCCAAAGTGGTGCCGAACGTCCATTATGTGCGGCAGGTTAAGAAAGTACAGCACATCCAATAAGCGCAACATGTCCTGGTAGTGCAAGAAGTCCAAGTAGTGCAACAAGACGAGAAAGTGGTACTACCTCAGGAGCTCCAACAAGTATATATTTTAATGTAAATTTTGGCCAGGTAGTAAAAGTACTGCTTTAATTCATGCAAATAATATAAAGTGACATAAACATTACTGCAAACAAAACTAGTTGAGCATTCAGAGTATAAACTACTTCTTTGTGTCAAAAACCTATTCGGGGAGCATCACCCGGTCCGGCCAGCTCTTTTTATTCTTTTAGCTAAGTTTAAATTGAAGTCTGGAGAAGACATGTTTGTCGGAAATGTATTTACTCTTGTTTGACAAACAGATAATGACTAAAGATTATCAGAAGTATCGTTATTGTCAGTTGTTACTTATAAAAGTATAATTTATATATATATTTTTTCTAAATATTATAATTCTAAATGATCATATCCATGGCCTTGGGGTAAATAACGAGGAAAGATAGAAAACCATGTATACATGTATGTGTGCTACATTGCTACATTTTATCATGTCAATGTATTCTGTCTTAACTAAGGAAGATTTTTGACAAAATGTTAACTGACAATTTTGTTTATATTTTTTAAATTTTATATCAGATGTGTTGATATATATACAAAGTACATAACAACTTTTAACGTTTAGTCTAAGGAAGGTTTGAGGAAATTTAACTTTATCCTTTAAGTTTGAACAAATCCCGATTGATGTTTATGACATGTGTATTGTCAAATGGTCATTCAGTGATTAAAACGGGAATTGATAAATATTGTAATTAGAGGCATAAAGATACAATGAAAATATTAACAATTTTATTTCGAAGGCCCTTAAGCATAAACTTAATATTGCAAATAAGGACTAAATTTATCATTTCCTCAAACATTTCCTAAATAAAATAAATATACGTATGTATGTAGTTATGTTTGTTACTGGTAAAGACACACACATACATAGATAACTTTTCTTCTTCTTTACAGTACATGTATTTATAACTTAAATGTTTGGCAAAACGGCAAAATTTATAATGTTACAAACTCGGTTTATTAAGCATTTACGGCAGCGCTTGTGCAAGTTATTTTCTGTCCATGCCCCTGCGCAACGGCGCAAGAACACTCATTAATAAGACCGAGTCTGCACTTCTCTCCGAAGGTTTTCAGAGCTCAAAGAATCATCTAAACTTAATACTTATTTAATTTAATTTAATTCTAGTTTTGAATTAAAAGAACATATTTATATTGTGTAAACTACGATAGCTATAGAATTGCTTTGTTCTGCTCTTAATTCAATTAGCCATTGTATAAGGGGGATATAGAAACATTAACAAAAGTAAAACATATGCACTACATGTAATATGAATAGTATGGAAAATGAATTTCATTTCCTTTTACTTTGTCCTTTTTATACAGCTTAAATATTATTACCACTGGCCATATTTGTTTAAATTTAAATCTCATTTAAATTGTGCTGTAGACAAAGTATGTTTTTGATAATGGACTTGTAAAATAGGTTAACGTACAAAGCTAATCTTTGGCACGAAAATTTCAGGCGTGAATTAATTATTATGTTATATAAACTTAGTTCATGTAAGATATTAATCAGCAATAGTAAGATAGTGTGTGATTGTTTTGTTATTGTCAACAGACTTTGTTCAAACTAATTTATATGACTTCATGCTTTTATGTGTACCGCTGCTGTAAATATGTTATATTGGCAATGTTTGAACATGTATATGTTTTGCCAAATAAAATATTGAATTGAATTAAATTTAAGTTTTGTGCTCATTGCTCTCGAGGGATGACCTCTTTTGATTTATTTACAGGAAACATTAGAGTTAATTTTTTGCTCCTTATTTAAATTCATTCATCCACAAGCTCACTCTCTATCAATATGGTAGACATAACAGGTAGAAATAAAACAAATTCATTTTTGATTAACTTATTCTTTCGAATATTTTCGAAATTAGAAATGTCGAAACAAATGCGGACCTTTTGAAATTTTGAAACATTTCATTTTCTTTATTTATGACAAATAAGTTATTTCCGATAGGCTATAAGACAAAAAAGATGCTTTTGTTACTAACTTTGGAGTATATATACAGTACAACTTTTAAAATTAACTACATGTATAAGCGCTTGCTTTACACAAGTTATTGCATAAATGATTGATTACAAAGTTTTTTTTTTCAAACGGTATGGATGTATTACATTTGGTTTATATGTTATTAAAAATCCCTGGAGGTGAAAAGACATATACATTTTCCATGTGGTAACAGGAAATGCATAAAATTTGTAATGACTCTTATTTAGTTTTACATGTGATTCATTTGTCAGAGACCATTGGATCATATACTTAATGCTAAAAACAATAATTATTCTTTGAAGAAACATCAGTTCTTACAATTATTTTTTATCGAAATGTCTGATAACGATCTGCTATTGTTATTCAATATTGAATTTCTTATTAACTGGTTTTCAATTAATTCAAGAGATTGGTTGCTTTTACTAAAATATTTTCTCCTTTAACAACAATAACACAAACAAACAGAAAATTCAGACTCCGTAATCAGTATCAGGAAATTCGACAACTGGAGATTTCTTGCTATAAATACACGTAGAAGCAAAAATAACAGCTTAAAATTCATACTAGGGTTCCGTTTATGGAATATAATGAAAGGTGCAACATATCGTCCCCACCGGCATAAGCAGACTTTTTCTCAAATTAAGAATTGGAATCTGTTGTACGAAGCGCCAAAAATATCACATCACTGTTATGAAGTACGGGGCAGTTTTTCGTACATGCAGCTGTACATAGTGTACATAGAGCAATAACACATAACTGTGTGCCCAGTATGCATGTTTTTTTAGAGTGTACGCAGTACCATAATGTCCATTTCCTGTAAAAAGTTTGTTTTAAGACATTCTTCGTACAAAGTAAAAAGACAGAAGATTAAAATATATTTATGAAATAAATCCTACAAGAAACTAACTTCCAGTTCTCCGAAACTTTCAGATTAATCCACAATTTCTCAATTTCTATAACATTTCAACGCCGGATGAACGCATTATCCAGAATCCAAATCGCATTCAACGCGAAATACTGACGAGAAGGGGAAGATATGTGTCAATGCAATTGGAAAATCAAAACTATAAAAGCAAGGACATCTTCAAATCTATTCTGATGTTTTTTTTACATAACTCGTTTTTGTTCAAAATACTGCGCAGTATGAGCATTTTGCGGATGCACGCGCATCGTATGACCGCCTTGTTTTTGTAACTCGTCTTTTGCAAAGAGTGGTTTAAATTATAAGCAATATTAAGTTGCAATGCATTTAACGAAAATGTTTACGTATAATTTTGGTAAATTACTTTCATTACATAAACAGTCAGGGAACACCTATATACATTATTATAAAATTTGTAAAATTTACCGTCCCTAATACAGAAAAGGTTGTCAATCAACAATACTCACACGGTGTTTAGATTTAACTAAATGATTTCTAGCCAGATAAACTGGCTATTCTGATATTTAATCTATTTTCATTCTGAATGAAAGAGTGGTTTTAAATTGAGCACGGCTTTAATTACGCACTGAATACACTCGCGTTACTTCAGACAGTGAGGGATAGTGGAACATTCGACCGATGCGCAGGAGAAACTGAAACTGAAATTAAAACTGTTCTATTTAATTAAACGCCTATTTCTATATACATATTCAATGGCGTTGTACAAAAGGATAATAAAAGTATGTACATATAGATAAAAAAAACAACACATATGCATGGCAAATGAACTACAAAAAATATGTTAAAGATATCAGCCGTGTAAAATATAAAGTATTACAAACTTAAAAAAAAGAAAAAAAAATAGTTAAAAAATAACAATAAAAAATAATTTAAAAGAAAATAAAAATTAATGGTTATTTCAGTAAAATTTCAAACACATTTCCACATCTCTATCAGTTTACAGCCCAATTACAATCTTAAAACAATGCGTAAAAATCTCTAAAATAGTAGGTTTTGACATTTTTCTTGAACATGTCCAAAGTCGAAGACTGTCTTATATACAAAGGCAATTTATTCCAGAGAGTTGGACCAACGGTACTAAAACTTCTGTCGTTAAATGTTTTCCTTTTGTTAAAGGGGACAGCAAAACAATAATCCATATTATCAACAGATCTGAGATTTGGTCTTTTTATGACAGGCTTGTGTAACAGTTCTGTTAGATAAACCGGAGCATTGCCCATAAAACAGTTATACATTGTACATAGTATTTTAAAATTGATCCTAGCTTTAATTGGTAACCAATGCAGTTCCAACAAAGAGTCTTTGGAACTATCATATTTTCCGCGTTGCAAAACAAGTTTAGCGCACATATTCTGGATACGCTGTAATTTCTGTAACTCACTTTCTGAAATGCCAAACAATATAGCGTTGCAATAATCCAAATGTGAGATTACAAGCGACAATACTAGGATTTTTGTGGCGTCATGAGTCAGTTATTTGCGAATGCTCTTTATTCTCAAATAATTTAACATAGCAGTTCTACACTTGGTCTTAACATGTGTTGAGAATCTTAGGCCCTCGTCTAAGTAGGCACCTAAGTATCTTATGACACTGACATTTTGAATTTTATCACCGGCGATATCAATTTCTTTAATTGAACATTTACCAAGTTGGGCTTTACTACCAAACATAATGAGTTCTGTCTTAGTGGTGTTCATTTTGAGTTTATTGGCATTCATCCAGTCATTGATGATTACAGCACTGTCTTCAAGTTGCTTTATAGCGTTAAGTTCATTGGTCACTGAAGTTGGTCGAAAGCGTTGACTAGCAATGTGGTCATCAGCAAAGCCGTACACAGATATGGATGGTGGTATCACATCAAATAGGGTTCCCGCATATGTGAGATAGAGCCACGGACCAAGACAGCTCCCCCGAGGTTCATTGCATTCCAGCAATCGTGGAGTCGATTCAGTAGAATTAACACTGACGCGACAACTACGAGGTCGCAGGTACGAGTCCACCCAAGCTAACACAGTACCATTGACACCGTACTGACTGTGTAACACTTCGAGTAGAATGTTGTGGTCAACGGTGTCGAAAGCTGCACTAAGATCTATTGCAATTAGAGCTGTGACCTCTTGCTTCTCCATACCGTCTAGAAGATCATTGACAAGTCTGAGTAAAGCAGTCTCACATGAATGATGACGCCTGTATGCTGATTGATTTTTAGGTAACAAATTATGGGTATCGACATGGTTATTTAGTCTGAAGAGCGCAGCCTTTTCTATCAATTTTGAAAGAAACGATAAGTTACTGACAGGCCTGTAGTTTGACAATTGTAATTCTAAACCAGACTTCTTAAGAAGGGGTCTAACGATCGCCTGTTTCCAGTGTGTTGGAAATACGCCTTTAGACAGAGATAGATTGACAAGTTTGGTAATGGTTGGCAGAAGCTCATCTAGATGTGACTTTAATATATGTGTGGGTATTAAGTCCAGCTCACACGATTTGGTATTTAGTTCACAAATAAGGCTCTTCACCTGTGTTTCTGTAAGATCCTCGAAATTTTCTAAAGGTTGAATTTGTTTGACATTTGGAATGAAGCTTGGAAAATCCTGAAGTGATTTACGAATTTTAGCTATTTTTTCAATAAAAAAGTCTGCAAACTTCTCAGCTAGCTCACCGTCATTTGTAGACTGTGGCATAGGATTTTCAGCTTTAGTACCTGTTAATTCCGAAATTAAACCATAGAGTTTTTTGAATCACCTTTTGCATTTAGAATTTTTTCACTTATTACTAGTTTTTTCTCAGAATCAAATTCTTTACAGTATCTATTCCGTGCTTCTTTAAATTTCTTGAACTTTTCTGGCTCTTTGTACTTTCTCCAAATTCTCTCTTTTTTCCGGACAATACGCTTAGATTCCAATATTGACTCATTTAACCAAGGTTTTTGAGTTCTGCATACCCTAGTTTGTTCCTTTGTTGGAGCATGTTTGTCGATAACAGATTGGATTTCTGATTCAAACAAGTTTACAAAAGTATTGACATCTTCACTATCAACTGAAATCTTCGTTAAATCATCAGAGAATTCAGAATGGGATATGCTTTTCCAGTTTCTAAATTGTACAGTTTTACTGGTAATGTTTTCTTTCTTCACATTAATGACTACATGGACAGCACAGTGATCGGAGAGATAAGGTCCTTGTTCACATTTAAGTACACATACACCATTAACCGATTCAGTGATAACCAAGTCTAAACAGTTTCCAGCAGTGTGTGTACTAAAGTTGACATGTTGCTCTAAACCCATAGCATGAAGGCAATTTTGAAAGTTTGTAGATGCACAACTACCATTGTCAAGGTGAAGGTTGAAGTCTCCCATAATCAACAAGTTAGAGTATGTAGGTAAGATATCTTCTATGAAATTTGAAAAGTCAGTTACAAATTGCTCACATGTGGCTAGGGATGGGGGTCTGTATAAACCAACTACGTGTACTGTTATACTTTTGAAAATGAGTTTCCATATGCCAAATTCAAAACTTTGTTTGTTCCCATGTTCCATCTTTCTCATTTTAATTTCGGTTTTACAAAAGCAACACCGCCACCAATTTTGTTCTTGCGGTTTGCAACACTGATTTTGTAACCGTGTTGATTGAGATCAGACGTTTCATACTGATGTTGTTTTTCGTCAGAATACCATGTTTCAGTCAACAAAGCAAAGTCAATTCTTTGTTCCCTCAAATACTGGCCAACAAAATTATCCTTGTTAACAACAGATCTACAGTTAAGTGTAAAACATGACACTTTTTCACCAATTTGAACACGCGTGTTTTGTATTAAGGGATATTTCAAATTGTGTAGGTTTGCACAAGAAGGCTTAGTCAGGATTTTAGCTTTACCACCACGTTTGCTCCTTTTGTGTGTTTTGGGTTGAGAGATGTTCAGCTTATGTATAACACCGTGTACACAATGGTCTAATTTATGAAGTTGCCAATTACTCGAAACCGTTAATCCTAATTTCAATAGCTGGTCACGACAATACCTGTACTTTTGATTTATGGTTGGCTGGTTATTGATTTCAATCATTTCCGAAATATGTATATTTTTCAAATATCTGTAACTTTCACCCATCATAAACAATTTAAAAAGTGTTATTGTTGCAAGTGAAGTTGGTCGAAAGCGTTGACTAGCAATGTGGTCATCAGCAAAGCCGTACACAGATATGGATGGTGGTATCACATCAAATAGGGTTCCCGCATATGTGAGATAGAGCCACGGACCAAGACAGCTCCCCCGAGGTACATTGCATTCCAGCAATCGTGGAGTCGATTCAGTAGAATTAACACTGACGCGACAACTACGAGGTCGCAGGTACGAGTCCACCCAAGCTAACACAGTACCATTGACACCGTACTGACTGTGTAACACTTCGAGTAGAATGTTGTGGTCAACGGTGTCGAAAGCTGCACTAAGATCTATTGCAATTAGAGCTGTGACCTCTTGCTTCTCCATACCGTCTAGAAGATCATTGACAAGTCTGAGTAAAGCAGTCTCACATGAATGATGACGCCTGTATGCTTACTGTTATGGCGGGCAATTGCAGGGTTGTGTGATTATGAGCAGATAACTCATGATGTACGACGTATGTACAACAATTGTCTCCCTTTTATTACAGTTTTATTACATTTTTACTGTTTTTATCTACTATTTAGAGCAGGCGACATTGAGTCAAATCCAGGCCCCGAGATTAGTAAGGAAAATTGTTTAACTATATATCATTAAAATATTCGTGGCATTAGAAGTAAACTAGACTTTGTAAATGACAACTTTCTCGATTATGATATTTTGTGTTTTACTGAAACAAAGTTGGATGCAAATGTTCAAGATAACAACTTAATTTTACCGGGGTTCGATCATATGTTTCGTAAGGATATTTCGTGTCATGCTTGGGGTTATTAACTTATATTTCCGCTTTTTTAAGACCAAAACGTGTAGCTGTTTTGGAAAACATCCTTCCAGAATCGCTTTGGATAGAAATTAAAGACAAAAAACATTCATATCTATTATGCACTTTATATAAGCCCCCTCATAGTACGGTCGATTTTTGGGATAAATTAAATAGGTGTCTCGAACAGGCTCTAGAGATGCAAAACCACATAGTCATGGTAGGAGATATAAATGAAGACCAGCTGAATTATTCGAATCATAAACTTCGCGACGTGTTATTACTGAACAATATGACCAACGTTTATTCAGGTACCAACTCGTGTTACACCAACTACCAGAACATTAATTGATCCTATAGCAACAACAAATAACATTCATGTTTTAGATTCGGGAATTTTCGAAACACCAAACGAGATAAGTGATCATTTCGGCACCTACATTTTTTTCAAAATTGAATTTGATTCAAATAAACCATTTAAAAGAAGTATGGAACTACAATAACGCTGATTTTACTACATTTAATACTCTTATTCGTGATTTCGATTGGTCGTTCATTATCAGTGAGAATATTGATATTGCATGCGAACATTTTACAAACACTTTTTTAGATATTGCTAAGCGATGCATTCCTTCGTATATAGCGTTAGTAAGGCCTAAAGATAAACCTTGGTTTAATTCCGAAATTCGAAAAACTTTGCGACTTAGGGATAGACAATTTCATAAAGCATTGAATTCAAATAACGTACATGACTGGAATAAATACAAAAAAAACAACAAGAAATAAGGTAAATAATATGAAAAAACATGCCAAAAACGTTTTCTACAACAATTAAGAATTTTCACTTAACGATCTTAATAGCAATGATTCGCGCAAATATTGGAAAACGGTAAAAATGCTCGTCAAAGAAAACTCTTCTGATTCGGGAAACATTCCACCTCTTATTAAATGTAATAACACAGATATATCATATTCTGACACAAAAAAAGCAAATACACTAAACGATCTCTTTGTTGTTTCAATTTCAAATATTGACGATTCAAACACTGAACTTCCGGATTTTTCATTCAAAACACATTCAAAACTTAATAATTTTTTAATAATAGAACAAGAAGTTACCGATATATTAGATAATCTTATCATAAATAAAGCTTCGGGTCCCGACGAAATTAGTCATAAAATGTTGAAAGAAACATCTAAATCAATATGCAAACCTCTTTGTTTACTCTTTAATTGATCTTTAAATGACAATATGTACCCATCTAATTGGAAACTTGCTCATGTTATGCCTTTATATAAGAAAGGAAATAAAGATGAAGCATCTAATTACCGACCAATATCACTAATAAGTTGTGTCGGAAAAGTAATGGAAAGAATAATTTTGAAACATATATATAACTATTTTAATGAATATTCACTTATTTTTCAAAACCAATCAGGCTTCCTTCCAGGCCACTCCACTATTTATCAATTAATAGACATTTATAACCAAATTTGTAAATCCTTTGATACAAGGGAATCAATATGTATAATTTTTTGTGATATTTCAAAAGCTTTTGATAGAGTTTGGCATAAAGGTTTAATTTTTACGATAAGACAATATGGAATTGAAGGAAACTTGATAAACTGGTTGGAAAATTATCTAAAGAACAGAGGTCAAAAAGTTTTTGTTAATACTTCGTTTTCTTTACCTAGGTATTTATACGGTGGAGTCCCCCAAGGCTCGGTCCTTGGGCCTCTTTTATTTTTGATTTACGTAAACGATATAGCAGATTCCCTTTTAAGTGTAACAAGACTCTTTGCAGACGACAGTTCTCTTGCAGTAACATCAAACAATGTAAACACAATCGAAGAAACTATTAATCACGACCTTGATAACATTCTCACTCGGTCAAAACAATGGTTGGTTAACTTTAATCCAGCAAAAACAGAAGCGATGCTCTTTACATATGTCAATCGAAATCGACCTAATTTATACTTTAATAATGTTCAACTTAATTTTGTAGACCACCATAAACATCTAGGTGTTACATTTAGCCAAGACGGTAACTGGCATGAGCACATCGCAAATATAGTATCATCTGCATCAAAAATACTAGGTTCAATGAAATTGATAAAATTCAAAGTTAAAAGAAATACTCTTAATCATATATATGTTTCCTATCTTCGTCCAAGGCTTGAATATGCATCAATTGTATGGGATAACTGTACACAATATGAAAAAGAAACTTTAGAAAAACTACAATATGAAGCAGCAAGGATTGTAACAAGTCTAAGTAGATCTGTTTCAATTCAAAATCTTATAAATGGAATAGGATGGCTTTCATTAGACGACAGGCCCCGGAGAAAAATGCAAAAACTTATTTTAATTTATAAAGAAAAACATAACCTTTTGCCGTTATATTTATCACAGTTATTCCCACCAACAGTCGAACATGTTTCCTCACATTTATACTCGCTACGAAATAATGCTAATTATGCTTCAATAGCAAGAAGAACAGAAATTTATGCTAAGTCTGTCATTCCGTCCTCTATACAACTATGGAACGAATTACAGCCCATATTAGAGAATCAGAAACATTATCAATATTCAAAAATAAGCTTAAAACATTATATAAAGCCCCTATTGTGCCACCATTTTATATCGAAGGCGATCGTGTATCTGTTGTCTACCATGCTCGCATTAGAAATAAATGTAGCAATCTGAATTCTGACCTTTTTACAAATCATCTTACTTCTAGTGCAGCATGCGATTGTGGTACTCTAATTGAAGATGCCGAACATTTCCCATTCCAATGTCGAAAGTATATAATACAAAGAAGAAAACTATTTACAAACACCAGAGAATTCCACCCGCTTAGTACTAAAAAGCTACTCTTTGGCATTGAAAATTTAACCGACTTTCAAAACAAAATCTTATTTCAGCATGTTCAAAATTATATCAAAGAAACAAAGAGGTTTACATAAAACGTTACTACATTGTTTTTTATTGTAATTAACTATAACAAGTACTTAAGGTTATTTTTGCTCATTACAAACAAATGGGTATGTGCTTAACAATTAATGATGGGGATTGGTTGGTGGTAGTGTCGACACACAACTGATACAGCAACATTTCTTTTCTTGTTTTCTGTTCTTCCCTCTTCTATCTTTTCATCTTAAAATGAAAATGTATTGTAACTTAATGCATATTTACTTTAATGTATAACTTTCTTTACTTTATGAAACTGATGTTAATCATTTACAGGGAAGGGCCCACGATAATGTTGTAAAAACTTTTGGCCCAACCCTTTTGTATATTGTGTAATTTTGTTAATGTAAATGAATTGATGTATATTTATATATGCAATAAAATATTATTAAACTAAACCTGTTTCAAGAGAGATCTGGAAGATGTGGGTCAGTATGGGAGTAACCTCTTGATGGAGTTCTTTTATTAGTAAACTAGGGGATATTTGGTCAGGACCAGAAGCTTTATTTGTGTTTAGGCGTTGTAAAAGTTTCTTCAAACCATCTTCCGATATAGATACTTCTGACATAGATGGTTGATGTTTCGGAGTCTATGTATTGTCAGTATGCTTTCCTAGTTTCTCTTTGGATTTCACTTTTAAGTAATTTGAGGTTTAATTGTGACCAAATCATTTGATGGGGACTTTGACCTTTTAATGTTTCAATAAGTTCTATCAAGATTCCTTATTTTGCGAATGATGGACTTCTTTAACCATGGTAGATCTCGACGTGTTTTAGTGACTTTAGTTGGTATGTGAGTAGAACAAAGATGGTTTAGTTTGTCCTTGAAGGAAATCCAGGCTTTGTTGGGATCAGTGTGGTGTATTTCACTGTAGACCTTGGCATATTTACTTACATTATTTTTCTATTATAATTAAAGCTCACATTCTGTTTCCTCCCGAATATAAGTTTGTTAACATGTTGGTCTTTTAGAATATGTGTATTGCATTGTATATAACACAAGCGATTTACATACATGAATATTCTAAAAAAGTTCGATACTTAGCGGTGTTCAATTTAGAGGTGTTCATTTTAATCTTCAAGTTGGAGGTAAAAACAACGATGGTTATCATTTGGCGGGAAAGTGTTGAAATAATTTTAGAGTAAACTATATTTGTTCTAATAAATTAATTTTCATTCAACAAGCATTCTTTCATAACAGCCATTGCTTTTCAATCCGATAATATACGACTGAAATTAATAACATATGAATATTTTCACTTCGTCTCTGTAATATAATTTCGCGACGTTTGAAGTTACAATTTTTAAAATTATGTTCATTTTACATTTTCAAGCATATATTCAATCATTGCTATTCAGTTGCTTTCCTTTGAAATGAATAAAGTAGTATTTGTTGTTTTCTTAATATTCTGAGTTTGAGAGATAGTCAGACTAATTGTAGATATACTTTACTTAGAGGTATTTTGCTAAATTTCATTTGTGTATGGGCAATATCTCCCCTAAATTTCGACCCAGAATCTATGTTTGTAATGTCAGTATATTTTGACTCGTTGAAAGTATACTTTACTTTGAAATAGAATTTATTTACTGTTATATTTTTTTTTAACTTTGAAGTAAATTTTGTCCCCGGCTTGTGGTTTTCTTACAAATTTACTTAAGATATTGTATATGAGGGTTGCAAGGGTGATACTACTGTATTGCAATGCAGCGTCTTACAATACATACCACAGTACAGAACCTAGTACCACAATATTTTCTTTAATATATCTCTTTGATCAAAATATACATTTACATGTACATATTTTGACTTTTAGCGAGACTATTTGCAGGATACTGCAGCTGATGCAGTCACTCATTTGTCGGTGCCGGTGACCCTGTGGTTAAGTTTTTAGGTGTAAGCTGGTTTCTCCATAACTATCAAAGGGTAGAGTTGCAATGATACATTCCAATGAATCGAAAACCTTATTTGATTCCAATACCAAATCTAAGAATTTTGATTTGATTCACATCCAAAAATAAACATGGAAAGAATGCAGTATTAGTCCCTCTCTATCTAGTGAACCGCTTTATTACGCAAAATACCATTGGTTAATTTAACACGTTCATCCAATCAGTGGATGCATAATGTTGATTTTTCTCAAAGCAAATCATAATGGATTAAAATGTCAGTATAGTAAAAATATATCTAAAAAAGTAATGCAACAAAACTTCAGTATAAGGTGTGGGAATGCGTTGGGTTTCCATAAACAAAGCAACATGTAAAATATGTACGAAATAAGTACAAATAACTTCATGCAACAGCTTCAGTTACAAGCTGTTGTGCCACAACACGAAAGGAAAGAAGATATACTGATGTTGATTAGTTTAAAAAGTCTAGTTTTAGTTTTAGAAAAAGTCAGATTTATAAGAACTTTTACTCAATCTTAAATAATTTTATAATTATCTCCCTGTATGTACTTCTAATATGATAAAAACTGCTCAAATGTATTTCTACTGACACGTACACTAAACTTATTCCATTATATTTTTCATGGTTAATTTATTGTTGCATATATGCAAATCTAGCATTTAACAAGACTTTGCTCTGAATGTCCAGATTATAATATGCTTCAGGGAAATTGGCAATACTGTTACAAAATTCTTGTTTATTTCATGTTTTACAGTCATACTTTGATAGCAGTTGATGGTAACTAATGGCAGAATGTTAGCAGAAAGTGTTGAGTTCCTTAACAAGTAGGTATACTTTGAATATTTTTCTCACAATGTTGGGAGGGTGTGGTTAGTTAGGAAGTTGTGTCATGGATTTAGATCAGTTTGAAAGAAAACACTCAAATAATAATAACAAGAAAATTACAGTCATTTTGAATTTAAGTGTAACATTGTTTGCAAAAAAATCACTTTTAATTTCATTTCTGTTGACTGTACGTCTCGATTAAAGCTTCAAATTCAGAACAAGGACATCCCAATTCTGAGTGTTTTATTGTTTGTATACATTAGTCATAATTATCGTGAACATGTTTGGGAATATGAGAGGGGGGGATGAGGAGTAGAGTTTTGAAGTTATTACACTGCACTGTCTAGGTAAGTAGACTGTTCGCTTACAAACCCTATTACAAGTAGAGAAACAGACTGCGTGGACGTGCAGGCTGGTCTGGATCCATGCTGTTTGCAAACCCATTATGTTGGTTTTGTCATGACGCGGCTCATTTTGTGATTTACAGCTTTAAGAAACATGGAGCTTCAGGAGCTGGACAGAGTGTATATTCTTGCCGTACATTCCTGGGACGTCTTGTGGAAAACTTTCTTACAGATATGGATAAAGGTGATAACACAAATACTTTCGAAAAAATATTTTTTTCATAATTTCATTTCATCAGACTCACTAATGAAGTGAAGGGAAGAAATAAAACAAATTAATGAACTTGTATATGATTGTATTTTTAACATTATTTTTAAGCTTTTATTTAACTAAATATGATTTTTCATTTGCCCTGACATAGTTTAGATTAAAATTTTATAAGACTATTGAATTTTCAATTAACAAGTAAATGTTGAAATAAAATGAGACTTTGTTTTTGCTTTCATATGAAATAAGATAAATTTTGATGTACATAAATGATATATCTGATGTAATATAAATAACTTATTCCCCATGTATTAAACATATTGGTTTTGTATATAGCAGTTAAAAGTTGACAATTTTGCCTCAAACAAATTCGCGTGATTTTGAAATCATCAGTTTTTTTATTATAATTTATGAGTTTCTCAATATAAGTATTTGTTGACTTGTTTATGAATATTTTAAAAAACAAAATCCCAAGTTCTTTTATTTCATTTAAAGATTTAGTTTTCAGTTTAAAGGTCAAGAGCTTAACTTTTGAAATAACATGTCCAACTTGACCAAGCTTTGCTTCATGATCATGATCTGCATTGTATGCTAATTAGTCAGTAAATATTTTGATAATTTTTCCAATGATCTTTGTTCTGTTTTTTTAGTCTCAGCAGCATTAAAGAAAGATGGAACAAGCAGTGAGTACCTGGCACCCCTACAGTTTAGTGGAATTTTCCTACGGAGCCAATCAGAGGTGTTCCTGCCGCCCCCACCAAGTCAATCACCTAGCACTCCACCTCTTAATAGGCCAGTGGATAGTATGCAAGAAGATGACCTCACTCAAGGTACCATGACATTGAAAATAATAAAAAGAAAAGAATAACACTTATTTATCTGACTAAAGTCTGTGTTTTCTTTTGGTCATATTTATGAGAATGAATAGGAAATATTTGTGATATATCAGAATTGTATCTGTCAATGACAGTTTTTGATGATAATCATGTTGCTAATAACAGTATTTTGATTGGTATTTCAGAATTTCTCATGTGGTTTTTCTCGCGAATTTTGGTTCTACTTGGACATGAGAAATGTGCTGCCCTCCATGAACGTACAATAGATACAATACATGAGATGTTGCAGGCGGTCTGTAGTAGAGATGCCTTCCTGTATGGTCGCTTCTTGAAGGAACTTGTCCTCTGCATAACAGGTAGGAAGACATTAGAAAATAAGTATTTCAGGTAGGTATATGAAAAGAAAAAGGTATTTTTAAGACTTCAATGAGTTTCCAATGCAAATTTCTGTAATGTATGCATTCTAGCGTAAAAATTGCCATGCCCCCATGTTATCACAAATAACAATTAAAAATCAGCGTTTCTTTACTTTTATTGAGCATTAAGAAAACAAAATTAGGACAGAAATGACATGTAAAATAGTAAAAGTGACAATTCTGTCCACTGCAAACTTTAATAGTGGAGGCAGGAGGATAGGAGTTAAATATTGCTAATTATGTGCTAAAAACATCAACAACAAAAGTAAGACACAAAAACTGACAGGGTACATGATATAAGGATATATGATATATTCTATTTTCTTAGACTTGGTACGTATTTCCGAAGACATGTTTGATGGTAAAATAGACAGTGACAAACTTATAAGATTTCCTGTGAACATCTCAAAAGTTCTACAAAGTCTGCAGGAACCAGTCAAGGTAATGTTTAAATGAGCCGCATGACGACAAAACCAACGTTATGCGTTTGCGACCAGCACGGATCCAGGCCATCCTGCGCATCCGCACAGTCTGATCAGGATCCATGCTGTTTGCTATCAGTTTCTCTACCAGTAATAAGGTTTGTATGCGAACAGTATGAATCAGACTGCACGGCTGCTCAGGCTGTTCTGGATCCATGCTGGTCGCAAACACATTACGTTGGTTTTGTTATGACGCGGCTTAAATGTTTTAACCAATCAGATGTTTAAGGCAATAATAAACTTCCTATGCCACAATAACAAGGCATGTCTGTTCAGTCTGAGCAGAGTAAATGTTTTAGCATTTTGAAACTGAACCTGAAAACCCTTACTTCAAGAATGGACTGTTCTGAATTCAGAGCAGAACTGTTGCACAAATTTGACATTTGGAAACACTTGGCAGAAAAGATTAAAAGCTCAAATTCAGGGGCAGATAACACAGAAAGTAGGATGGGGACCACGGAAATTTTCCTCATAATATTGTTTCTGTTGTGATATTCTTTAATTATCCTCTATAATGTTGACAAATCAGTTATTATTACTTTTATTCTGAAATCCCTGTAACTAGTTCATTAGTATTGGTCTGTTTCTGTTTAAAAGTCAAACATTTCACAAAATCAGGAGACTATTTATTGAGAAATTTGATTTGTTTCAGAGAGAAGGATCTTGTGAGGTGACTCTTTCCGTCGCTGATTTTGCTGTTGTTGATATATACTGCTGTGAGTCATTACAACTTAACATCACGTAAGTTTTATGAGTCACTTATAGTATTGGTCTTGTGCCTGAAAAAAGCCTTTTTGTACCACCATTATTTTTTTTGTAGTCCAGACAAAACCGTGGAATTTAGGGTTAAGGGCAGGACAAAATTGCTAGTTCCTAGTTTCTATATGAAAAGAAAGTTTAGAGTTACAGGGTAGTTTGTCCAGAATTCTTTATGAATATATGGGTTGTGTCAAAGGCAAGGTTGGTCAGGTTTCAGTTACCTCATTATTTTATTTTGGCTCAAAATTTGGAAGTTGAATTTTCTTAACTTGGTCCTTTAGAAGTTGAACTTTACTATCAGTTGTGTCAGGAATAAAGTATTTCAGGATTTGATGCATGGTATGTTTAATTTTAGTACCATAAGTAATTTTATTTCTTTCAGGAAGATTTTGAACAAAATAGCATCAGATCTGAACAAATTTTGTCTAGAATCTCAAGTGAATGCATTGTGGGCAAGTTTATGCTACCATGTGGAGGAGGGGGATTTGACCTTGAAAACTGTAAGCTATTTGTTATTTACTAGGTTTCGGTATCTGTTTTTGCTATTGAATAAAAGCAATTATGTCTCCCAAAAATATTGTTTCTGCCTCTACTGTCTGTCCATCCCTCTGCATTAAGCTTGTCCGGCTTTCACAGGTCAAACTAAAGGTGGGGGGGGTGATTTCAACCAACTTTACAGGATTGATCAGAACCATTACTAGATGTGCATATCGTCAGCATGTTCTGCAGGTCAAGCTACTGGTGGGATTTTAATGAAACTTTACATGAGTGACCATACATATTTTTGGGAGACTTGTTTTTGTGACAAAAACCCTTCTGGAGACATATGTTTTTATGACAAAAACCCTTTTGTTCTGACTGCTTTAATAGAACTACTAACCTCTTGCACATTATTTGGATAGCTTCCTAGCATGATGTTGAATCTTAAACTTAAGCTTATCTTGTATATTCAAATATGAATTGTACTCTTGCTGACATATTTAATATAAAAATTATGTCAATTTTAGCATTTCTCTAGCTTTTACATATGATTGAAGTTACTTTAATTTTTAAGGAATCATTAAAGTTACTTGGTGAGTTGATTAATTACACAAAGGTGCCTTTAGAAGTGGAGGAATACTTCATTGGTTGTTTAACTGCCATGCTGGAACTACTTTCTACTGGTTTACCACTAGTTGAAGATGCCACTGCTGAGTTAGTAGTTTATGTTGTAATAATATTACCGTAGTACTTGATAAACTCTTCTGTTACACTAAAAAATACATTTTAAGAACAAAATATGTGAAAAAATTGCAATTTAAAAATCCAAAATGACATATGAACTGCATTAAAGTGATTTTGTAAATAGCACATTAAAGTGATTTTGTAAATAGCATGACTATGTTGTCAAGCATACACAACCAATTGAATGATATATTTACATTTCCTGAAATTATCTCATTGATTTCATCCTTGTTTCATCAGTTAATATGTATTTTTTTTCTTGATATTTAGGGAAATACAAAACCTAGAAAGAGCTGCTGCGTCTGTGTTTGTCAGTTTGGTTACCAGGGGTAACTTAAACATCCTGTCATCATACCAGGGCACACTACACACATTCTTGTGTAAAATGGCGGCCATATTTGAAAGTAATGGTTTATCCCACCTCCAGACAGGAGAGCTCAAGAGGGCAATCAGTTCATTACTATGTGAGATACAAGACCAGCTTTCAGCACAGTACCTCCTAAGTTTGGTGTGTAAATCTCAGAGAAATCAGCTCGTTGCAGCGTTTATCAGTGAAATAGGCTTCTTGAATGATTTACAGGTACATATAACTACACTAAAACTAACGAAAGAATTAAAAAGCTATGGGCTTCCATGGCCAAGTGTTTAAGATTACTGACTATGTTAGTTGCCTCTCTAACTCGTTTATAGGTCTTAATTTAATGACAAAATTTCGAGCTGTTGATGTTTACAAGTGACTTTAAAAAAAGGAGTTACAAAAAGGAAAAGGGCGACAACCAGCTTAAAAGTAAAAATATCTTTTGTGATTATCAAGCAGCACCGGGTTTCAGGACATCCAAAACAAAACTAATTTGTAATGTTTTTTTTCTAATACTACCTATGGCAATTAGAAAGATTACTGTTTAAGTGTATTCTCTCTCATTGGAATGCATACAAAGGCTGTTGGAACAAATGTTCACCAATCTTAAAAGTTCATTGCAATCATGATCATGGCTAGTAAAGTTGTGAAAAATAACTTGAGATCAAAGTTATTAAATGAATTATTTAAGAAATTGGACTCATTTATGGTAAAAAGTTTTTTATTATTCTACACGGATAGTGTAAAAACTTTGCAAATAAAAAAAAATAGTAACAAGAAAATAGACACATAAATATTCTACTCATAAAAAGGTTTCAAGAAAGATATAGAATGGACAAAATCAGGACTTTCAGCTAACTTAGACACATATTCTAACACGACCCGCATTTTTCCCTATTGAACATAGAAGAACCGAAAGTGTGTGTTATTATGCAATAGAGTCACTGTTTGACGCTCTATATTTAGACATGTGACGTAATCATTATACATGTGACGTAAGAACTATAAAATCCGACGCGCTGACAATAAGTACGGAATCAAATCAGGCGCAATTTTGCTTAATAGCAGGTAAGGCAGCATTTTTTGTTTATGTCGTGTTAGAATCGAAATAATATATCCAAATCGGCAATTTTATCGCTGGATAACATCACTGTTTGTCGTTCGGATGCGCATCATTATATCACTCAGGCTATGCCCTTGTGATATAATTCCTCGCATCTGAACTCCAAACAGTGATGTTATTGAGCGATAAAATCACAGTTTGGGATATATTATTTCTTAAGTAAACTGAAATAATTGTAGTTTTAAGTTCTACTGTATTAGTATACAACCATAATAATTATTTTTCCATAGAAGATGAAAATAAATTTCTTTATGTAGTACATGGTTGGACCATTAGTGAAGGCAGTGATGTGCGACTTGTCGGTGAAATGTCCAGATAACCTTGGCAATAAAAGATCATTGGTGACAGATGACCAAACCCCAAATACTGGCGGAAAACTTTCAAGGAAAAGGTATGATTTCTTTTTTGAGTTTGAAAAGCAGAAATGTATTCTTAACTTTGATATCATTTGTTTTGAAAGAGTTTTCTTATCATTGGTTTGAAGGTGTTTGATGGATCTATAATTGAGCACCTTCTTTATTGTTAGTCCTTAGAAAACTGATAAAATTTGTAAAAAAGTTACTATAACATAAAAAGCTGTATGCTATATTATTTCAATGACACTTTGTTATTTATTGGTAGTATTATTTACAGAGAGAAGTAAAACATACCATGGTGCTTGTGTACTTTAAAAAAATGTTAAAGAAGACAGTGGTATAGTGATAAATAGGTTGAAATATGGTTTAGTATAGTCTGATTTTATTGACCTGTCAATTATGAATACATTATAGCACTCATTTAAATATTCGATCACACTTCGGTTTCGTCCATGTAGTTACGAAAATTAATGTGGAGTATAGAACTAATGTTTTGAAAAAGTCACACTAGCTTAATGAACGTTCGGTGTCACATCTGCGATAGCACAATCAGTTAAGCGTTTGCCTTATATTCCAGAGATCTGTGGTTCGATCCCTGCTGTTACCATTATTTTTAAACCTATTATTTCTATATTTTGATGTTTATTTATACGGAAATGGCCAGTTGTTTGCAAAATTGTCTACAGGGATTAAAGCAAATAAGAAACATTGTTTTCTTTCGATTTGTATTGCGTTTTATGGCACTGAAATGACATTTATCATTTTCAATTGGAATGAATATAAATTATTAATTCATACAACATGTTATTCAAAAAGTGTATAGACTTTACCAAAATAATTGCAAAACATATTTAAAAAAGAGAACATCATAAAAAAACAATCAGATTTCAATAATGTTGAAACTATCAATGAGAAAAAAAAACATTGACATACGCGGTCTCGAACTTACAGCTGGTAGGTCATTTAAATATTATAAACCAGTAGTTCACCCGAGTGCGCTGCAAAGGTCAGTATAGCTATTTCAGACACAAATTAAATTAAATCACAACTTACTGCGTACATCTCACAAAACTTACCAAATATATGTTGGAAATTAATATATTGTGTGCATAGACCGTGTAATCAGGATGCATTTGACAGGTTGATAAAATCAAACAATATTCTTTAAATTTTGTTCCAGTTATTATATTCACACATCATTGACTTGGTTTGAAACAGATTGTTCCATGCATTCCAGATGGAGACTTTAGTCGATTTCCATCTTTATATTGATACCAATAATTGTTACTGTATTAACAATTACAAATTTATTCCAGAAAGTTGGATGAAGGTCCAAGGTCAGCTGTGAGAATTGAGGGACTGAGTATTACATACAAAGTTTTGAAGTCAAAACTCAATAAATTCCTTGAAGAAGATATACAGGTTTGTTTTATCTAAGTCATGTGAGAGATATATACTTGTACCTGGCTTAATGCAAGAATTTATAAATATCTGGCTGACTAAAAATCTGGCAATCCAATTTGAAATATTGTTGGTATTTTGCATTCAATATATCAAAATGTATTCCAGATAACACTTTGCAGAAAGAAAAATAGCATCAGTAAAGTAAACTATTGCTATTATTCTTGTACAATGTACATATCATGCTTTTTAACATTGCATTTGGAATTGTTCAATATTTTAACATTAAAATGCTGAAACGATTGTGACAGGTACTGAAAGACTTTGACCAGATCTGTACTTTTTTTCAAGTTTGTATACTGTATGTTTCAGGAAGATGTATGTAAGAAGATGGAAGGGGTTCAGATCATTCTAGAAATAGTATCAACATGTATACAGATGTATAGTGAAAATACAGAGGCTGTTAAACAAAGGTAACATTGTCATGCATACACTGGTTTTCAATATTATAAGTACTAAATTCAGTTTTCATTCAGTTTAACTTTGTACATGTGTACATATTGATGCAGGGCATCATCACCCAATCAAAAAGGGCTTATATGTGGCCCCATTGTCAATCCAAAATGACCTCTATTTCCTCCCATTTCTAGAAAATTTTCACAATAGCAGCAAAAACAATTTTGAAGAAAATATTTCCAACAGCAGCCAAAAGAAAATCAAACTGGTTCATTTTCTGAAAATTTAGCTGTATTCATTGTTTCTTTAAAGAATGTGACAGGCTATTTGATAAAACATAAAAATAAAACAACAATTCATATACAGGTAGAAAAAGATTTCTTTATTTTCTCAAAATGCTGCATATTTTCCACAATATAAGCCAGGGGCATTTTCCAAAATACCTGGAAAAGACCCTGTGATGTAGGAATATCACTTTGAAAAACTTATTATGACATTAGCCAACCTACTTAGCTTAGTTAGTGTGCCAAGTCTCAATTTTTGTCAGGTACATGTGCAATGAAAGTATTTTTTATGAATTGAATAATAAATTTCCTTTTCTGGTTTATCGTAAAAAGTCTGGTTTATCGTAAAAAGTTGATTGTAGAACAAAATTTCAAAACAAAATATCTATGTTGTGGATTTTATGAATATTTACAAGATAATATGATATGTCTTCAGGCAAACAGATTTTACAAAGTTGACGTCCTGGTTAAGTTTGGAGAGTTGTAATGAGATATGTGGGTTGCTATTCCGTGTACTACAATACCTGACTGTAGTTGAGAAACCGTCTGCTGAAATAAATTCCTGCTTTATCTCCATAGTAAAATGTATAGGAGCTCTACTTATTGTACAAGGTATGAAGTGTTATATTGAAAACCTGGTGCTAAATAGTCTTAGCTCTCTCTATTCCATATTAGCTACAATTCTTTACATTCATAACCTTTACCTTAGTTGAATATAGAGCTTTGCCCTTTTATTGAGAGCTTTGCACCTTAAGTTAGAGCTTTGACACAATTACAGTCTGAGTTTGACCTATCAGTTTGAATTAACATCCAAAATTTTGGTGGAGAATTATGTTTGTGGCTGAAACATATACCAGTCCTGCACCATTTATTCATATAGGGAAATTTGAAGTTTTGAGACCAAGAATGCACTTGTGTAAGATTCATTAAAGACGCAAATCTGAGATGATTAAAGTATTTTCTGTAGCTGAGGTGTTATGTTCAAACCACTTGCCTCTTACTGCTGTAAGTTTGAATCCTTCTGGGGACTTAAGATTCTTTTCTTTCACCAGTAAAGCTAAAAGTCACCATTATTCCATATGATGCTGGAAATATTGGTGCTACATGAAACTTAAAAAATATTTTTTAAAGACTGTTGCTTTATTTTAAGCTGTTAACAAGTTATCATGCGATGGTGTGAATATAGATGTAAGAATTTATATATAAATGTAATTTGCTTTCAGAACACGTAGAATATGATCCAGATATGTATCAGACGCTAGCATGGATTGTCTCATTACCATGGTTACTTGTAAGATATTTTGTTATGTTATTTTGTTATGTAGTTATGATGGCCCTTTAGTAGTTAACTTTTGATGACATAGTCAGTGTTATAGATAATTTAAATGCTCTCTTTTACTTTCCCTAGTGGATATCAAACTCTTAACATTACAAAGTAATATTTGTTTTTATTCAGAGTAATTTTTTGGCAAGTGTACAAACTATTAGTATTTTATAACGCTCTTTAGATATTGAATCATTACCAGATCAGGCTGTTCAAGCATTATAAGAAAGCCCCTTACCTATAGCCATTAAACTTTAAATCACAAAACTACATTTCCATTCTGTGCTGAATTAAGGCTAGGAAGTTGTAGACTAATTATCAGTGTTGTTATACATAAGTACATAAAGACTTACCAATGATCTATTCCACAAGTCTTAGCCAACAATATTACAGTTCAGAATTTGTCATGAAAAGACAATTTACCAATTTTAAAATTTTGATATTTCAAATTACTTGGCTTATTAAAGGGGAGCAATTCAAATTCTGTTTAATGTCATTGTTTTAAAATCCTCATGATGACTCGCTTTATGTTGTTTTATCAGAACAACTGTCAAAAATTACTGGCAAAAAAAAAGCAGAATTGAACTTCTTGAGCACAAAATGTTTATTGAGTCATGCGGTTAAAAATTTCCGTTAAAATTTACTTATTTTTCTTGATTTTCCTTTTATTTATAGAATGATCCATCCTGGATAGATCTGAAGCCAACCAACTCTAGAGATATTGTGAAAATAGCTGGCATGCTTGTACCAAAACTCGGTAACTTGTATTTTGCTTAATTCTTGTGTAAATGACATTTTATTATATAATCTTCTGTAGAATATTAAATTAAATATTTATACTTAATTGTGATTCTTGATGTAAATATTGTATATAAGGCCCCCACGATTACACGTTTAAACGGATTCGTTTTGATTTTCATTCATAAACGTTTACGATATTGTTTACCGTTTAATCGAAATGACCATATTGTCTTACAAAATTTATTAATCATTGCCTGTAATCATGGATTTTATCAATTCTAGTGGTTTATTCCAAAGTAAACAAACGGAAAATAGGTATTTACAACCCTCCACACAGCATTACGGTGCAAAATTGCTCGTGACATAATACATGTTTGGTAAAAAATGGGGTTACAATGTGCTGACTCAATCGTGATGAGCCCTGCGCATTCTTTATTTGTACATGTGTAAAAAATAGAAAGAAAGACATCATTTGGCGACTCAAATACATGATGTGTATAGTACATAGAGGTACCACCGTTTAAACGGTATCGTTTCGGTTCTTAGCAATCGTGTAAACGTTTACAAAAAATTGTAAACGTGGGAGCTTTAATTGTATAACATTTGATTATATTGTAAACTCGCTCAAATAGGACTGATTCTGAATGATGCTTAAAGAAGCTCTTACTTTATTTTCAGGCTGCATAAGCAACTGTGAATGTTTGAATGTTCTTGCCTTGCTGCCCAAGGAAGTGGCTCCAAAATGGCGAGTACATGTGTTCAGACAGGCATTGGTATGTATAACTTAATTTCCTAGCATTTACTTATTTAATCTTATTCACTCAATACCGTGCACTGTTTATCGTCTGGTGCTCAGGTGGTTTTGTCTCACTCCATGAGACTCGGACTGGTTTCAGTTAAGCTTCTACTTTTCTTCTTCAAATGTTTTTTCTTAAGCATAGAAATTGTACAAAAAAATGTTGTCATGAAAATATAAAATCATGAAGTTTTAGATAAATATTGTCTTATTTTTATTATAAAATCATAAAATATCTGAAAAATGATTATTCTCTCATTTTATAATAATAGATTTTGTTATTTATATACATATAGTGTGACACTGTGGTTGATGTAAAACAGACAGCTATCAACGTTTTCCCAATAGTGTTATTTCACCTCGGACCTAATGCTAACCATCTAGTGTATGACATACTACAGTAAGTTATTTACAATACATATGGTGGTGCCCTTTATGTACGATGGTACTTAATTTTTCCATAAATTCTTAAGAATGAAGATGACTTAGTTTAGCTGTCTTATTTTACTGGTTTGACTGCTACATCTTTTCTTATAAGAACACTTATCAATCAAAGTTAAGTAAATGATCAAAAGCAGTAAATTTTCAATCTGCCATATTTATAGGACTCTCTTAAGTATGCAAATTACACATTGTTGGATAACTGCAATTCCATCTGGGATGCTGTACCAGTGAGGAGTGCTACATGTAAATATAAAATAGAAATAGAATTTGTATTAGCATACCAAGTGTGTGTGGAAGTTGTACATTAGCTGCTGTATTCATTTATTTACAATATGTTAGATAATACAGAGTTAAAGTGAAGTTTTCGGCGAATTTACAGAAATTATTACAATTGTTGGTTTTGTCTAAAAAAAAAAATATGACAGAATGTATACTCTTGATTAGTTTTTAATGTGTAGATAATTTGTGTTTCAGCCCATGTGTTGAGGACAAGTCAGAAAATATCCACAGATCTCTTGCAGCAGTGTGTGGACCTCTGGCTTGTGTTGTTAGCAGAAAGGCTGTTATCAACAAGTAAATTTTGAATTTTTTCATACTTTAACATCTCTCCTACTTGCTTACAATGCTGAATGGCCTTTTAATTTGTATTTGTCAATCTTAACATGTCAGGGACTTGTAGATTAAAGGAATTCCACTGAGGTCCAAAAGCCTGAAAAGATAAAAATTTGAATTTCTTACATAGATCATTTGGGGCTCTTAAAACAGAAAGATATGCATATGATGATTTAGATTTGTACTCAGAAACAAATTGATCCGAACAATAATTGAGAAATATACCCGGAAACAAATAGAACACGATCTGCTATTCTGGCTGGTTATTCACAGAGCCTATAAATATAATTTTATTTATGCTTGACAGCTTTTGACTTGAGTCGTGAATTTTTGATTATTATGCCCCCACAATGTGGGAGCATATAGCGTTGCACTTGTCCGTCCGTCCGTACGTCCCGAAATCTTGTGAACGCAACTCCTCTTAAACCTGATGGCAGATTTTGCTTAAACTTACAGGGATGAACAACCTTAATGTGTAGATGGTAGTAAAGGAAGGAATTTTCGCTGCGACCAAATTTAACAGAATTCTGGCCCTTTGTTGATTTTTTCACTAGATACTATGTAGAAATTTTGTGAACGCAACTCCTCTTAAACCGGGTGGCAGATTTTGCTTAAACTTACAGGGATGAACAACCTTAATGTGTAGATGGTAGTAAAGGAAGGGATTTTTGCTGCGACCAAATTTAAGAGAATAATGGCCCTTTGTTGATTTTTTCACTATATACTATGTAGAAATTTTATGAACGCAACTCCTCTTAAACCGGATGGCAGATTCAGAGATCAGGAAAGAATTTTTGCAGATGAGACTATGTCTCCACCTGTTGGAAAACTTATGAGACATTTTTAAATGTTATGAGATGTTGTTCAAAACTAATGAGACATGTTTTTCTTAATGATTATAAAGTACGGATACTGGTCGGAGACCATCAACCGGACACTTTTGGAATATTTTTCTGTACAGATTTCATAATTTTTAACCTAGAGACCAAAAAAAAAAATTTGACACAGTTCAGCTAGGTTCTTCTCCTAATTAATTAACTAGTTTGTTTATTTCTGATTGTATTGACACTTATATCTGAGGCTTGACAAGGAGGTAGGTAGGTTAATTTCACCAACAATTGCAGACTTGATAATTTGGTCCTATTTGAATGAACATCATGGTTTAATACATAATATTTGTTGTTGTAATTTTTTGGTGTCAAGCAGTTTGTTTATTTGCTGAAGATAAGTAAGATAAAAAGAATCATAATTAAAATGAATCCAACATTTTATAAGTACCTTTCCGTAACACATCAAGTAATATAATGACGTAATGTGTAATGTCCATCGTTTTATTTGCACTGAATGGCTCCTAAGTAGCATTCATTGTTGTCTTTTTTTTGACAACTACATCAAAGGGACTCACAGCATACAGAAGTCATGCAGTTCAGATATCTGATTGGCTAGTGACCTGTCAATTATTGTAGTGATGTAATAAACATCACTTCAGCTCATGTTTCACTTTGTTATTGTTTCAAAGGCAGGTTATGATGACCTAGATTTACCGCAGATTATTTTTTTCAGTGCAACTATAAATAGTTACACTTTTTTGCTGTGGATAAAGTTTGAAGTCACCAAACTTGATTTTAAACACAAAAAGAAAAGGTTTTGATTATTTTTGTTAAGGAAGGAAGATACTAAAAAAAAAATTAATGAACTTTTTAATCTAAAATGTTTTTGGACTGATGTCCGATGGAAACGGCAAACAATGGAAGAATGGAAGCTAATGCTTTAATAACTACAAATGCATGGAAAATCTAAACTTTTGAAAATTATTTTGGACATTTAAAAACTGACTGCCTTGCTTTTCAATCGACAGAATATTAATGATATTTCAAACAGAAAAGCATGAAAAATTGACGGTGCTAACTCATAGCTACTGTACCACGTGGTGTTGGCAGATAACTGGTTTAAACTGGTTTAATGCAGATAATTAGTCCTGCCTACTGTACCTGTAGGTGGAGCAAAGAAATTTGTCACTTTGAAATTTATTTGGTGTCACTAATTGATTGACAAACAGTCAGACTTTACTGCTTTCGCTGAATTTCTTATGTCAAATTTGCATTTTAGAAATTACTTGTCTCCTCATTGTTTTTTCATGCAACCTAATGTCGTATCTGCAGACTTATCAATGTGACAAAAATCATTTTAATGCGACTATGTCGCAGGTCGCGGGACTTTCCCGATCTCTGCAGATTTTGCTTAAACTTAAGGGATGAACAACCTTAAGGTGTAGATGGTAGTAAAGGAAGGAATTTTCGTTGCGACCAAATTTAACAGAATCATGGCCCTTTGTTGTTTTTTTCACTATATACTATGTAGAAATTTTGTGAATGCAACTCCTCTTAAACCGAATGGCAGATTTTGCTTAAACTTACAGGGCTGAACAACCTTAAGGTGTAGATGGTAGTAAAGGAAGGAATTTTTGCTGCAACCAAATTTAACAGAATTATGGCCCTTTGTTGATTTTTTCACTATATACTATGTAGAAATTTTGTGAACGCAACTCCTCTTAAACCGGATGGCAGATTTTGCTTAAACTTACAGGGATGAACAACCTTAAGGTGCAGATGGTAGTAAAGGAAGGAATTTTTGCTGCAACCAAATTTAACAGAATTATGGCCCTTTGTTGATTTTTTCATTATATCCCATACTATGTAGAAATTTTGTGAACGCAACTCCTCTTAAACAGGATGGCAGATTTTGCTTAAACTTCCAGGGATGAACAACCTTAATGTGTAGATGGTAGTAAAGGAAGGAATTTTTGCTGCGGCCAAATTTTACAGAACTATGGCCCTGTCTTGATTTTTAGTTTTCAACTTGTGGCACATGTAGTCCAAAAAATATTTGACCTAGAGTCATAAGATTGACAGAACAGTGGCATGTGGGGGCATCCGTGTCCTATGGACACATTTCTAGTTTTTAATAGCAATTCAAATAGCTATTACAGAATTGTTCAGGAATGTAACTTGTTATTTGAAACTCATTGTTCCATTTATCAGGTCAAGGGAGATAAGTATGGTAGATCCTATGTACAAGAATGTTGCAGTAGGTTGTCTTTCCTGTGACTGCTCTACTAGTAAGTTTATCAAGATATCATAGTTTTCTGTGTTAACTTGTATTTCTTTTCTCTAAAATGATCCTCCATATGATGAATGGCAAGGTCCATAGTTTTAAATTAGACATTTTCTAGCTAGCTTATGGGACATCAGTGGTTCTACTCGAGTGCTGATTTGTACCTGAAATAATGCACAAGGGACACCTGAGGTCATCCTCCACCTGTTAAGCTTGAAAGTAGTCATATGACCTTTACTGTGTTGGTGTGATATAAAAACTAATAAAAAATAGATCTTTTATTGGGACTGCGTTCCTGCTAGAAATTGAACTAGGCTTCTAATTAGGAGGATTTGCAAAACCAATTGGTAGGTCAATCAGATATAATTTGATGTAGTTGAGGGCTTTTTTAGGTCTTTTGAAATAAATATCAACCATTAATTTTCATACACATTAATAATATCTTATTCCAGTGATTGATACTGCTGGAAGCTCTAAAGAAAGGTCCAGACTTGTGGATGCTAACATGTTTCTACCTTTCCTGCATCTTGTAAACAGTGATAAATCAGACATAAAGTCAGGTATGTTTCCTAAACTCTTAACTTTATGAAGTGAATAGTTCTTGCCAACACATAAGTGCAAGGCCAGCAGTCGGACAAGGCTCTATACTGTTAGAATCCTAAGTTTTGTATTTTGATATTGATACCTATTTAATTTCAAATGTTCTGTTTCAAATTCGAAGCTGTGCAAGTCCAATAAACTAATTTAGCACCCCACTGTTTTGGGTTCAATTTTCTCCAGAGACTTGAATTTGTTAACAAAAAATCCAACTGAGGGGCACCTATAAGGTCTTCCACCATCAATAATTCTGGTAAGTCACCATATGACCTATACAGTTTCTGCGATGTAAAGCCAAACCTATAAAAAACCCTAAAAATCCCCCCCCCCCCCCCCCCATAAAAACAAAACAGAAATACCAAGAAACAAGGTAAATATGTTCCATGAACATCAATGGTAGCTTGGCAAGTACAATGATTTATGTTGATTGAAAATAAAGACTTGGGTTGAGACATCAAATTTTGTCTAATGGATGTCCATTGTTTCCAAAGATGCATTTGACTTGTTGGTGTTGAATATTATGAAAAACTTACCATCACTTGATAAATAAAAAAAATAATCACATCTTTTGAAAATCAGCCATCATTTTCAAAGAATGATTAAGTGCATCATACCTTAATGAAATAAGAAATTAATATAATGTAATTACAGCCCTAGTAAGAAGTATGAGACGTATGTTTGGTCATATTGGTGTAAGGAAGAATAATGCAGCAACAATTAGTGTCCTCAACACAGCCCTGAATCTGATAGAGGATACGGATTATGATGTTCGCACTGCCTTTAGGTAATTCTTTATATAATAGAGTTAGTGGTAGGAACAGCTTGCTTACGCAATATCAATTGTGTCGTTTCAATAAAACTTCATAAAAATTTCACTAGCTTTGAGTTACAAGTTCACTATAACCATTGTTTTGCTAGCAACATATACCAAATGAAGCAGAAAATTGTGGAGCATGCTAATACAAATATCTGGTTTTCAGTCGTTTCTAACAAAGAGTTATAATAAAGAACATGCAATTTTAATTTAAAGATGGCTGCATTTGTTTACAAATGGAAGGATATAATGCAGTTCTGATTCACAGTCCAAAGAGCAGTGCAGTTGTTACATTGTTTGAACTTATAACTTGCATGTTTCATATCTTACAGCAAGGTTATCCAGTACTTGTTGGGAGATTCTACAGTTGAAGGATCCGAGGGAACCAATGAACTGGTTCTCAGTAAGCTACGAGAGGCATTTTCCCGGGCCCAGAAAGACAGTAATGTTAGACTACAGGAGACGGTACTGCTGACTATAGCACAGCTAGGAAGGTCAGTTATTGACCACTCATTATATTGTTAGCTAATGATTGGTCTGTAAGTTTGAGGGACTGGTTTATAACATTTATAACAATGACAAAGTAGTTAAAGACTGTCTGATGTCATTTGTTCTACCTATTGCCTATGTTGAGAATTTGAATGTTACTGGTTGAATAATAATAGCAGAATAATTAATTGAACACATGTTTGCTATTAGCCAGTTAGTATAACTGAGCTACTTATACAAACTGTCCCTGAACTCGAACAAACAGGAAGTTTGTGAGAAATAGTACTTGTCGAACATGATCATACAGTTACAGAATTCTTATATGCTATCCACATCACTTTACTGGTGAATAATATTTAGTAAAAAGATACATTTTACAGTAAGTTTAAAGTTAAGATTTGTATAGAAGAAAACAATACTGTATATAAAGTACACCAGACAGATGCAATACAATTAAAGCATTAAGCAAAGGTTTTACTGTTTCAAAAATCATTTGGTTCCAACTTTGTTTTAGGGAAATACTGTATTGTGGTCCATAGTGAATGCTTGAAAGCTTTCTTATGACACTGCTATTGGTGTGATAACATACCTAGTCAACCTGAAATTTGTTGTAAATAAATATTAAAGAATACACAAATGTATAATCTTATTGATCAATTTGTATAGAGTATCAGAGGGAGAGATGTTGATGGTGGTGATAATTGTGTTATTAGAGAGTATGTTATCAATAACACCACTTGTAGCTGCTGTAGCCCACGAAGAGGTAGACATCTTTACTTTATCACCATAATTTAAAATCAACAAGTTGTTATAGTCACAAATTATTTAAGCAATACAGTATTAAAACAAAGAGTGTTTTAGTAACCGTTTTAAAGAAACATTAAACATTATATTTTCTGACCTATTTTATTCTTAATGTAAAACATGAGCATCGCAGAACAGGCCTTTTATAAAGAAATAACCTTTTTTCACACTAACAATATCATTTCTTTCCAAAGTAGGAATCCACAATAAATTAAATATCTCGAGAGCAGCACATTAAAGCTCTTTGTCATCAAAAGGATTTTGCTCTGCATAGGTTGTACTCTAGTATCAAGTCAAATCTTATTTTTCAGTTGAAAGATATAGCTGACCATAAGAATACAACTACACAGAATTTGTTTATGAGATGTCGTCATGACGTCTGCAAGTTTCTGGTGGAAGCCATGCATAATGCTCAGATTGGTAAACTCAGTAAATCAGCCGAAGATATTCTTATTGAAGTCTCACAAGTCCTTGGATTTCCTGATGTGAAAACTTTCTTATCTGTAAGACAATGGTTTATTATGTTGAGTTTTTCAATTTTCTGCATCTAGGATTATATTTTGATGTCCTTTGGCAAAGGTGCTGTAACTTCTTTATTATATCATTATGAGTTACAACAGTTTCATACCAAGTGCTTGGTTTGTTAAAATAATGCTTTAGAGCATTGCTGAAGTAATAAAAATTTCGGATTTGTGTGACAGATTTTGCTTGTTTATATAATACATTGATTTTGATAAAGGCTAATGATAAAAAATTAAAACCACATATAGGTATAAATGAAATGGATCATTTTATTGACTAAACAAACATTGTTTTACTGTCTAGAAGATTCTTGATTTTATATTGGTTAAGATCTTTTAGTGAAAAGGTCACAATATTTTCTGTGTTTTCAATTATGCATGGGAACATATTACAGGGGACAGAGAAGTATATAGTGCCTTACCTGGTGAGTAAAGGGACCACTGCAGCATCCAACCTGATTAAACTGATAGCTACAAAACTATCTGTAGTAGTAAGTGTAAACCTTATAATCACATGTGCTCACATAAAAAAATTGTGGATATTGTAATAGTGAAACATTGTACTAATTACTGAACACTATAAAGAGTGGAAATCATTTTGATGATTGGCTGAATGAATAACCTAATTATTTGAATGCTAACATTTGGTTTAAACATATTTATTTAAGCTTGATTGCAAAACAAGTTCTTGCAACTTATGTTAATAACTTTTGAGTCTGCTTTCTGGAACTAACCAGTACTGGTGTCATATGAAGAAACATGGTCGTGACCTGAATAAGGCTGGAACCCATGATACCTAAATGAATGCTAACATTACATTTATCATGACAAAAGTGCCATTGGTACAGAACCAGGCCAGCTTGAAGATAAGTGCTTTATAATAAGATTTCATACAGCTGAAGTTTAGGATTCTGAGTTTGTAATCTGTTAAGTTTAAAAAGGACTATGCCTGAATTAAAACGGGATAAAATATTTAAAAAAAACTTTGATTTGATTTAATCATATTTTATTGCTTGAAACATGTACATGTAACATAAAGATTACATTAATACAAAACAGAAAACAATAAATACGGATAAGGAAACAGGTATGTTAACAGTTTGAAGCAAATGGGTTGGGCCACAAGTTTTACCAACATTAATGAAGGCCCTTCCCAGGCAAGTTTAAATAACAAAATGTTCATTATAAAGATACAAAACTTGTTTACGTAATTAATGTGTTAGGCGAAGAAACAAGAAAATATATGTTTTTTGCGCATCATCAGAGCAATATTTACAGTTTGCTTCTATATATATCTATATTGATATTAAAGTATTTAGATGACAATATTATGAGAGAGAGAAAAAAAAACAACAACAACAAAAAAATTGATGTGACGTTTTCCATGAAATAGAAAAAAAAACAAAAAAAAACACACATTCTAAAAAGATCCAAACTTCTGTTCACCTTTCCTTTGAAAAAAAAAAACAACAGGTTTCGCCTCCATTTCCGTTACTGGACCAGCATTAAAAATAGAAACACGGAGTTATATTTAATTATCATTAAGATATATTAAGTTCTAAAACGATTTGTATTCTTTATATATTTTTGAACATGCAAAATATATTTTTGAACATGAAAAAAACTTGGCAGGGTAAAAATAAAAAATATGCATCAATGTCTGTGCTTTATCAGAGCATTCACAAAACAGTATTGACTATATTGTTTATATGATATCAGAAAATTTCAAATGCTAGGAAAAGGTACATTTTGTTGTTTTTTTCTCGTTATTTAGAGTCGCAGTAAATTATTGATCAACAATACAAAGTATGTATTCTCATATCTGGTACGCTTCAAACAGAAGGAAGCAGATCTTCAGGCAGCTATACAATACCTACAGGTATGAATTCATTATGTTCTTTATTGGTGGAATATACTTTAATGAGGGGCTTAACGTTGTTCAAGTGATTAAGGTCATGGGGCATCTGTGGCCAGGTGGTTTACATGTAGGTCATTGGCCTCTCAATGCTGATGTTTCTAGCTGTGCATGTGGCTTAGCATTTTTTCATGTGAGAAAGCTATTAAACTAGCTATATTCATTTTTGTATTACTTTATTTTGTACCTTCTAGCTTGACTAGTGCACACTGACACCCTTTGGTTGTTTTGTACATGTCTCCAAAACTACTGAAACTTCACAACTTTGTTTTCCATGTGATTATCTAAAATGATTGACACATTGTAGCATATAATTACGAGACCTTTTATTTTTCTTTTATATTGCTTTTATCAGTAATTGTATAGATCAGCTAATGGGATATTTAGAAAAGAATTTTGATAAATGTTGACAATTTCTTGTTATTTCAGAAAGAAACCAAGTTTGAGCTGGCAGATTTATTGAGAATAGATTTTCAGAGAGTTCATAATGAACTACTTCTACATCTTGGTACAAATTATTCTCAGGTATGATATTCATGAAATGGTTTATATGATATGTAAAGAGTAAACACTTCCTCATTTCTGTTTCTATGATACTATAAATCTATAACAGATACAGTAGAACTTCTCTGTATTGAATTTTGATTAGTTATTCTTGATGTGTTGAAGCGGTATGAAAGTCTTGATTTATTCCCAACACCCATATATTCTATATAAAAATCTATATATGATTTGAATTTTAGATCGGTTTTTGACGTGTCGAGTTTCTAGGTGTCCATATAGAGTAATTTGAGAATATTTTATCATAATTAAGTTAAAGCCCATAGTCTCGTAGTTTTAACCCAAGTCCCTTGAACTTCGACTTTCCAGAGTTCTACTGTATTATGTAGCTTATACTTTGAATAAGGTTGGATCATGTTTATAATTCAAGGTTTGATATGCTATCTAGTTAGATAATAAGAAAGTAATTTTGTGTATACAGTTAAACTACGTTCGCTCGAACTCGGATCGCTTGAATACCTCCCTTCGCTCGAACTCATCGCCCAGTCCCGGCAAAATTCCTATATAATAAATACTGTTCTACCTCGGATCGCTCGAACACCCATCGCTCGAACTCTCGAATCTGATCTCTGGTCCCTTCGGCAGAAATATAGTGTAAATCACACCTTTTCGGTCGAACTCAAACAGACAACAAAAGTTGCGGGTCGACATGTTCTAAATAATTGACAGTCGGCGACACATGTTTTTAACACCTCGTGATCGTGACAAAGGCAATTATGGTTAATTGATACAAAATAAAAGGTGTTTTACCGATTTATTTGTTACGATACAATTGTTTATTTGCAGTCTTAAGTAACGATAAAAAGAAAGTAACTCCTGAAATGCCCAAAGTAAATAAATAAGTAAATGACGTTTACCCGGACGGCTTTAATTACAACCGTGGTTCATGTAACGTGAATTGTAACAGTGTAATCTATTTATAGAATGATACTTGTATGTGTGTTTATTTTAGTAAATGACTAAAAATAAATGCTGCTGTAAAATGTTGTTTTTTTAATATTGATTAATATCGATTCATTGTTTAAAATAAAATTCATCCCATAATAAACTTGAACACTGTTCACAGTTTAGATAATGGTCGCCCGATCAAACTCAACCAATTACAATATGCATGAATATAGATTAACACCGTGCACCGTTAATAGTGTTTTCAATAGGATAATAATTCTTAATATGACGTATTTGACAAACAGATGTACTAAAAAAACAGTTTTATTGACGTATTTATCATTTGACCGATATAAGCTGGAAAACCTTAAGCCTATGTTCTATGTAATTATTGTTCAACATCGGTTCGCTCGAACTACCGATCGCTCGAACAAATTTGCACAGGCCCTCCCGAATTCAAGCGAACGAAGTTCGACTGTATTTCATTTTGTTTGGCTTTAAATTTCTTCAGCAGTGATTTTGCACTTTTTATTATAAGAGGTGTTTTAGCATCAGTATACTTGGAAGCATGCTACTTTTATATTTTTAGGTTTTTCATGGTTTGAAGATTTTGTCCTCATATGACATTCAGTATAAAGATGGACCAATCACTACTAGCGAGGAAATGGCGAATTATCTACAGCCCAGATTACTGGGAGTTCTGGCTCAATTTGACTCCCAGCTTCTACAGTCCAGCATACCCATGGAGGAAAAAAGACCTGTAAGATAGGATCATTTTGGTATTGAGGAATTATACTTGTAAGCTGTATCTACTGAGAAAAAAAAGAAGACATATCGTTTCTTGCAATGCTAAAAGTTGGTCATATAAAAGATAAACTTTAAACACAGTCTTTATTTTGAGTCACTGATTTTATACTTTAATCATCAAATAACTTAGAATTCTCCTATACAAATAATCCTATTTTGATGACTTCTAAATAGAAATACTTTTAATTCTTAATACGAAAGCCTTTGTGGTGAAATTGTCACGGTATATTAGTATATTTTGCATCTCACCAATTATGTTTGCTGGAGATGTTGTATTGTCTTGTTAATGGAAGTTTTTAGGCTTGCTAACCAAGCCATGTGAAAGGAGTTATTTCCCTTGCTTATTTTGAATCTTCCTGACAAAGCAGCATGTGCAGGGTATTTTGCTAAAGACATTGGCTGTTCTAGTGGTAACTGATCCTATGCATGGAGGTATACGTTAGGTGTTTCTTTGCAAGAATATCACCAGATTGCCAAAACAGTGTTGATATTTTCTAGAAGACACAATAAAGCTACTATATTCATTTAAATGGCAGATTATGTGATTCAATGCAAGGAGGGATATTTGAGATATTTGTTTGCAAGAATATCACAAGATGACTAAAACAGTTTTAGCAATGTCTAAAAAGCCCAATTTATGTAGGGGTGTCTGTGGCCGAGTGGTTAAGGTCATTGACTTCAAACTACTTGCCCCTTACTGCTGTGGGTTCGAATCCCAACAGGGACTTTGGATTTTTTCATGTGAGGAAGCTATCCAGCTAGCTTATGGAACGTCGGTGGTTCTACTCAGGTGCCCGTTCATGCCTGAAATAATGCACGGAATGGCACCTGAGGTCTTCCTCCACCAGTAAAGCTGGAACGTCGTGATATGACCTATACTGTGTTGATGTGACGTAAAACCCAAAACAAACAAACAAAAAACAATTTATCTATTATATTTATGTATGTGACGGATTATATTTTACAGGCTCTAGATAGTTTGATATCTATTATACGGTTGATGGGATCAAAGAACATCAGTAGTATAAGACATAAAGTGATGAACACATTGAGGATTGGTCTACAGTTTACAGATAAAGAATTCACAGAAATCTCTTGTAAAGGCTGGAACTGTTTTGTTAGGAGGTGAGTGGCCATAGAGTGTACTATTTTTACACTGACAATTTTGATCATTTATTTCTTTCCCCCTGGGAAGTTTAAGAATGTATGTTTATTTGATGATGTGACATATGTGAGTTTTTAAATAGTTGTAAGATTTTTTTCTCTTTGAGATGTTTAGTTTTTAAGTTTTTAGTGTTTGAAAATATAATGGGGCCATCCTGTTAACCCCTTAATTTGTTAAAACACTTGATAAAAATAACATCTACATTTCTGGTTAAGCACTGCAGGTATTCTTTTTACACACATCTTTGAGATCCATATTGTAGGTCACTTTTCAAGGCCAATAATTTTAGCTTGGTTAAGGACTGAATTACAGTGCCCTTGTGAACTCTGCAAATTTATGGTTGAAGTTTTGTATGCAAAATTATTCTCTACATTTACTTACAAGAAATTCATTTGAGATCCCACATATGATTTTCTATGTTATAAAGCATATTTTTGGATTTTAATCTTGTGTTCATCCTGATAAAATATGCAAACTTGTTTTTATTCTCAATAATGCACTGCTTGAAAGTCAATATGTTAAATAGTACATATAAAACAGATCACAGATTACAAATAAGTGGTCTGCCTTCATTAAACTTAGTACATGTACATTTGTGATTAACAAATTTGTTTTGAATTGGTAATCATAACAATGAAAACAATGATATAATGATTTAACTGTATTTGTTAGTTTGGAGCTACCATTCCTTGGTCAGATGTTACCACAAATCATTGCTACATTATTACCACTGCTGAAACAATTACCTAAACAGGTCGCAGAAATATTCAACTATATGATAGTAGAAAACAGGTATGTCCAGTCTTACTCTTTAGTTTATATATAATGTCTTAGACTAATTGATTTCCAAAATATATTTTAAGATACCAACTTTGAAATTAAACAGTCTTGGACAATTAAAAGGCCATGATAAAGTGAATTAGCCAATTTTTTCAGTATATGACTTAAAATAGACAGTTTTTATTCAAATTCTTAAGAATTTAACCCTTATCATCCCATACTTTTATGAATGTTTTGAGTTTTGAATTAGGAACTGTTAAATGAAAAATAAGTAATGTGAGGTACTTTGATATCAAAATGCTGATTTAGTACCTGGTTATACTGCATGGAATGTCCATGCATGTATGGCTCCGTACTTGTAGTATAGGCAAGTCATTATTTCTGCTAGGGTTTTAAGTAACTGAATTGTTTACTTATCCCTGCCAATGAGTCTTTAATACTAAGCTCTGCATTCAGTTGACTTGTATTATAAAGCAGGGACTGTTATTTAACAAATTTGCTTGTATTGTGCAGGAATGCCTTAAAGAGCCATTTTCATGACATATACTTCCTGCCAGATATGCCAGAACTAACTGAAGCTAACACTGTACTGAAGAAATATTCTGATGGACCATCCAGGTAGGTTTCTAAGTATTGTTTAAAATTTAAATTAAAAAAAAATTAAGTTTATAAATGTCAATTTTTTTTTAGAAAACAAAAAGTCGAAAGCTAAAGAAAAGAATTTGTTTTTATTGAATTTATTATATATAATAATGTTAATAAAATCATGTTTATGTATTTGCAAATGGGAAGGTAAATGATTTCACTAGAAAATTCTTTTATCGATACTGTAAGCAAACTTGAATGTAAAATAAATTGTTATTTGTTTACTTAGTGATGAAAATCTATAATATTATGTTCAACAGTCTGTATGGTGATGTTTGTTCATTTTATGTTGTACGAAAGTGATAAAATGTATTTGTTTCTAAAGTAATCTGTGTGATATATATTTACAGTCAGTCAGATTTTAAGAGTAGATTGGAGCATTCTATGCAGGGGATTCAGCATGACAGTTTAGATGTTAGGCTTCATGCCCTCTCTAAGCTGAAGAAACTGCTCAAAGATGAAAGGGTAGGGAATATTTTTGAAAAAAAACAACTTTAGGTACACTCCTGTATAAAAGTGACTGATTCAGTTAGCTTAGAGCTTACGGAAAGTTTATCAGTTTGTGATTATAATATTACTCACAGTCCTCTTTTCACTGGAAAACAGTTTAACAGGTACTAAATGTCATTTTACTAGGATAATTTGTTTTTCAAAAATATAACTTAAAAAAAAAAGAAAGATGCATTTTTCCATTAAATTTTTATTGTAACTTTCACACATTATAACTACTTACAGTGGGATACTACACCATATGAATAAGAGGTATTTGGGTTTAAAGTGTATGTTTATTTTCTCCTCTACAGCAAGCATTCTTTCAGTTAGTGATGGAAAGTGAGACAGCTAACCGGACAGTTTCATCTCTAATATCTGTGGTAAGATAATAGATCTATATCTTTGTGTAAGAATTTTTCAGTTTGAAATAACTTGGTATTTAGCTTATTTAAATGTTTTGTAGTAAATTAGCTTTATTTAAGTCATCCATAACCGGTTATCATCAATTTTCCTTGCCCTAAACATGTTTGTGTTCAAGGCCTACAAGGGACTTTTCAAGACTTTGCTTCTAATCTTATGCCATGTGCCTTGCACAGTGAAGGTGTAACTGAAAAGCAAAGTTTACCATGTGTTTCTTGTTTAAAATTGTTAAACTTTCATCCAGAGTTTATTTGTATAATCTTTATTTATATGACCATAACTTAAGCTAGTAGATATTTCAATGAATGTGCTTTCGTAATATTTCGTAAGTTTTGAACATAATTATGCAACATGCTTAGTTAATGTATTTTTATGACCATTCTTTTTGTGCTTAAATCTATTTCACTGTATTTGATACAGAAAATTTTCCTATATTTAATATTAATATTGACTATTCTGTTTTCAGTTATTGAAGGGCTGTAGAGAACCAGATGTTAGGGCACAAAGGTTGTATGCCGAGTGTCTGGGTAACTGTAGCGGTATTGACCCTGGGAGACTCGAACTCTCAATCAACAACCCGAAGGCTGAACTTGCCAAACTCCATGTCAGGTAGTATCTTTTAATCATGATTTCCTTGAACTATGATGAAACTAACTCCAGTCATGATGTATGTACAAATGAGATAAATGGTTTTTTTATGTCCTATTTGATCCCTGAATTTAAATTTAAGGCTATATTTTTTAATAGATAAAAAATTCTTAAATTAGATATTCTTTTGTATGAAGGTGTTCAATTTTACTTTAATTGATAAAATATTTGAGATGATTTTTTTTCAGCTCTTAGAACCATATAACAGAATCTGGTTTGATTCCAGTTTAGATTTTCATTTTCCTTACACTAAAAAATTATTTAAACTTTCAAATTGTTCTAGACTGTGTTTTTGTGTGTCAGTGAGTGATACTGACAGCTATTTAATGACGTAAAGAAAAGTAATTTAATTATCTTCACTTTTCTTTATTTATCTTTACATAACAATATCATCAATTAAATATATAATTATAGCATAGAAGATGACAAGTTTGCAGTGGCACTGATCAACGAGGTAGTAAAATCATACCTTGCTGCCACCACTCCGAGAATCCAGGATTGTTCAGCGTATGCCCTGCAAGAGTTACTATCAACGTATAAGATATCTGAGTCTAGTGATGATAAACATTCACAGAAGTTGTGGAACGAATTTAAAGAACCCATCAAAGAGATTCTGATTCCATTATTAAGTTCAAAGTATGTCCTTTGTTGAAATTTTTATTGGAACAATTAAAATTTAAGAATTATGTAATGTTTGACCTTCCCATTGTTGTTTATTTCTAATTAGCTCGACTATTCCAAAAAAAGGTAGAGCAGTTGTTCACACCCAGGCATCAGCGATACACCCGAGTTAAGTTTTTGCATGCAAGTTGATGTCTCCAAAACTACTGGAGGGATTGGATTGAAACTTCACACACTTATTTAAGAGCATAATAGATATAATAAATTTTGACAGAATTAGTGTAATTCTACATTATACAGGCTCTTGTTTTACTATCAAGCACTGAGAAGTCAAGCATTCTGTTCTATCAATAGCTCTTGTTTGTGTGGAAAATGAAGAAAAAATTGCCAAAATTCAGAATTTGCCATATGATTATATTATATAGGAACGGTTTTTTGTTGTTGTTCTTTTTCTTCAGAAAGGTTACAGTTTTGTAGAAAAGTGTTTTTTATTAGTATTCATTTTTTTATTAGTAGAATATTGATTGTTAATATGCTTATAAGTAATGAAATACATAAAAAAAATAATTTCAGATACATTTTAGCAACAGACCAAAACTGGTCCTCACTTCAGAAACCAATTTATTGCTCTAAGAAAGGTAACTCTTTCAAGGATTGGGTGAGCACTTGGACAGGTTATCTCTCCTCAAAGGTATGTAACAAACTACTATACATAATATTTCTATCTCTTAGCTCCAGCAGGTAAGGTGATTTTGACCACTGGTGTTGCTTTAAGTTTGCAACACTCAAGGTTATCCAAAATCATCTTTTCTGTTTCAGTGCCATATAACCTTAATTGTGTAGGTGTGCTGTAAAACCAAACAAAACATAATATTTTATATGTAAGTGAGTAGATATTCAGCATGTTTTGTCTAATTTGATTTTTTTTATAAAGACGATCAGTTCAGTGTTGATATGACAAGAAAAATTTACAGAATATTATTTTGAACTTGGAATGATAATGATTTGAAACAATACATAGAATAATACTTTTGGTGGAGATTTTAACAATGTTATATTAAAAATTGTCTTTATTCACTACTTTAGGATGTTAATGTATGAAATTTTGTAGGTGAAGGCCAACAGTAAAGCTCACAAGGTGTTTAAGTCATGTAGTGCCATGTTGAACTTTGATATACATATTGCCATCTATATTCTACCATATGTGGTGTTACATGTGTTACAAGATGGCTCAGCTGAAGACATTGACGAGGTCAGTATCTTTACAAATTTACCTGCTGTTTTAGAGTACTTGGGCGGTCAATTCTTAAATGATTTTAGTGGTGATAATTTTGTTTTAAAGTGCATTATTCACTTAGAAACATATTTATTAAAGCTCGATTGCAAAACAAGTTCTTGCAACTTTTATCGGTCACTTTTTCGGTTTCCTTGAACCAACCGGTACTTATGCCATATAAAAAAAGAGAAAAAAATAAAGAAACATGGTGATCCAAGTAGGGCTTAAACCCATGATCTCTGTGTTGACGGGCAGACACCTTAACTATAAGGCCACCACTCCTCTTAATGGGATATCAGGAAGTCTGGTTAACTTAAAGTGAATAATGCTGATCAAAACATTTTGAGTTTATTTTCATAGAAATAAAAGATTCTTTACTTAAGAAAGTGTGATAAAACATGTATATGTAATTGATAATTAAAATAATTTAATTTAGTCAAGTCCATCAGAGTACATGCAAAATCACTTATTACACTTACATTAAAATACATGTTATATGTACAATAAATAATAAAATTACCGAGTATTTATTGTTGTAGATATTTGCCGAGATAAATGAAGTATTAAACCAGGGTACTCGCAGTGATGGCAAGTTAAAGGGTTCCAACTATCACCACATGAGCGCACAGACCGTGTTCTCTATACTGGATTATCTTACCAAGTGGAAATACTTTATGCTGCAGCTTAAAGCTGCTGAGATGCAAAAGAGGAAAGGTAGATGTTTTAGGATATTTTTGTTTTATTCATCCATTTGGAAACCATTCTTTTGTTGTATTTTGATTAACTGGTTGGTTGGTTGGCTAGATTGATTGATTAATCTTTTCAGATTTTGTAGTTAAGATTAAGAAAACCTCTTTAATGCTGCATGTTTCTCTCGGAATGCAGTCTGTACATGGTCTTAAACACGCTTTGAATACTTAAAATGTTTATAAAACAGCAAAAAATTTAACTTTACAAAGTCGGATGAAATCATCAGGTATATTTTAAGATTCATGTTTTTTTTTCCAACAGAAAAACATATTTGGTGAATGTTGCAAGACAAATATGCATTTCCTCCTACATTTCTGAGTGGATTTCAACTGTACAATAACAGAATGATTGCCATCATATGCTCATGTATATTGTCTGACTATGGTAGTTTGATCATTTTTACCTACCACCTCCGTGGTCGAGGGGTTAGATGATGACTTCGAATCTAGTTACTGCTCTGGCGTGGGTTCGATCCCCGGGAGATGCTTTGGTAGTTTAGCGCGGAGGAAGGTAGTCTAGTACTGGTGTAACTCTCCAGGAACGATGGTTAGGAATCTACCCGCCTATATGACTGAAATACTGTTGGGAATAGACATAAAATAATGAAACAAACAAAAAATGATCATTTTTACCAAATTGGCAGATTAATTGGTCCCAGCCATTGTCCTCCCCCCTCCCCCATCATATTTGCCTGTCACTTGTTAGAAAGTTTCTTGTTTATATCTATGCAGGTGGAAGTTCTATGTTAAACTTACCAGAGGAAGGCTACAATAAGGTGAAGGAATTTCTAGAGCGTATACCTCAGGACAAGATTGCTCAAGTATCATTTAGTTGTAAAGCATACACTAGAGCTCTCATGCACTTTGAACTTCATCTTGGTGGTAATACCAGTCTTTCTAAAGAACAGCTTGACTTTATGCAGGTAATTTATGATATTTATTTAACTCAAGAGACAATTTTAATAAGCCAAGTATTACAGAGTAAGTCAGAGTGCCAAATCCTGCATCAAAATGTCCCTAAAATGCCTTTCTTGGATGCACAATTTTTTTCCTCTTGTATCAAAATGGATGCACAAAAATATAATATTTGCTCCTTAACTTTTGCTTAAAATCATATGTACATATATATAACCAGATATGATCAGTAAGTTCTTTGCTTTAGTAAAGAGATAGACTGCTTAAATCAGATGGTTCAACATCTTAAATTAGTGGTTGGAACCCCCTGATTAGTTGGTTGGACCACTTTTATTACAGAATCTGGATCCACTGGGTCCCTGTTTGCCTTCAATCAAAATGTCTTACAAAGACTAGCTTGTTAAGGATTTTATGGTTAAATCCAAGGCCATTAGCTTGAGCAAACTACTTAACTAAATGGTCAGCTAATCCAACGGATGAGTCTATTCCAGATTTATTTATTTTCTTGTTATACACATAATAAAGAAAGTTTACTAGTGAAAATATTTTACAAGACTACAATAAAAGGGAAAACAGTGTGTGTATAAATCTTTTATAAAATCTATATTGATAAAAGATTTGTTCATATTTTAGAGACTTTATGTTGAGCTAGATGAACCAGATGGTGTTCAGGGCATGGCTGCCATCAGACAAGCTCCGCCCACCTTGCAGGAACAGATCCTTGCCTTCAGTGGAAGATTAGGTAGCCAGAGTCTTTTTTATATGAATTTTATTTTTCATTATTTACTTTGAAATCATTAATTAAGATTCTAGTTTTCAGCTTGACTGCCCAGACTGTAACAGTTTATTACAGTCTTGAAATAAGCTATGTTTGAACTATATCTTTCTACATAAGGAATTGAGTTGAGTAATTTTTATTTACCTTCAGTTAGTTACCATATAATGTATATATCTAGGTTGTCAAATAGAGTTACAGACATGTTATGAGCAAGCTATTCAGTCAGAGCCAGAAGATTTAAACAATCATCAGGGACTTTTACGCTGTTTAATGGATCTAGGTCAACCATCACAGGCCCTACATCATGCTACAGGAGTTATAGCTAACAGGTTAGGGGTTATTGTCATTTAACTATTGAGACCACACTTTTGAGACATCTATGGTAACTTAGTAAACCAGTTATGCAAAAAAAATTTTTTTTTAGTAATTTGGTACATTTTGGTTTAAGTGAAATTTTCAATATGTTAAATACAGGCACGTTTGTTAGTTTAACTGAAATTGAGATTTTATGATTTTAAATAAAGAATTAGACTGAATTATTTTTACTTCATTGTCACTGTACTGTGTCCAATAAGATGAATATTTTTTGCCTTGGTGTCACTAGGTCTGACAACAATTTAGTTCTTTTTCACTCAACTTGGTTTGTAATTTATCAGTAATAATGCATGTATATCACAAAACACATGTAATTGTAAGTGCTACTTGTGCATGTTAATGTTCACATAATTATAGAGAAAATATTTAACTGTCAGAATTATAGATATTCCATTTTATACAAATATCATATTATAATTTCTAAATGTTTTAGAGAAAAATGATTTAAAAATACACAGGATTTTCCTTCTCTTTTCAGAAAAGGGTGGGCCCCTCAGATATTACCATTTCAGGTTGAGGCGGCATGGAAACTTGGAAATTGGCATGATCTGGAAAATTTTACCAAAGTGGTAAGAATGACTGAAATTATTTAAATGCACCCTAAGGGTAAATTAGTGTTCAGCAATATTATGTATGATCATGACAAAATTGAACAGTTTTTTAAAACATGTTTTTAATTAACAAAATTGGAATCACTATCATGAATATTGTACCATTTTATATCACAATAATATGGATCGGTAAACCAGCAAAATAAATCCTGTAAATTCTTTTTCTATAACTTGAGTTTTGTCAACATGATTTGATAATATATGAACAGTGCACTAGCTTGAGTGGTACTCAATGTTCAGCACTTAATCAGCTGCAATAAATGGTCTCGAAGGACCAGAAAAATATGACAACACTGAAATGATGTCCTATATATTACTAGGTGTATGTATTTGTCATAGTATTAACAGTAAGCATGATTTTACAGGATAAGACAAGCAGAAGTTGGCCTCTAATGCTAGGAAGAATTTTACTTGCAGCTAAAGCAAAGGTTTGTTTTGACACATGTACATACAGAACAATCTGTGTAAAGCAAAAAAATACCTATGGGAGACAATTATTTTGATGTTGCTCTAAAGAAAAGTAATGTATTTTGAAAGCTTATTTTGGGGAGAATTGATACTGTAATTTAAAAAAGTCATTGCTCTTTATAGGGAAGCTCTCCAAAGGTTGCACTATAAGTTTAAAAAATATATATTGCTGGTTGTAGGATATGATGTATAACTATGAAATCTTTATCTTCTATATTCAAACTTACTACAGTTCTTTTGAATCCCCACAGGGACTTTCGATTCTTTCATGTGAGGAAGCCATCCAGCTAGCTTACAGAACATTTGTGGTTTAACTCTGGTGCCCTTTTGTGCTGGTAATAATGCATGGAAGGGCACCTAAGGTCTTCATCAACCAGTAAAGCTTGAAAGTCGCTATATGACCTATACTGTGTTGGTGTAAATTTAAAAATGTTAGCATTCGATTCATGTAATGTTCTTTTCAGAAAGAGGATGACTTCCTGCAGCATCTACAAATAGCAAGACAGGAACAAGTCGGGCCCCTGTCAGCTGCCAGTTTTGAAATGGGCTCCTACCAAAGAGGTTATGAGTATATTGTTAGGTATGATTTGTTATTCTTATTTTATAAAAGACACATACAAATAACTACTATTTAAGATAAATTCACTGTTATTCAAATCTTCATGTTACTGTCTTCAGCATGGAAAAAAAAACTTCCTTTTACTGTTTTAGTGAAATGATTTGACAATCCTATATTAATAACTGGAGAAAAAAACACACAAAAACCAGTAGCGGTGCCCTAGTTGTAAAATTGTCCACTTGTATTAGAGAAGTGAGGTGTTCTTTCCATGAATGGTCATAGCAAAGACTGTTGTAGAATTTTTTTATATTGGTACTCAGCATTGTAGGGATAATTTTAAGAATGGTAAGTAGTATGACTATCCATCATTGTTTTCATACTGTAATGTTTCAGTGAAACAGTACTGTAATGTTTGACATTGTACTCCTGGCAACATGACTAATAGACACTGTTACCGATGTAATTTGTGAAAGTTGTTATGGAAAATTCTGAAATAAAAAAAAACAACTGTGAAATGGGTAGTTGTAATTTATATGATATAATGTTTTGTTGTAGACTTCACCTGTTGAATGAGATTGAGGAAAACATGCATGTATTTATGAATCTTGGTGAAGATGATGGTGGTAACATAACTAAACAAGATCTGGTCTCACAATGGCAGACCAGGCTTAAAATGATGCAGGTATAAAGGTTTATGTCTGTTGCTTTTCTGATTGATGGCCATTGAATGTTTTGAAAATTTCATCATCAAAATCATTTTGCAGTTTTCAAAACATATTCAGTCATTTTTCATAATAAATAACCAGTATTTCTTTAGTAAGGTATGAAGGTCTGTCATGTTTAAACCTTAGGATGTTATAAACAATATAAATTTCCAGTTTCACATTTAAAGTGCAACAATAAATGTATGATGATATTATCATTTTAATACATCAGGGCTGCGTTTCATGGAGAGTCCTAAGTCTTAAGTTTGTCTTAAGTTAAAAATTGTGACAATTTTGCGTTTCAAAGAAAGTCTTAAAAAAGGTCCTAACTTATGACTCCTAAATTTATGACCAAAAACAGTCCTAAGTCTAGGAGTGTTTAAAAGGTATCCTAAGATTGTCTTAAGTCAAAACCACTCCAAAATCAAACAACTTTTTGTTGAATTTTGTTTTGAAAACTATCTAGAATGATAGATAATGGTCTAACTAAGAAAATAAATCCAAACACCAATATCTTTAATTCAGTCATTAACGCTGTACAGACGTTTAAAGGTTTGTTTACATGACGTCACAATGTAGCGCCAAATATCGCGTGCAAAACAAGACGCGTCTATAAATAATAATATTACTGCGCGCTGTACAATTGCAGTTGCGTAGCAAGCAAAGGGGTTGGTAACTATTCTTTTTACTATAAAATTAAATAAAATGGTTATTTTATTGTTTTTCGTGAAATATGGTATATATTGTCACTCAACATGATAAGAAGGCAATACATTACTTTTTGTACTTGCTATAACAAATTACATAGTAAATCCAATCCGGGATTATGCGCGTGCCATTGTATCTTGTAACTTTTTTCAGGAGAGCGAATTGGTCATAAGTCTTAAGTTTAAGACAAAAGATAGGACAGTTTCTTGAAACGGTCCTAAGTCCTAGGATTTAGGATTAACTTAGGACTCTCCATGAAACGCAGGCCAGATTCATGAAGTATTGCATGATTTTCAATATGCTTAAATTGTAGTCTTCGTTTCGAATCCAAGAGCCTGTGTTGACAATGAGAAGGACCTTGATGACCTTGAATGAACATGAAGGTCAAAGTGATCTTGACCTTGACAGAGAAGTGGGTCACAGTTGGCTAAGCAGTGCTAAGATTGCACACAAGTAAGATTGTAATCTAACTTGATGTATAGTTTATTGGCAGAATGAGTTACATGTGCATTCAATGTGCTCTTTGGTATTTAATATAGTTGTTAATAGCTAAGCAGATTTAATAGGGGTTAAAATTTTGTCTGGTAAGGAATCACTGGGATAGAATTTTATCTGTATCTTGTATTTATTTTCTGTCTCATAAAAAGTTATTTGTGGCAATCTAACCATTAATCTGCTGAATTTGTTTAATAGATTTGCTTTAATAGACTTTGGAGCAGTCCATTCAAAGTTAAGGGATTTTAATATTAAACTACAAAATTTAATATTAAACTACAAAATTTGAGTGATCATCAGTCCTCAGTAAGGTCAAACTTTACAGATGTGCTGACTGGTAGTTGCAAAGACAACTTTTAGTTTCAGCAGAAAATGGATTATTTGACTATAAGGTATTGATAGTACAGATACTAATAAAGGTCTAACAGTAAAGTAGAAATTTGTTGTTTCTTGTAGGACAGGAAACTTGCAGACAGCTTACAGTTTCTTACTTCAGGCCAGTGAGTTTAATCTACCTGAATTTTGTTTACAGAAGGCAAAATGGCACTGGGAGAAGGTAAGTGTATTGATACATTATTAATGTTTGGATTTATGTATTCTATATGAAAACCTTTTCAGAAATTTAAATTAAACTTTGAAAGTAATTATTCTTACTGACAGTTTCCATATCTTTTCGTATGAATGATCATTTAATTTTATAACATTAAGCTTCTATCTCTTGACTTTTGAACATAGTACATTAGATTTTGAACAGTGACAGAAGCTTCAGATAACTGGTTATTATTTTATATGTAAAATGCTTTTTGTACCTGTAACCCAAGACTAGCATAAAGTATATGACTTTATCAAAGCTCCTGTAATGGTATATTGTATAAAAATGCACATGAATCCCTGACTGGCCTCTCTTTGATAACTTTTGTTATCATCTCAGCCAGTAATGAAAGACTTGATGGGTTATTCATTTATCAAAGACATGTGTGATTTATACATTTTCAGGGTGAGCATGACCAGGCCATGTCTCTACTGGAGAGAGAAATGCAGCAACATTTTGGTAATGTAGCACAACTAAAAGCTGACATTTCTGAGGAAGGCAATACAAGAAGAAAAGTGTATGCTAAGGTAATATTTGTACTAGATATATTTGATTAATGTCATAAATATTCATTCATTCTTTATTGTTATTGATATGCCCAGTATTTTTGTGGTTTTGATATCTAATTGTTTATGTTGAATTTTTTTCATGTGGTAAAATAATTTACATTGTTTAAGTTTGCTGAATCAGTATGCTGAATTATCATGAAGTAATAAGAGTTAACAGTGGTCCTCTTTAAGAAAAAATAGCTTTTAGGTCACTATATGAAACCAGTGCTGTCTGTGTGACCAACAAAAGCTTGCCCTTAACCTGCTGAATTTCATAAATGGACTCTTTCAGCTTACATTTTTTGAACTGTCTATTTAAATGAAAGTTTAATGTTGGTTAGGCAATTGTTATATACTAGTCACACTGCTGGAATGTTTAGGCTGAACTTCCTCTATACTGGTTCACTTTTAGTTTCACCAGATTAAGGGTTAATCTTTCCTTACAAGATACAAAACAAGATATTTAATTGATTAACTTGCTAAAATTCACAAGGTATGCATTGGGAAATCACAGTTTGGCCTTTACAGTTTAGGCATAGCATAAAACCTGACCAAAAACTAATTTATCTTGTATATTATATTTCAGGCACTGTTGTTATATGGGAGATACTGTGAGGAAACATCAAAGATTGAGAGTAATGCTATAGTTAAACAATACAAGGAGGTTATTGAAGTGGCCCCAGACTGGGAACATGGATATTTTTACCTGGGAAAATACTTTGATAAGATCATGACGGCACTCGTGGATGATAAAGATGATATCTCCAAACAAGGGTATGATCAATATTTATTACCGGAAATAATATCAGTGATTATATAAGAATATGTCACTGAATAGTTTCTTAATTTGAACTCACCTCACCACTTGTTTAATTATTGAAGAGCTTTATGGAATACCTGATTATGGCCATCTCAGAGTGTTTGCATGCATCAAGTATATATTGTCTGCACAAGAGCAGTTTCATTTCTCATTATGCATGACATAATTAATTGCCAGCTGCTAAATTGCGAAAAATTTTCTCAGCAAAGCAGATAATTTGCCCAAACAAAAATTGACCCCAATTCTGCTATATAATTTTGGGTTACAGCCCCCTAAAAGAAAACTTGAGGATATTTTTTGCCTTTCGTTACATCAAAATTCATCAGAAAATAATTTTAAGTTACAATTTGCCCTATGGAGTAATAAAAGCCTGATATTTATTGTATTTCAGGGAGTTTGTTGTCCATGTTGTTAAGAACCTAGCAACATCTTTACGCTATGGTAACCAGTTTATATACCAGTCGTTACCACGGTTACTGAGTTTATGGTTGGATTTTGGTACATCTGTAGTGGACCAGGAGAAGAGGGAGAGGTCAAAGGGGTCATCATCATCCTCGTCGTCTCAGTCATTGCAGAAAAACAAAAATAATCTGAGCAAGCTGAATAATGTAAGTTGTCACTTTTACATTTTGTTATGTAGGCATGAAGAACTTTGTTAATGAAAATTAATTTTTGATGTATGGTATTAATAGAGTCCATTGTTAGCGATGATTGATTTTATTGTCTTCCTCAACACTAATTCAATTATCTTAATAACCACTGAATGTGTTCACTTTTGAATATCAAATGTATATTCAATCTTGTAATCAAAGGTCACTGTTCAAGACCCATAACTTCAGAATTTATGTTTATTGAATTTTATCCACATATGAACTTTATGATAAAGGTTTTCATTGATTAAGATTTAGCATGGAAGATATAGTTCCACAACCACTGAGGGTATTCATTCAAAATTTTACACTTTTATTTTGGATCATAAATTAATGGTAGGTAACTTTTGACCATGGCATAAATATTAACTGTATTATACCTCTGGTAAAACAAAAATGTAAAATTTCTGAAATATCCAGGCGCTTGTTTAAATAGCAGCTTGTTTTACTGTGATCATAAAGCAGCATATCAAATATGAATATATTACAGGTGTGACATGAGTATGTGTCCTGTATGGAACTATAAAACTTTCTTGTATGAACCAACTTGTGGTATAAAATAGCTTAATGTTGCTAGTTCAGCATAACTGCTTGTTGCTGACATGCCATCACTATAATTTTGTTGCAAGTGTATAATTTGACTGTGAAATTTCTGCATTATCTAGATTCTATTTGATTTATCAAGCTCTGAGAATAAGTGAAGCTCCCCCGTTTGACTTACAGATCATGTTATATTTCAGATGATTGGTACATTTGGGAAGACTCTTGCTCCATACCAGTTGTTCTTCGCATTTTCTCAACTAACATCAAGGATATGCCATGCTCATCCTGAAGTGTTTCTTCAACTTAAGGTACATACTTTACTTAAAATATCTGGTTCTATAAGTTTGGGTGAGTTATTTATACAATTAATTAAACTATCTGTAATTTGTTAAATTTTGTCTTGGTTTGACTTGCTCTGATTTGATCTGTAATATTCAGTTTATACAAAGTGTGGGGCAGTGTTTTTATGCCACCGCAGCATCTGCGATGCGGTGGCATATAGCGATTCACCTGTGTGTGTGTGTGTGTTTGTTTGTGTGTGTGTGTGTGTGTGTGTGTGTGTGTGTGTGTGTGTTATATAGATTATATAGTGAACTTAAAAAATCTTCTTGTGAAAAACCAGTAGTCCAATTTCAACCAAACTTGGCAGGATTGATCCTTGGGTGAAGGGCTTCCAAAGTTGTTCAAAGAATTTCATTCCATGCAGAAATCTGGTTGCCATGGCAACCAAAAGGAATTATAAGAACAAATTTAAAAAATCTTCTTGTAAAGACCCAAAAGGCCTAGAGCTTAGATATTTTGCATAAGGCATTGTCTGGTAGACCTCTACCAAGATTGTTCAAATTATAGCCCTGGGGTCAAAATCGGCCCCGCCCCGGGGTCATTGATTTTCACTATATGTACATATAGTAAAAACTTAAAATACCTTATTGTAAAGACCAAAATAGCCTAGAGCTTAGATATTTTGCATAAGGCATTGTCTGGTAGACCTCTACCAACATTGTTCAAATTATAGCCCAGGGGTCAAAATAGGCCCCGCCCCGGGTCATTGTTATATAGATTATATAGTGAACGTAAAAAATCTTCTTGTGAAAAACCAATAGTCCAATTTCAACCAAACTTGGCAGGATTGATCCTTGGGTGAAGGGCTTCCAAAGTTGTTCAAAGAATTTCATTCCATGCAGAAATCTGGTTGCCATGGCAACCAAAAGGAATTATAAGAATAAATTTAAAAAATCTTCTTGTAAAGACCCAAAAGGCCTAGAGCTTAGATATTTTGCATAAGGCATTGTCTGGTAGACCTCTACCAAGATTGTTCAAATTATAGCCCTGGGGTCAAAATCGGCCCTGCCCCGGGGTCATTGATTTTCACTATATGTACATATAGTAAAAACTTAAAATACCTTATTGTAAAGACCCAAATAGCCTAGAGCTTAGATATTTTGCATAAGGCATTGCCTGGTAGACCTCTACCAAGATTGTTCAAATTATAGCCCTAGGGTCAAAATCGGCCCCGCCCCGGGGGTCATTGATTTTCACTATATGTACATATAGTAAAAACTTTAAATACCTACTTGTAAAGACCCAAAAGGCCTAGAGCATAAGGCATTGTGTTGTAGACCTCTACCCAGATTGTTCAAATTATAGCCCTGGGGTCAAAATCGGCCCTGCCCCGGGGGTCATTGGTTTTCGTGATATGTATATAGTAAAAACTTTAAAAAAATTTCTTCTAGCAATTGACAAATGCTAGAGGTTAGATATTTTGCATGAAACAGTGTGTAGTGAACCTCTAGCAAGATTGTTCAAATTATAGCCCTGGGGTCAAAATTGCCCCCGCCCTGGGGGTCATTGATTTTCAATATATACATATAGTAAAAAATCAAAAAATCTTATTGTCTGTAGGTACAAGGTACAAGGCTTCAAAAACTTAAAATACCTTCTTGTAAATGCCCAAAAGGCATAGAGCTTAGGTATTAATGCGGTGGCATAGCATTTTTCTCAAATGCAATCTTGTTATATTTAAGACAGATTAATATTTAATTCTAAACATTTTCCAGTATCAACTGTTGGTCAATCACCATTTTATCAGTCAATGTTTTGAAATATATAGTGAATTTAGGGCAACTTGACTAGAAAAAATGAGCATAATGTAACTTTAAAACAATATTTCATTATATAACAACAAATTGTCTTTTTCTAGATGATCATAGCAAGACTTGTGGTCAGTTACCCCCAGCAAGCACTATGGTTTTTGATGGCAGTATCAAAAGTAAGTATTTGAACTGAAACATTTCATATAAAAATCTACAATAATTTGTGTTCACATTTTATAAGGAACATGAAACAATTAGAATTATTATTCATTTTCCAATTTTCACTTATTGTTCAGCTGTGATATCTGTAAATGAGTTGATTGAAATACAAGCTTCATGCTACCATATTTAATTTTTAAAAGATGGGTGATTTGTAAGATTGGGACCTTTTATTGTCCCTTGAACCTGAAATTATTAACAGAGAATAAAAGGAGTTTTTGCCCTTTCAGTAAAAACTAAAAAGTTATAACTTTGCATTTTGGTTTTTACACTGATTTTTAACATGTTTGAGTCATATATTAGTGGTCGATCCATCTAACAGACTTTGCTTATCTGGTTAATTAATCAGTAAGCACCAACTTCTCTGCAAAAGACTGGCTACTTTTGCTTTTTTCTTAAACAAGAGGTGAAAATAAATTTAATAAAGCATTGGTATGATTCCAACCAGTGGAGGTTAATTCCATGGGTTAAAAGAAATTGATCATGGAGCAAATATTTATAAATTATCTACTTTATAAACAATAAATTGAAGTAAAAAATTTTTCATAATTATTTGTAACTTCGAAAGGAAAATATGTTTTCTGATTTCAGTCATCATACCAAATGAGAGCAAAAAGATGCCAGGAAATATTTGCTGCTGCCAGGTTTACAATGCAATATTTTTTCATTTTTGTTAAGCAAGTTTTTACAGCTTTTTTAGAGTCATTTAAATCAATGATCTGATTTTGTTAATCTTGAAAGAATAAACAGTTTTATTATTGATTTTTGGATTGCATTTCAGCAGTTTCAGATGGATATTTTATATTTTAGTAAAACTTGCAAGATGCAATTATAATGACCATTATTTTGAAAATGTAACCAACAAATAAGACAAATTAAAATGAAAAAAAAATCTTTTTCAGAGAGATGCAAAAGAGCCTTGAAAAAGTTATTAAGGTATTGGTTAGAATGATATATTTTTGATTCAATAAGAGAGAATTAATTATCAAGTTTGGAGTTAAATGGTATTTGGATTGTATATACTTTACCTGTATGTTATATACGCTAATTACAACATTCAAAGTGTATTCATTTTATGAGAAAGAACTTTTATTATGCTCCCCGAAAAATTTCGGGGGAGCATATAGTCGGCGCCTTGTCCGTCTGTCCGTCCGTCTGTCTGTCCGTTGTCTTGTCCGGAGCATAACTTGAAAACCCTTGGAGATAATTTGTTGAAACTTCATACAGTGGTAGAGGGCATCGAGGGGGAGTGCAGTGTCAAAGAACCATAACTCTATTTTGCCCGGGTTTTTGAATTATCTCCCCTTATAGAAAAATCTTGTCCGGGGCATAACTCTAAAACTATAAGAGATATCAACATGAAACTTTGTAGGTGAATAGATCTCAATGGATAGATGTGCAGTGCATAAGAACAATAACTCTTTTCATCCTAATTTTGGAGTTATTGCCCTTTGTTAATTTTAATACTTTGAACTTTGTCCGGAACATAACTTGAAAACCCTTGGAGATAATTTGTTGAAACTTCATACAGTGGTAGAAGGCATCGAGGGGGAGTGCAGTGTCAAAGAACCATAACTCTATTTTGCCCGGTTTTTGAATTATCTCCCCTTATAGAAAAATCTTGTCCGGTGCATAACTCTAAAACTATAAGAGATATCAACATGAAACTTTGTTGGTGAATAGATCTCAATGGATAGATGTGCAGTGCATAAGAACCATAACTCTTTTCATCCTAATTTTGGAGTTATTGCCCTTTGTTAATTTTAATACTTTGAACTTTGTCCGGAACATAACTTGAAAACCCTTGGAGATAATTTGTTGAAACTTCATACAGTGGTAGAGGGCATCGAGGGGGAGTGCAGTGTCAAAGAACCATAACTCTATTTTGCCCGTTTTTTGAATTATCTCCCCTTATAGAAAAATCTTGTCCGGGGCATAACTCTAAAACTATAAGAGATATCAACATGAAACTTTGTAGGTGAATAGATCTCAATGGGTAGATGTGCAGTGCATTAGAACCATAACTCTTTTCATCCTAATTTTGGAGTTATTGCCCTTTGTTAATTTTAATACTTTGAACTTTGTCCGGAACATAACTTGAAAACCCTTGGAGATAATTTGTTGAAACTTCATACAGTGGTAGAAGGCATCGAGGGGGAGTGCAGTGTCAAAGAACCATAACTCTATTTTGCCCGGTTTTTTAATTATCTCCCCTTATAGAAAAATCTTGTCCGGGGCATAACTCTAAAACTATAAGAGATATCAACATGAAACTTTGTAGGTGAATAGATCTCAATGGGTAGATGTGCAGTGCATAAGAACAATAACTCTTTTCATCCTAATTTTGGAGTTATTGCCCTTTGTTAATTTTAATACTTTGAACTTGAACTTTGTCCGGAACATAACTTGAAAACCCTTGGAGGTAATTTGTTGAAACTTCATACAGTGGTAGAGGGCATTGAGGGGGAGTGCATTGTCAAAGAACCATAACTCTATTTTGCCTGGTTTTTGAATTATCTCCCCTTATAGAAAAATCTTGTCCGGTGCATAACTCTAAAACTATAAGAGATATCAACATGAAACATTGTAGGTAGATAGATCTCGTTGAGAAGAGGTGCAGTGCAAAAGAACCATATTTTTGTTAAGCCTTATTTTTGAATGATCTCCCCTTTTAGAAAAATCTTGTCCAGGACATAGCTGTAAAACTATAAGAGATATCAACATGAAACTTTGTAGGTAGATAAATCTCAATGGGTAGATGTGCAGTGCACAAGAATCATAACTTTACCTTGCCATATTCTGGAGTTATTGCCCTTTGTTTATTTTTACTTTTTGAATTGTCCAGGACATAACCCGGAAATCATAAGAGATATCATCAAGAAACTTTGTAGGTTGATAGATCACATTGATTAGAAGTGCAGTGCAAAGAACTGTAACTCTGCCTTGCCTAATTTTGGAATTATTGCACTTTGAACTTTTTCCACGGACATAACTCTGAAACTACAAGAGGTGTACTTTCCTGTGTCCAAAACCTATTCGGGGAGCATCACCCGGCTCAAACCGGGCTCTTGTTATAATTGTTTCACCCTTGTGGTTGAAAGGTTACCTTAAAGGGTTGAGGCATCAGAATTGCAGCCTAAATTTACCCCTGCATGATTGTAAAAGGTGACTTAAAGGGTTCTCTTAGCTCCAGTGGGTGAGGTGATTTTGATCCTTGATGGTTCCTTAAATTTTGTAACACCTGAGGTTAACCTTCTTGGTTCAAGGCACTATATGACTTAAATTGTATTGGTTCCCTGTAAAACCAAATAATCATAAAAACTATAATTGTAAAAAGTAAAATATGGCATATTGTTTTTATGGCAGAAATTGCAATACCATGTAAAATGTTTAATAAGCATGAGCTTGTCTGGCCAAATAATCCTTATCAGGTTTTTATAGGATAAGAATCTCCTGCTGTGAATTTTATACTGTCTTGAGTTAATCTAAGGGGTGTAGACATCAAATTTCTAAAACTTAATAATTAATTATAAAGAGACTGGCTTTTTAACTCTGCATGATTCAAAAGTAATTACCTGTGCAACCAGTATAGCCTAGAGGAAGTCCAAACTGCACTATCATGCAGCTTGACCATGCTCTATACTGTTGATACTTCAGTTTTTGAATTTTGGTATGAAATCCCTAAAAGTTTAAATGGACTGTTCCAAATTCAAAATGGAACAAATTCATTACAAAAATTCAGCAGGTGATGGGTTAATGGTGGAAAAGGTAGATCATTTTTCCTACTAGTATTCAAATGATTAAGATTATATTCCAGGATTACCTGAAGTTAACTGACAGACTTCTAGAACTCTGTGAGAAAGATTTGCCAGGACCAGCTACCGCTAGTATTGATAAGAATTTCAGGCCTCTCAAACGTCTGCTTGAAGATGACAGGTAAACAAAAGTCAAAACAAACTTTTATAATCTGGCAAATATTTCATTACAATTTCTTTATAAAGGTCATTTGAGTAAATTGTATGGAAAAAATAATGGTTTTAGTAAGAACTTCTTCAATATTCACCGCAGAAGAGATGCTGGGCCTAGGATAGGAAGGTTTTTAGATATGAAGTATGTAGATTAAGTGATCTTTCTACTAAGCTATTAAATATCCAGTAAATATGGAGAAAATTTTAAGACTTGGGATAGTGGAATTATTCACTTTGTCTTCAAATTATAATAACAATTTTGTATTCTTTAGTAGCATTGCCAATATTTTGCTCTAGATTATTAAATCTATGATCGATAGTTGAATTTTATTCATGGTCTATCAAAATACCAGAAGATTGCAAAGTTCTTTTCCCAAGTTTAGATTAGTAAGCAATGCCATAATACTGATCATGTTAAGAAGTGATACTAGTTAGGTTAGTATACTTGTTATGATTTTATTTCAGTTTTACACCAGTGCTTCTACCCCTTCAGTCTTCCATGACCGTGGCACTACCTAACAAGGTTGACAAAAGCTCAAACCACAATCCTTTCCCTGGAAACCAAGTCTACATTCGTGGATTTGATGACACAGTAGGTTTTGTTTTATTTCAATGTTTAGTAGTGTTGTCTCTTTGATGATATAGATATAGGATGTGTTAATGCACCTTTCTTCATGCATAAACATCCTCAGAAGCACTCAAACACACTTCAAGTCAGCAAGCAGGATAAGAATACTTGTTTTGTTAGGCTTATTACAACATGTGAGAGCAATGTCATTTGACAGCTAAGTTTTAATAATGAAATAACCAGGGTTGTCATTTAAGTCATCTAATTAAACAAAGCCCAGAGTCATGTATACAGTCGACATTGTATTAAGAGACCACTCAAGGGACTGCCAAAAGGTAGTCACTTAATAAAATGGTCTCTCAATAGAATTTCGGAAAATTCTGGAGACTTTTAGACCAATGACCATGAAAAATATTTGTTTGTTTGCTTGTACACATCAAACCTACTCGCTGATTACACTGGTGAGAATGTCAGTAGGGACGATTGTTTGTCAGGGCCATTTAATAGATACTTAACACTTAAATTTGTACATTTGGGCCGACATTTAGTGGCCGCTGGTCGCCATATAAAATCGTCGTTAAATCGAATTTACTTACATAGTAAAAATCATCAGGAGAGATTTTATGCGGCCGTTTAATAAAAAAGTCGCTTAATAAAGGTGAACGCAAGTACTATGCCGACTATAATTAAAAAATGTGCGACAGCCTTGTGTGTAGGCAACATCACATCCATTAATACTAGTTTTCTTCTCTGTTAATATACATTTAAACCTGCTTTGACAGTTTTTATGCAAGAAAATATCTTAAGTCAGTTTGTTATTGGTTAAGTCATATGCTACTATCTAGTTTTGTCCGTATTAAGTTGTTATTTCCAAGACTGCTCAAGGAAATGAGTTGAAACTTTACACACTTGTTCTCTGTGATTATCTAACGTGATTGGTACAGGTCCCATAACTCTGAGTTACCTGTACAGAGATATGCACTTTTTTAAGCACTGAGAATAATTAAGCGCTCTGTCTTACAGACTGCTCTTTTAATTTAGAATAATATACTTTTGACAATGCATTGTATGATTATATTATAATTTCAGATTGAAATTTTACAATCCCTGCAGAAACCGAAAAAGATCACAATGAAAGGCAGTGATGGTAACCTCTATGTAATGATGTGTAAACCAAAGGTCAGTATTATAACCTGTGTGAGGTTAATTCATATCATTGAATGGTTTTACATTGAAAATTCAGCAGCCAAGAACCTGGTCAAACGGCATCATTGTACTAGCGGACTGGTTTTGTTTTGTTGACTGGCACCATATGACATAAACTGTGTTGGTGCACCATAAAACCAAACAAAACCAACAATTAAAAAAAAAAAACAAGTTTTTTACTATTAGCACATGTTTTATATTATCCATCACCAGTGAATAAATTGTAAATAATCTATTTGGGAAACTTTTTGCCTTTTTCATTAAAAAATAATTATGTTTTTAGGGCTCTTTTGTAATTTTTTAGAAATTTAAACCTCCTATCAGTTACTTAGTCACATTATTTAAGAACCAGCATATGTATTTTTGAGTGTTTGTACAAAGGAATATTGGCATAAATTATTGCCTTAACAATTAATTATTAAGTCTATGTTAACAGTGATAATATACTGGCATTAAGAAGGTCTAACATATTGTATGCCAAAGTAAATAACAGATAAGCAATAACAAAATTCAAAAAAGGTTTTATGTTTCCTTATATTCAGGTTTCTTTTGCTTAGTTTGTGTTTGTATGTTTACAGGATGATCTAAGAAAGGATTGTAGGCTGATGGAGTTTAATGGGATCGTGAATAAATTCTTGAGGAAAGATCCAGAATCTAGGAAGAGATACCTGTATATCAGAACTTATGTGAGTAAAACTCTACTTAGCAACCATCTCTTTGTTAAATGTTTAATATGGATTTGCTTTGCTTTGATTTTGGGCCTTTACATTATAGTTAAATGTCTTGTCAGTATCAAAATAACAAAGTAATGCCTGGACAATCTGCTCGAAATATACAGACTAGGTTGGCTTAATACTTGTGGGATAAATAAGTGGTTGTCACAACAAGATCTGTAAGGACTAGATTAAAGAAAATCACTGTACTGTATTACAAGTCTATATAGTTCAATGTGTACCCTATATGCAATATAAAGCACCTGCTACCTGCATTTAGGCATCATGTCTGCAGGCAAGTCTGACTATAACAATTTAGGTGAAAGTGTCTGCAAACAGCATGGAATGTTCAGGTAGGCCTGACTATTATAGTCTAGGTTACAAACTCTATGGACAGCTTGGAGTGTTCAGGTTGGCCTGACCATATTATGGTAGCATTATTTTGCAAGTCATTTATGCTTTCAGACCTCAGATAGATTATATATTTCAATACCATATTTACAGACTGTCATACCATTGAATGAGGAATGTGGATTGATAGAATGGGTAAACAACACTAGTGGATTGAGACATGTGCTTCTCAAACTGTACAAAGAGAAGGGACTTTATACCAGTGGTGGAGAACTCAAATCTATGATGCCCACAGTACAGTCTCCAAAAGAGTGAGTTACTTAAAACACTTTCCACTACAGTGTTCAAAAGAGTGAACAGGTTACCTCATATAGTTAAGCTTCATAGATAAGTGCATGTTAAATAGTGTCTTATCTAGCTTTTGGCAGAATATTTATTTGTAAATGCCCTTATTTTCTTATATATGTTATTTTGGCAAATGTGATATATCATCAGTATTGAAATTTCCATTTCTAGGACTTTAATAGTTGTATTAAGATGTTACAATTTTAGGTTGACATGTAAATTATTCTCTTGTATTTCAGGGTTAAATTGAACATTTTTAAAAATAAACTGTTACCTAGACACCCACCTGTGTTTGGAGAATGGTTCCTACGTACTTTCCCTGATCCAACATCATGGTAAATATATGCCATCTTAGTAAATATTCTTGCTCTTACAAGAAATATGGTATTAGATTAATTTTAAAGTTGTATATTTAATATATGAGGACAAACTACTTTTAGTGAGACCATTATGATGTCTAAAATATTGTTCTTCTCCAAAACTGTTTGTCTCATTTTAATAAAATGTTGATTTGGCAAAGTTGTTTAATTCAAAGTTCTTCTAAAACCCTTTTACTTTACACATGTACATTTGATAACCTATTAACCTAATGGACATACAATTTTGCCAGAGTTACCTCCCCAATATGCACTTTGAAAAAGCTATTAGTTATGCTATTTTCTATATGTTACTCATAATGTTATTTGTTCAGGTACTTACAGCTTCATACAATACAACTTTATTACTTGAGCAGACTGGGTCAGATATGAAAAGGCTTGATAACCAATTAAGTTTTGAATTATTGTATTTGTATTCAAGTATTATGATCATATTTATATTCAGGTATAATGTATGTATTTATATTCTAGTATTATGATTGTAATTATATTACGGTATTATGATTTTTTTTTATATTGTGGTATAATGTATGTATTTATATTCAGTTATTATGATGGTATTTATATTCCAGTGTAATGAATTTATTTATATTTTGATATTATGATCTTATTTATATTCAGGTATAATGCACGACTTGCATACTGTAAGACAGTAGCTGTAATGTCAATGGTCGGATATATCCTTGGTCTAGGTGACCGACACGGGGAGAATATACTGTTTGACTCAACCTCCGGAGATTGTATACATGTTGATCTCAACTGTCTGTTTAACAGGGTAAATACTGTTGTAATTATATGATAAGGTGGTTTATGTATCTAATTTGCCTGCTTTATGGCTGTGTGAAGAGCCTTGGGTCTACAGCTATATGATTTGTGCTCCAGAACAGAATGCTTGAATTGAATGGTATAGAATTTGTAAAATATCCATGGTCTAAACAAAAAGAAATCTGCCAAATTCTTTGAAAACTTAAACTTCGAAGTGACAAAAATTTGAGTATGACTGCTTAAACTAGATATATAACTTAGTTTGTTCAATTTAAACTGTGTTAGTTATAAAACAATTTTATAGTAAATTTTTCAAAAGTTATGTCATTTATTATTGGTTATAAATGAAGTGTTTGAAATTAAAATATATATTAATATCACATTAGTGTGTTATTCATTCTAAAATTTATATGTATAGTATACATGGAATGTACTTTAGTGAAAATGCTTACTGGCATTGATAATGAAAGATTAATATTTCTTTTACAGGGAGAAACTTTTGAATGGCCAGAAAAAGTTCCATTTAGACTGACACATAATCTGGTACATGCTATGGTAAGTAAGATGAGTTTCTTTTTAATTATTTTGTAAACTGTTACTTTCATCTTTTTACTTTCCCCACCTGTTTATCACTGGAATTAAAACCTACTGATAGAATATATAGACTTTAGAAATATTGATGACATTGACATAGCTCCAAGCTTTCAAGACAATCATGCTTTAAATAATAATGTTATAAACATATTTTGCTTCTGTTAGATTAATTTAATTCTTTATCATAAATGATTTTAACTATAATTTTAAAAAAGTAAGAAATGAAGAAATACAACACGTAGGCACCAGTGCAGGTTGAGTAATTTAATAATCTACGGGTTTCAGATCTTAACGAACCTTCATCAGGAACTATGATTTGTTTGAAATAATGCATACTTCTTAATTATTACAGGGGCCATTAAAGCTGGAGGGAATATTCAGACGAGCATGTGAAGTAACATTAAGAGTTATGAGGAAAGAATCTGAACCTTTGATGAGGTATATAGAGTACAATATATTGTATTCTAAACTTAACACACCTTAATAGGGGTTTTTCATATCACTCACTGCTGATTCAGAGATCATGTGGGTTTATTAGTTGGTCACTTGCAGAAAGATTTGTAATTACTTGTTAGTTAGCTAGGAAAGGCTTTTATATAGATCATTTGCCAAGACATGACCAAAAATGTTTTACAAAACAAATAAAAAATATGGCCAAATGGTTATTGATGATTTTGAATTGCATACAACCTTTGGAGTGCCTGCAGGCATGTTGGATTCTTTCACAATAGTTTGCTACATGTATATAGACAGCATGGGGTCTACATTGGTGACTAATAGTATTTTATATACTAACATACATACATAAAAACATTGTCATCTTGTTATGTTTTTTTAAAATAAAACAAACATTATAGTAATCATGTTATGTTGGTATAATAAAACATTTATAATGTTGATTGTAAACAGTCTTACAAGATTCAGAGATTTTTTAATCATTTTATTTTCAGTATGTTAAAACCATTTGTTTATGACCCCTTGGTAGAGTGGAGTAAACCATCTCGTGGACATAGACCAAATCCAACAGATTCTGGGGATATTACAAATGAACAGGTAAATTTGCTATTAACATTCAACGAATAGGCCATAACAATGTTGTAGATGCATTATCAGTTAAAAAGATTTTTGGGAGGTTATATGGTCAGGTAAGAAAGTTTGTAAGTTTATATAACCCATGTTGCTAGTTTAGGGTTATATTACAAACTTTTATGCACAGTTATAAAATAAGTCAAAAGTACTTGGTTTTTATAACACATTTATGATTATGCACAATTCCTTTCTATTGGGGAAAAAATAACATTGGGGAAAAAATAGCAATCAATTATCAGTGTATAAAAATAATACAAAATTGTGGTTATCTAATGAAAATCCATGTATCAAACATGCAGTATTATTACTAATAATTATCATCATTTGCTCTTCTAATACTACTCATACAAACTAGTGAAGGTACATATCAGGTGTGAATTAAAATGGTCAATAAGAAAGTATTACCTTGTATCGTACTGAAACTAAAACAGATATATGCATTTACTATCAGTATAGAACCAGCCCAACCTGCACTACTGTGCAATCAGACCAGGGAGTAAAATTGACTTTAATTTGGTGTTAAATATTCTATATTTCAGAGGATTTTGACTTCAGTATTAAATCATTCTATATTTCAGGGCCGTGTTCATGTACATAATATAGAGCAGAGACTTCAGGGAATTTTGAACAAGGGAACCAAGCGTAGTGGACTAGCGTTGTCGGTGGAAGGACAAGTAAATCATTTGATACGAGAGGCAACAGATGAGAATAACCTCTGTCAGATGTACATAGGCTGGGCAGCTTATATGTAGTGCTCTATTATATAACATGTTGAACCTGATGAAAAATGAAAATGATTTTTTGTTCATATATTTTTTGTTATCACTACTTTTTTGTTCCTGACCAATATTCTATGACAAGCTGTCTGTGTGATAATTCAGGTCCTTGATATTGGTCATGGTGTTTTTGTCATGTAGGACCACTTGATTTTGATGGTGGAACATTTATACTCTTAAATATTAATTATCAGTGTTTGGATCTGGAAATTGATTAATTTTACATCTTTGGAAAAGAAAAATTAAGAAAAAAATTGAGGTGGTCTGAATAATGTTACTTAATCTAGGAACTTTAATATTTTTATAAAGTTTTATTGAATGATCAAATATTATGCAGACTTTCAATATGAAAATATTTATATGTTTATCTTTGCTTCATTTTGTTTATCTGACGTTTTGTTTAGTTTCTTTTCAGTTCAGAGTTGTTTTGTTCGGAAAGGTTTCTTTCTTTTATTCTATTATGTTTCTCCTAATATTTTGTTGTCTCAATCAGTGGAGAAGGGATATAACTTACATGTACATTGTATAAGGACAAAAGGGAAAACAAATTAGAAGCATAAGAAGGGTTAAAAGCCAATTAAGCTTAAAAAATGATCAAACTTATATTTTTCAAAAAATTTATTTTTGGGGTCCTGATATATATATATTTTAAGTTACTCATTGACTCATGACCTGTGCCATTTTTGCTTCTTTTGCATTTTGAAATTTAGCGCAGTTATAGTGATTTGATATTTTGTATGGAAGTTAAAATACCAGTTTTTTATATTTTGCTTCTTTAATGATGGATGATTCTAATTCTTCAGGTAATAATTGTCAAACATGCTACATTACACTAATATTTGTCCTTTCTAAAGAAGAAAAAATGTAATCATATTAAGATGTGCCTTACAGCCATCGTTAGCATATAAAGTATTTTGAGGATTGTTTAGTTAGATTTATTTAAAAAAAACAATGGTATAATATGGCACATCATGTTGAAAACATACAAAAACAGATACAGTATGTATGCATTTATAAATAGCAATGCCAAAATAACGTTAAACATTGATATTTAACACAAAAAAGAGTGAAAACAAACTCTTATCAATTGTTATACCCATGTATATATGAAGAAACATAAATGTTTGTTGGAACTTTATTGGGCGTAGGAGATAATTAAGACTTGTTTTATATCAGATCAAGTTATTTTGTATAGTACATTTCTTTTGTAAGTCTGGTATATAGGAGTAAAGTCTGATTTGCTGATTTCAAACACACTTTTTATCAGAAAATATGAGGGAAATTTGTTTTATCATAAAGTTCAGCAAAGTTTTAGTGTAATAGATAACTTGTTAAGTAATATTTTTGGAATAATTATATTTATACGACTATTAGCCAATATAATTATGTGAATGTGTTTTGAGAAGAAAGCCTTGTTGAGAAATTGTTGGAAACGCAATTTCATGGTTAATGTTACATTGTTATCACGTTACATATGGAATTGTTCATATATGAATGTATATTTTGGGACATTAAAATGAAGAAAAAAAATTGTTGTTGCTGTTGTTATATGCCCGAAAGGGCATATTATGTTATACCCCCTGGCGTCCGTCTGTCTGTCTGTCCGTCCGTCCGTCCGTTAGCAATTTGGTTTCCGGAGCATAACTTAAGTTCCATTTGGCCCACAATGTTCAAACTTCATAGGATGATTGTCCATATTGGGTAGAAGACCCCTATTGATTTTGGGGTCAAAGGTCAAGGTCACTATGACCTTAAAACTGAAAATAGTTTCCGGAGCATAACTTAAGTTCCATTCGACCAACAATAATCAAACTTCATAGGATGATTGTCCATATTGGGTAGAAGACCCCTATTGATTTTGGGGTCACAAGGTCAAAGGTCAAGGTCGCTATTACCTTGATACTGAAAACAGTTTCCGGAGCATAACTTAAGTTCCAAATGACCCACAATGTTCAAACTTCATAGGATGATTGTCCATAGTGGGTAAAAAACCCTATTGATTTTGGGGTCAAAAGGTCAAGGTCACTATGACCTTAAAACTGAAAACAGTTTCCGGAGCATAACTTAAGTTCCATTTGACCCACAATGTTCAAACTTCATAGGATGATTGTCCATATTGGGCAATGTTCAAACTTCATAGGATGATTGTCCATATTGGGTAGAAGACCCCTATTGATTTTGGGGTCAAAAGGTCAAAGGTCAAGGTCACTATGACCTTAAAACTGAAAATAGTTTCCGGAGCATAACTTAAGTTCCATTCGACCAACAATAATCAAACTTCATAGGATGATTGTCCATATTGGGTAGAAGACCCCTATCGATTTTGGGGTCACAAGGTCAAAGGTCAAGGTCGCTATTACCTTGATACTGAAAACAGTTTCCGGAGCATAACTTAAGTTCCAAATGACCCACAATGTTCAAACTTCATAGGATGATTGTCCATAGTGGGTAAAAGACCCCTATTGATTTTGGGGTCAAAGGTCAAGGTCACTATGACCTTAAAACTGAAAACAGTTTCCGGAGCATAACTTAAGTTCCATTTGACCCACAATGTTCAAACTTCATAGGATGATTGTCCATATTGGGCAAAAGACCCCTATTGATTTTGGGGTCAAAGGTCAAGGTCACTATTACCTTGATACTGAAAACAGTTTCCGGAGCATAACTTAAGTTCCAATTGACCCACAGTGTTCAAACTTCATAGGATGATTGTCCATATTTGGAAGAAAACCCCTATTGATTTTGGGGTCACAAGGTCAAATGTCAAGGTCACTATTACATTGATACTAGAAACAGTTTCCAGAGCATAACTTAAGTTCCATTTGGCCCACAGTGTTCAAACTTCATAGGATGATTGTCCATATTGGGTAGAAGACCCCTATTGATTTTGGGGTCAAGGGTCAAGGTCACTATATCCTATAAACTGAAAACAGTTTCTGGAGCATAACTTAAGGTCAATTTGGCCCACAATATTCAAACTTCATAGGATGATTGTCCATATTGGGCAGAAGACTCCTATTGATTTTGGGGTCACTAGGTCAAAGGTCAAGGTCACAATTACCTTAAAACCAAAAACAGTTTCCGGGGCATAAAGTAAGTTCCATTTGGGCCACAATATTCAAACTTCGTAGGATGATTGTCCATATTGGGTAGAAGACCCCTATTGATTTTGGGGTCACAAGGTCAAAGGTCAATGTCACTTTTACCTTAATACTGAAAACAGTTTCTAGAGCATAATTAAAGTTCCAAGTGGCCAACAATATTCAAACTTTTTAGGATGATTGTCCATATAAGGTAGAAGACCCCTATTGATTTTGGGGTCAAAAGGTCAAAGGTTAAGGTCATTATTAATAACTTAAGTATTAATCAACCTACAGCTGTAAAATTTTATAGGATGAACAGCTAATTCCCATGTCTTACAAATGATTCATCCTTATTAAAAAAAAACACTTTCGGGCATATAATGCTCCGCCTAGCGGTGCTCTTGTTTTTTTTTAATTTATTAACATTTGAATTTTCATTAACATGACATTGTGTTTGTGTCGGAACAGATTATTCTAATTACAGTTGAAGAATCCTTTTGATCTATACGAAAATACATACACATGTAATTGTTTTTTTACGAGATCGTAGATCATTCTTTCGAAAAGGAGCTCATAAACCTAAACATATTTGAAATCTAGCCAAACCTTTTTGAAAAATGACGCATCCTATCGGGACACAATGCATTGGGATTTGAAAGTCAAATGTATTGTTTTAAGAATAACACCGTTAATATCTTACAGAATGTAGTTAATACAAAGGGCGTATTATAATAATTAGTGGCAACAGCTCACGATTTGCACGAGAAAGTACATGCATTATACACCGTTGAATAGACCAACCGTTTATTTTCGCACGATTTGCACGTGCAAATAAATTTTAGCAGGTCATTTAAATACAATAATATGTACATGTGATTTTGTATACTGGTTGAGGAGCAAAAGACTTTATTGCAAAATTCGTTGGTTATCGGAACGGATCTAGATTTAGGAGGAAATGCCCTTCCATATCGTACAATTGCCAGGTGGGCGGAGGTAGAACTAATTCTAAGGATGATCCCCGCCCCGGGCGTCCAATTTCCGCTACCACTGAAAAAAAAGCCAACAGCATAATGATATCAATATTTGATCGGACCTTAGTACGTCATATAATATGTGTTTTCCATCTTAAAAAGAAAAGTGCGCCCGATAGATCCCACATTTGCAAACTTCTGAACAGAAAAGGAATGGAGCGGGTTGAAAATGCCTCGGCCTTATTGACTAGGTTCAAAGATCGAGACCCTAGACGCTTGAGAGAAATTGTCACAGGGGATGAAACTTGGCTTCTTTTTTTTTGAGTCCCGACAATAAACTCAGAAATGAAATGTGTGCAGATGATAACGGCGATCTCCCAGTTGTTGCTCGACGTAGCAGGAGCGTTAGTTATGTACGCTCTACTTTTTGGCAGTGATGGATTTTTGGCCTGTGTCGCTTAGCCTGAGAGGAGCAGTGTCCCTGGAACATTTTACCGTGACCATGTTCTCAATGCTGTAGTTAATCACTACATTACAAAGTACCCAATGTCCGGGATGCACAGGATCAAATTACATCATGATAATGCACCTGCGGACCGTCAGCCTTTGTTGAAGCAGAGAATAATGTTTTGCTACATCCCGATGTTAGTCTTGACCCCTCTCCCCTTGTGATTTTTGGTTCAATCGGTACATCAAATCTTGCCTTCGCGGTCGCCGGTTCGAAACCCTTAGTGCCATAGGAAGCGCTCTCTATCAGTGTATCAACAGTATACTCAAACACTAGTTCAAAAATGCTTTTTTCGGAATAGATTCTGATGCTGGAACAGTGTGTAGAGGTCCATATGGTGAGTATTTTGAAGGACTCTACCAGGTATGACTATTTATAATTAGCTCCACTTTTTGAAGAAGAAAAAAGTGGAGCTATTGTTATGCCCCTATCGTCGGCGGTGTTTTACCTTTTTGTTAAGGTTCATTTTCTCAGAAACTATTAGATCTTGGCATACATGGTTATTGCCATTAAAAGACACCAAGGCTATTTCAAAAGAGCATATAATTCTTAAATTATAATTACTGTTATTTTCTTTTATAAATTGATGGCCCCTTTTTATGTTCCTTTTATTTAACTATCCAGCATTGAGAAAAAGCGAGCACGCTTTCCGCGTGCAGGTTTTGTTTAACATAAATGTTTATTAAATTAAAATCTTGTCTATATATTACCTTACATGTGTGCGGCAGTGGCTGTTTAATATGTTATTTTTGATCATAATTAATTTGATTTGCACGGAAGTTTTGGTTGGAAACTGCAAACGTATATGGCTTATATGATTTGATACTACGTCCCAACTAAAAACCGCGCGAATTTGCGTAACCAGGTAATTGATCGTGTTACAGTTGATAGTGAAATTTTAATGTATCGTGACATATTTATTGCCTCAGTATTTTGAAAATTATATTTTACAAAATTTGTCAACAAGGATAGGTTATTGACACTACCACAGAAAATAATTTAAAATCTAAGTTGTGATTAATGCCTTAAGGCTAATAAATTTAATTGAATCTTTCTTTACATAATATATTTAAAATATATTTCTAAAACGATATATGAGCCGCGCCATGAAAAAACCAACATAGTGCGTTTGCAACCAGCATGGATCCAGACCAGCCTGCGCATCCGCGCAGTCTAATCGGGATCAATCCTGTTCGCTATTAATATCTCTACTTGTAATAGGGTTTGTAAGCGAACAGCATGTATCCTGATCAAACTGCGCGGATGCGCAGGCTTGTCTGGATCCATGCTGGTCGCAAACGCATGTTGGTTTTTTCATGGCGCGGCTCATATGTCGATTTAAAATGCTATCGAAAATCGAAAATGACGTCTTCTCAACCAGTTTTTCGACATTGTTCGTTCGGGCGTCTGATAGGCCATACAAACAGTAAATAGTGACCAATGAAAATGTAGCTCTCATAGATTTGTTAAAACTGATGAGTAACCATTTGTTCATATTTTTTTATATATAGATATATATAACAATCTATCGAGAGCTTTTTCGTCTTATTTCAATTCGAGGCCGTTAAAATGTGATGCCGACGTTTTAAATAGTGTACGTACAGAATGTACGCGATATCTATTGACTCGCAATAGAAAAGCAAAGAAGTGAACGTCTCTCGGTATATACCGGAAACAAAACAAAAATAATAAAAAGAAGGAAAATGGGTTGCTACGGTTACATATAATTAAAAAAGAAAAATATCACAAATTTCAGGTTTAAAGATCATAAAATTCATGAGGTCCGTGAAGTTTGATGATTCTGTTATCTGAAATAACAAATATATGTATGGAAAGTACATGAGCTTAGCATTGAGACAAATAGCAGAGCGTTGACTATATGCCTAGTGGCATTTCACCGATGAAAGTCGATCAGTGCATTAAATAAGTTAAAGGAAAGGTAATTATAATAAAATGTATTTGTTTGTACTTAAATACATTACTAGGATATGATTAAGAGATCCTGATTTAATTAAAGGCATCTATATAACCTTTGGCCTTAGACCAATTAATATGAAAGATTCGGTTTTGTTTCAGTTTCATATTGTGCCGCATACATATTCATAAGTACTTGATTTCAAAATGTCAAAGTCAATCTAAGCTATAAATTTAATAATAAATTCAATTTCCACTTGACAAAAGATTATATCTCAACTAGTCTCGAAATTTTTTATTCTTATCAATTTATTCTTACTGGTAATTATGATCGTGTTTTTAAAATTGACCTACAGTAGTTTAGTAGTCGTTTTTTCCACCTCCATAGCCGCCCTTGTGACCCCCTTTGTAGCCTCCGTAGCCCCCACCACCACCACCACCAAGTCCACCGCCTAGTCCACCGCCCCCGAACAATAATTGAATAATTAGGATAAACACGAACACTGAAATCAGAAAACAGCGTTTTATAAATATGAATTTACAAGAACTTACACACACAAATATCTATTTCACTGAAGTATCATAAAAGAAGGGAAAAATATACAATAACAACATAAACAACAACAACAAAAAGGCGTCATCTTAATCACCTACGCAGTCATACTGGATACGCAGATGCGCAGGCTGGTCTGGATCCATGCTGGTCGCAAACTCATTATGTTGGTTTTGTCGTGACGCGGCTCATTTGTTGTTGCGTCGTTATCTCACAAGATGGTCTAGTGGTTATCTTGTCGGATACTTATAAATGTTCTGCCTATTGCTACCCAATGATATGCATGCAAAGTTTTTTTTATTTAAAACAGTTTATCCTTTATTAGGTATTTTTACTTATTATGTGCATTACACTAGCATATCACCTAATATGTCGATGGATGATAAAGGATCTCAATTGAGGGTTATTTTTTGACATTAAAACATTCTTCCAAAATTATTGTACCATTTGATACAGGTCTAGACCTATAACTTGCCTGCATTTATTTTTAGATCATTCACTCAGAGGAATTTAGTAAAACCAAGTTAAAAAAATGATTTGGGACTCTTTTTTTTACAAAATGAAAGAATCTGGTTATGTGATTCTCAACAAAAACAAAATTTGGACATTTAGTTATGGCTAAAAAGTGATTGGATTTCAAAAGAACAAATAGAATTCTGAAAATACTCACAGAAGATGATCATTCCGAAAATTCCACCGCCGCCAAACCCACCACTAGAGCCGCCTTGTTGTTGGACGGGATAGTACGAGCCATAGCCGTAGCCTCCTCCACCCTTCATCATCATAGGGTTGTAATAGTTGGCATACGCCACCATTATTACGCTTAAAAGCGTTCCTATAAATATCATTGAAACCTTCATCTCTGGCGTGGGTGTCTGAAAAAGAAAACGAATGTTGCAAAAGTTAGAGAGCGTTGTAATGATGTCTCTTAACAAGATTTCTTTAGAAAAAAGTATGAATCATTAAGAAAATTAAAATATTGGGATGAAAGACATTTCGGTAAAATACAAATAAATAAAAAGTGTCTTTTTTCTTTAATATTGAAGACAAATCAATATGAAGACTAAAACCGGAATTATGCAGTTTTGTAAAGATTGCAAAGATTTTGTAAAGATTGCAAGATTATTTTGAAAAGAAATAAAGATTTAATGATAGATACAGTCTTATTTTTATTTCAGTCGAAGCTTTACGTACGAATTGAAAAGTGTCGTTATGTTTTGCCCAAAAAAGTGTTTGAAGTTATTTTCCTTATCGCTAGAATCTAAAAGGAATAGAATATACAATACATTTAGAGTGAGTTCTTTTCCAGAACTTTACCAGTATCTGATAAATATCTTCGATTGTAACAACAATGAACATAAAGTAAATAAGAGTGTAATTATTGTAATGGAGATATGAATATTTAACTTCGGAATTAAACATGCCTTGACCAATGAGTGGTCTGCTTTGACTTTTTAGTGGTATGGGAATTTATCATGTTTTCTCAGACATCTGTAGGGCAGATAATTTTTTAAAACATTTTTTTTTACCAAATCAATACCAACGTTTTAATCATATCACAAACACAAATTTGAAATAGCGTTTATTATACCATAGATAGACAATATCATCAATAGACAATTTCACAAACTTACATAATCTTGTTAATTGAAATGTGAATAAAGTAAAATATAAAAACCTTGTTATTTTGTCGAAGGAATCTGTGAGACACTCGCACTGTAATGATGAAATTTCAAAGCATTTATAGCCTAGAGAACGAATCTCGTGGCAAGCTCTTCCTGTACTTGGAGGCATTCTCTAAATATACGTTACTAATCAATCAGTTAAAACTATATAATTAACTTATTCTACGTGTGAAAACGGAAGTGCTATAACCACAAAGCGTTGGTTACCACAACCCTATGAATAGTTTTTGATATTGTAGAATTTAGAAGATGTATTTTAAAACTCTAACACATGTATACATTTTTTTCTTAAATAATATATTGTAATTGAAATAACCACGCGTTCAACAAACCGCATTCGTTTCTAATGGTAACCACTTAATATACAAAGTAACCAGTTTATACAAAATTCTGATTCCAGCATACATTAATATATAGTAACAGTTTTAAATTTTAAATGTTTGATACATCAAATTTATACTGGTAACAATATGTTACACAGTTTATGTCATTTAAATTGGCTTTATCCGGATATATTCGATTATTCGTTCTACCAACAGGACTTTTAATAAAAGAAAGGGAGACGTTTTTGTTTATTAAGTGTTGAGAATATGCTCGCCTTGTGGGTTGTATTTATAACTGGAAGAGATAGTTTAATTTATATGTACAAGATGAAAGAAAGTCCATTTAACGGGCGAAAAAGAAATAATAATAATAATAATAATAATAATAAAAAGAAGTTTTAAAACAAAATGGTTCTATTGCACTTAACAGTTACACAAAGTGCCTTCAGAATATAGCTCTGGTTATTTTATTTAACATGGTATTGTTTGTGCTTTACCGCAAAAAGAATATCATTCAAGTATAATATGACCATCTGTCTGATACGTATTATTAAAGTAGCAACCTCGTTTGAATTTTCGATGGTTTGGAGGAAAAATAATTTTATCTTTATGAGCATTATCACACACTTTTCAGACATACGACACTTACTCAACACTGGCTTGGTTTCGAAACCCGCCAAGGACTTGGTGTTCTTTCATGGTATTCTTCCATGTAATGAAGCTATACATGTAGCTTACGTAACCCAGGTGGTTCTACCATGCCGAAAATCATGCACGGATACCTATAATGTTTTCTTCCACAGTCGCCATATGACCTTAACAGTGTTGGTGTGACTTTACACCAAGTTAAAGGAAAGAAAAGAAATGAAATTTGATATTTTTATAGCATTCAGTTATATTTTGCATATTTTGCCGATGTGCAAACTGCTCTGAGCATATGACTTAAGTTAGTCAATTCAACCAATACCAATATAAATCTGAAAGAAAAAACATTCTTTTGCACATATAAATGAAATTAAACATTATATATTTATGCTGTAAGGTCATTTACAAGTAATTTATAGTATGTCTATGTTACTGTTACTTTTCTTTGAAGTCAGCATTATGGCAGCTGATGAGCATAAGATAACCTAGTCCGGAGACCTGTTTAATCCGATTCTTTTTCTTCTGGTCCGGACAAGTTCGGATTATACAGGTTCCACTGTATACGTATATGAAGCAAGAAGAAACGTATGCTACTTTTTGTAAAACATTTCAGTTCAACATTCAATTAAAAAGTTTTTCGTTCCAAATTGAAAAATGTTATCAAATAACCAAACGTATGATCATTGCAAAGGCGTGGTTATATACGCATTCAAACTTATATCAGTTATCAAAACTATCGTTTTAATTTCCATGGAAAATGTTTTATATAAATTATCTTCATGATACTCAGTGACATATGACCTAGAGATTGGACCATTTTGGATCTTGGTGTATAATTTGTATAAATTTTGTGGGAGTTTACATGCACATGTCAACAATTTAAGCTCTAAGCATTGTTTTTTTCTGCAAGAAGTTTTCTTGTGCAATTTGTAAACACGAGGGCGGCACATGCATTTCCTATCGCCGTCTGCAGCATACGAATCGTTTGGACTCGAGTTTTATTAAGAGGAAAGTGTGTATCTTTATCCTCTAGATACGCCATTTGCATTGAAATTGATTTCAGACATCCTTTTACAAATTAATATAGGCCAAATCAGAATACAACTTTCGGTTTTTCTTTTCGCCAAATATTCTGAGGATGCTCTATCCCTCTTAACTACGTGCATGTACTGTTACGTAACGTAAATCAATGTTGAATGACGCCCGTTTAGGCACAAAAACGTAAATATGTGAATTTACAACAACTTTGTCTGTTTGTGGTTGTATTTTTGCATATTTTTAACACCAAATTCACACATCTTTTTTGGTCATTTCTCGGCGGTTTGTCCACTTAACCGGCTTTCCGAAACAAGTTACCAAAATTACCAATATTTCAGCAAGTGACCGACTACTAATCTCATATGATGCTAGGGGGAAAGACCGAGTAACTGTCCAATTCCGTGAACATTTATAATGGAGACGAGACACCAAAGTCATCTCGCTGTGGTACAATGCAAATTAGATACCGAACAACACTCGTATTTATTTACTTTTGCAACTCAAATCAACTCAAAGCATATAAATAAAATAAAAAGATGTAATTGTAGGTAATAGACATTCTGAGCAATAATATGTTTATATATGTATTAACAATGTTATCATGTAATCTCCATCTTTCATACCGTAATTAAAAGTATGTTATATCGATTTCTCATGAGAATGCAAGTGCATATTCAAAATTGTTCGAATGTTAAATTCTGCATAAGCCGGTGCTGGGGTGGGGCGTGAACGACAGCTTGCACTTTCCAGTACCGTCCATGAACAGGCTCAATCAAACCGAGCCTGCAGCATTTTTAATTTTGCTTTTTCGGGCGTTCTTTAGGAATTCTGTTTAACATTTTTTAATATACAAATGTATCAGCAATTCCATTTTCTAGAACAATGACATACAAGCTCTATTACACTCCTAAGCGATGTTATATACCAAGACTATTTTTATGCTGTTTAAGTATGACTTTAATTTTTGGCTTGTGTTGTGTAAATGTAATGTAGAAACGTATTAAATAGTTAATACACTAGTTTGTCAACTTTTCTCCGACATATTGTCTCTGTCTGTCTTCATCATAGATAAATGCGACATGATAAAGCTGGGTGATTATTATAACTTACAGGGGTGATACTAACAACCTTACAGACTCGTTTTAAATTATACTATTCGTGCCAGACTTCAACAGTAAATGATATGAGATTTATAGAAGAAAGCGTTACATGGGTAAATAGTAAAAATAAGTAGTTAACTGCAAATTCTTAAAATTCCTTTAATCTGCCAATGATTTGACTGAGCAGTCTTTTGCAGGGTACATAAATAAATGATATGGGTAAACAAATTTGAATCTATATCATTATTGCTAAATTCTATACATTATCAAATACACTAATTTATCATAATCGAGTATTTTTATTTAAAATAACACGACATCCATAGGAAAATTTGCTTTAACTTTGATATCCGGTTTTTGAATGTAAATATGTCTTACTATTATCATTTTTTCACCAATAAAATGCAAATGCTATCATTAGTTGTGCTTACTTGTTGAGCGTCAAAGACAATTGGAACATTTTGATATTCCACTATTATTTGTGTACAGTTATGAAATACAATGTTATGAAAAAAGAAAAAAGTACACATGATCATCGAATAATTTTGTTTTATTCGAGCAATGCGCTTACATAATGTGTTATAATATTTTATATACAGTTAAAAACATCATTGTCATGTTGTTATGCATTTCCGGTCCGTTTCCATGAGGCCATTTCTAAAAATAGATAAGAAAGAGACTGAATTACAAACATGTACATGTACTATTTACAAATTGCATGATAATCTGGCAAATACTGAAATGCATTTGAAATTATGTTAAATGTGTCATATTTTTTAAAGACGGATATTGTGTGATCGGTTTTCTTGTTAGGTTGACCGCAAACAACTGACCCATTTATAAATAAAATCATCATGTAATTAATATATCTGAATTCAATACGAAGTTCATTGACTTATCAATTTATTTTCTTGCTATATCCAATTAGCTGTTTTTCGTTTACACTTCTTTTTTTTCAAACGATTTTAACCATTGTTTTTGACTCTATTCACCAAAAGAGGGCCCTTTTCTAAAACATGAATAAAAGTAATGTATAATACTATATTGAAATGCTTGTCAATAACAAAGATTGCATATTGACGTATAACAAATACATAAACTTATCTTAATTGAAAGAAAGAACGAAATATGAAATATTTCGGTGTATCTGCTCAAAATCATCAAGAAAATAGACAAAGGCGTAATAAGTCTTACAATGACAAAATTGCATATAAATAATGCAGGCTCAGTTTGAAAGAGCCTGATTGTGCACGGAGGAGATTAGTATAAGCTACCTTGCACGTTCTTAAGCACCGGGTTACAGATAATTCAATATTTTCACATGACAATGGTGAAACTTGAAATTAAGATAATTTAAAACTGTACATGTATCGTGTAATAAAGCACTTGGAAGTCCTATCAGATTGATTGGAGAATAGTGTGAAACGAAACCATAATTACACGTTTTTGTTACAGCTCTTGAAATTATGACAATAATATGAAGAAACGTGGCAGTTTTAAAATTGTTATATTATAGTTATGTAAAACTTTTTTAAATACGGACCGAAACAAACAATCATAAAAACATGAAAAATAAGAATACTTCAAAATAATCCGATATGTACTTGATATATATATATATAATGTAAAAGCTTTTCTCTAATTGTCTTAATACCTTATATTATCATGACAAAACATATGAAGATCCGCCTTTGCCTCCTCCTGTACCGCGATAGAGAGATCCAAACAAGACTTGTATAATAAGAATAAACACAAACACTGAAATTGAAAAAAGGATAAAATTTGATTTGAATATTAATGTACATTATCTCAATATTCTATGGTTTTTGTTAAATATTCATTTTTCGATGTTGGTATTATGTCCGAGGTTGTTTCTTTTTCTATTCTGTACATGCTGCACCCTCATGTCACATAGGAATAAGCACGAATATATTCTACATAGACGTTGATCTATTACGGGAGAAGATGACGTGTACTTATTCGAAAATGAATGTTATTATGAATGTGTGTAA